GCTAGCACGCAGCGAGGCTGAGCGGATGGCCTCGCTGGCTGGGTCACACTCCCATGCCTCCCTCCTCTCCCTAGACATCCCCATGGAGGACATCCCAGAGGACGAGAGGCCTCCAAGCATCCTGTCCCCTTCCAACACCACTAAAGACAGGTGCAAAACACTGAAATCACAACAGGTATCAAACAAACCAAATCTACCTATCTGTCTCACTGACAACATCTCTGTCTGTGTTCAGGTTAATAGAGGAGTTGACTAAAGAACTTCGCTCCAAGGAGGCCATTATCACAGAGCTGAGTGGAGAGAAGACAACTCTCACGAGGAGGGTGGGAGAGCTGGAGGGGCAGGTTGAGGAGCTGTCTTCATCTCTGCTGCAGAAGGATAAGGATGTGGAGGTATATACACTTAATCATTCCTGTTTTAAATTACCCTTAACATCTAAAATTCCTCTTAGGTCGCATCTCTACAACTAAGTCTTAGCAAATGGAAACCTAAACGTTACACCATATTCTTTCTCTAACCCTTCAGTAAATGTGTTTGTATCAGTTATTCCTTATATATGTATGTAGAGTACATCAGTCAAACCTGGCACAATTTATATGAGCTTTCTAATATTACTGCATTCCTCTGGACCACCATGTCTCTGCTGGTCAGACTATTCTAGAAAGAGGCTCCTGAAGCAGCATGTGTGACATTCCTAACCTTCCCTTTAACAGCTTTTCGTGTGGGTCACAAGAGCTATTTGGACACAGAAACTACAACTTAAACTAACACACACACTGCAAGTGTACATGTATGCAAGTACACCTGCACTTGTACACACATGTAAAGCATGATGTCATTTGATATTTCTTTGAGTGTTCCCGGCCTGTGTGTGTGTTTCCTTAATCTTAAGATTGTATGTAATGTTCCTGTCTCCTCTATTACAGTTTTATCAGGAGGAACTTGGTCATGAGAGGCTGCGCATCGAACAGGAGATGCAGGTATGTGGAGCTCTGTATTTTTATATTTTAGGACACTAAAGGCATAGCTACAATTTGGCCAAAAATGTTTTTAATTTTAAAACAACTTTGGTTCATTAGGCTTCACATGTTATTATCGAGTTCTCCACTAAGTGTCAGGACAGCATCACAGTTCTCATTGTTCAATGTCAGACAGACTCTGCCTCCTTATGGAGAGGTGACACATAACATTTTCACACAAGAGCTGACAACTGTAGTTAAAATATGACTCATATTTGAATTTGTAGATTACAACTTGTTTTACAGAAAGTACCTACAGCACTGAGATTTTCAATATAACCAGTACGTTTTTATTCACCGTAGATTTAAGAGATTGTTGAACAGAACCCAAAATGTTTTTCCCCTTTCAAAATGCAGTCTGTCTCTGCAGGATGTTTTGTGCTGTACTGAATATTATAAAATTAATAAAACTACTCTCTGTATCACAAGAACAGAAGCATCATTATACCACAGCTGAAAGAACTAACTGTTCACAGTTCCGGGGAAAAAGATAAGTAAAGATCCAGTGAAACATCCTGTGGTGAGCTAAAACTTTATGCAATCTGACCCTGAATGTTTCATAAGCCATTGACGGTGGCTTATTCCAGTCTGATTGGCAAACAAATATTTGTTGGTGAACCTTCCTCTAATGTGAACAAACAGAGGCGAGGGACATGATGCAAAAATAAAGTGCTTCTTATTGTAATACTGCAATGGCATCATGTGAGGCTTCCTGTACAGTACAGTCCATCTCACGGAGGGTTTATCTCATCACGCAAAGTGGCAGAGTCTCATTGCATCTGCAGGCTTTAGCTGTGTCCCCAAGGACACATCTCTCTCCTGATATATAATGAATCTACAAATTGAGGGGGACCATTACCTTGATGTCGGCTCCCTCTACCCACAGAGAATCTTTAGCATGTGTAGTTCCACACATGTATAACCATAACCATAGTTAGCTTTATTATTGATCTTGCTGTGCAGTGTTGTTATTGTTATTTGGCTACAACCTGAATGTGTCGCAGTATTTGTTGCAAACGTGTTTGTTGCTGGGTGACTTTCTCACAATAAGTATTTTGTGTTCGAGGTAGATGTACAGGGATTTTAACTTGCAAATCACTATGCAAATGTACTCGACAGGGAGGCTTTCTGCTCAGATTTCACACTGCAGGCATATGCACTGAAAAAATAAAGCTGGGTATGTTCAATGATGTAAAACTACACAGTATGTGCAATACATTTATTCACTGAGGAAACAGTTGGCCAGTGTCTTAGAGCACGACAAGTATAACTTACATATGATGCAACATTTTGTGTCTAAGTGTTCATATAGAGAAGAAAAGATATAACCTTAATATATGTACATGTTGAAATCCAGGTTCTTGGGTCAGTGCAGAAGAAGATTTGACTTAAATTAGAGGGAAGTTGTTTATTGATGTAGGTGCATGTAGAATTTAAATGTATATGACCATATATGACTATATGATATATTTCACATGATCAAATATACCATGAAACATACTCTACACTATTGCAGGTAAAATATGGCTAAAACAAAAAGGGGTTGCCATATTTTGTACCTTTAAATGACAGTCATGTCTTCCACTGCAGTTAAGATATTTTAAATGTAGATTTTTAATCAATTTAAGTTCAACAGCAGTGACACTTTAGCTGAATTTGCATTTGAGATCAAAAGAGATCACGTGAGGATCAGTGTAGCTGGGGCCTGTGTGTCTTATGCTTCGCGTGTGTGTGTACACATACCCATGAGGTGCCTTCTTTCATACGTGCGTGTGTGCTTGCAGGCATCTCGCGGGTTAGCAGTTTAGCGGGTCTGGTTTCAGCCGGGTGGTCGATAGGTCAGGTTGACCTTTGAGTGCTCAGCGACCCCCAACACTGATATCAAGTTGTGTTGTTTCAGACAGACAACCACCATACGCGATCTTAATTAGTTCCCCAGACACCACAGCCATTTAGATCAAATCTATATCTGGTAAGAGAGGAGGAGGCGGGAAAAATATCTGAAACCTCTTAACACAATTGAGAGAGTTTCCCTTTCAATAATAATTTGTAGTAACTGGTACACTGTCAACAACTAATTTGTTTATATATTTATATTTGCTTGTATTTATGAACACTCAATTTCACAACATCTGATCAAAAGCAAAAAAATATCATATGTCCAGACTTATGTGCATCATTCTACATGAAATATAGTATTCATCGGCATATTCTTATTAAAACAGACACAAGGTCTCACAACTCGGACTCTGTCCTTAAGCAGGAGAGTTGCTTTGAGGATGAAAGTATGTCTGCTTGGAAGTCACAGCGTGACAGCATGACCATCTGTTTATGCGCCCTTGGGAGAACAAAAAATGTGGTCATGAGATGAGCGTGCACAGTGCACAGGGTGTTTGACCATTAACAGTCAAATTGTTGTTGAAATATCTGCACCACGACAACAGGAAATACAAACAATGCTAATCCTAGCATGTTTTGACACAAGTTACACTGGTCTCATGAGGGTGCTATGAAGGACCAAAACCACCACAAACCACCACAAACCACCACACCTGATTATACTATAACACTAGTATCTCATTTAAATTCCAGCAGTATGCTAGCAAGTTAGCAAGTCAACTCTGACAGCTTCAGTAAACATGACAGTTTCACATTACCAACAAATCTATTGATTTAAAAGATAACATAGATAGATGTATCATTAGTTCTTTATAATACCTTATATAATAACAAATGCCCAAGAAGGAAAAACCCGCAGTGATGACAGCAATTATAACAGCAGCAGCTCTAACCAAGACTGTCATACATGAAAACTGACTATTACAATTTATGAAAATGATCATCTATCAAGAACTGACTCTGTTATGCTGCCAGTATGATGATGACCGCTGTTCATGAAGTACATCTTCACATGTAACCTCAGGCAATCATTACCATGCAGCAACCATCTTTAACTGCTGTACATATGTGTTGTCTTGGTAACCAGTAATTGCTCACTGCCTGATAAAATAATGATGTTGACCCAGGATACACGAAAATAATACATTTTATTGGTCTTCTGTAGTTTAGATTTACTGACACCATTCCTAGTATAATCATAAAGGTTAATGTAATTATTGCAGATATAAAAATGTGTAGATGTTTTATACTAATTGTAATGCATACAACAAACATGTCTGGTTTGTACAAAATACAAACATACAAAATAGTTTAAAGTAAAGTACTGGGAAGAGGAACATTTTTCTAATCTACCCCCAGGCTGTGTGTGTGTGTGTGTGTGTGTGTGTGTGTGTGTGTGTGTGAGAGAGAGAGAGAGAGAGAGAGAGACTTGGCTCTATAGCATAATTATTACTGAAGGTTTTGCTGTATTTTTGTGCTGGATATTTGATTTACTTTAACATAGAGTAGAATAGAATATACATAATTGAATATTAAATATTAATAATCTCACATAGCCTTCAGTAGATTTGCACAGTGCAAACAGTAATGTGTAATGTAGTAATGTGTAAACCTCATACAGAATGATTACACTGTAATATATCTTATCATAAGAATTATTATAAGTTATAATAATAAGCATTGTAAACATTGTACAACAACAAGCTGTGAGAATACTGTATAATAGAGTAAAACCCATCTCGCTCTCAGTGTTATTTAATTTTACAGAGCGTCACTAATGTTACCATGTTACTGAACATTTCACCTGTTCAGTCAGGCGAACAGAGCTCAGTAAACCGGGCAGGAGGAAGTAACAGACTCCCGGGGGAATATCACTCGGTCTCTTTACCAATAAGCTCAAAATGAAGCTAATATTCGCTGGGTTTATATTTAATTGTGGGTTTTAAAAATGAAAACAACCGTTTTGAATCTGAATCATAGAGCACAGTAAACCGTGAGCATCTCTGTGTGTCTGCACCGGACTCCTCCACCCCCTCTATCCTCCCGATGGTGCGCTCCGCCGCTGCAGGTCTGGTTCAGGCAGCCACATCGTTATCTGCCCGGAGGATCTCCGACCGCACGAAGGACCGAGCCCGGTGAGCGCGTGTCTGCCTCTCTATCCGTCGGTAGAGGGTCTGCAGTGAATGAATGAAGAGTCCGTCGGTCGGACACAGACACCGGGAAGAGACTCAGAGAACTGTCCTAGGACGCATGTTACTGCTCCGTGTCCGTGTATCCGGATTATTACCTATCCTCGGTCATGATCAACCTGACTGCTCGCGGTGCGGCTCGTGTGTCCGTGATAGTCGAGTGATGGTGCAGAGGCGCGTGCGGTGCTGTTGGCAAATGCGAGACATCAGTTTGGTGACAGCGCGAGGACGTCATACAGTTAAATACTGCATCTGATTGATGAGACATTAACATGACTTCGTCTGTGGGTGTGTGCGCCATATTCTCGGTGCACCTGCACCTCCTGCAAATGAATGCTGATCCTGGGCTGATCGATATCTTTTAATGATGGTCACAGTATCTATTCATCTCTTTTTACCTCATGGTTTTCTCTCCTGCCAAGAACCACATGTGCAACCATTCTCTACAAGCCTGATCATCTTCTTGTCTACCTCTTCTAATTTATTTCTAAGCCATTTAATTTAATGCCATTGCAAGGACTGATGAGGACCTTTACACTGTTTCAGATGGATTTATTGTGCTCTAAAAGCGTGTGGTTACTCTGATGCAGCTCAACACAATATGCTCTTTTGTGTTCTAATGGGATCACCATAAGGATTCAGGTGGCCTTATGTTCAAGTAAACGCCTCGATAATTAGAAGCCTGTGGAATGCTTGATCTCAAGATGAAGGAAACGTGTCGCATCTGTGGACGGGAGCTCTGCGGTAACCAGCGGCGATGGATCTTCCACCCCACCGCCAAGCTCAACCTGCAGGTGCTGCTGTCTCACGCTCTAGGGCGAGAGCTGGCACGGGATGGCAGAGGAGAGTTTGCCTGCTCCAAGTGTACCTTCATGCTGGACCGCATGTACCGCTTCGACACGGTGATTGCCCGCGTGGAGGCCCTGTCCATCGAAAGGTTGCAGCGGCTCCTGCAGGAGAAACACCGGCTGAGGCAGTGCATTGGTGGGCTCTATCGGAAAACAAATTCAGAAGAGGGTGCTGTTACATTAACTGGAGGGAGTCAAGAGCCAGGAGATGGGATGGTGGACATTTCAGGTCTCACCCATGCAAAGTACTGTGCCCTGCTCCAGGATGACCTGGTCTACTCTTTGTATGAGTCCTGGGCCGACGATGGCCTGGACTGTCACCACAACCACCATCCTCATTGTCTTGCCGGTCCGGGGTCAGAGGTTACAGGTTCCAGCTCACATCGTTGTGTTCCCAGCACTCCCAGGAGGTGTCGGGGATGCTCACACTTGCGGGTGGCGGACTCTGATTATGAAGCTGTTTGTAAGGTGCCCAGGAAGCTAGCACGGAGTATTTCCTGCGGGCCATCAACCAGATATTCAGCCAGTCTTGTTGGAGGGAGTGTGGCTGGAGGTGTAGGAGTTGTTGGAGGTGGTGGAGGAGGAGTAGGAGAAAGAGAAAATGATTCAGAAGAAGCCCCCTCCTCTCTAACTCTGGTCCCTGGTTCTCGGAACCCCTCGAGGATGTCAGACAGTGATCGCACCCTGGCTGGACGAGCCAGCTCCAGCCCCTCTATAGCATCCTTGGAGGCAGGCGAGGAATATATTCAGCCTGGCACCATAACAGATGGGCCGCTGAGCTCCCCTAGGGAACCAGATGACGACCAGATATCTGATTCCCTCTCTGATGAGCACATCGGAGCCCCACACACACAAGCCTCACCTGGACCCAGCCTCTCTCTGGCCCTCTGTTTGCTGCAGAGCTATGCTGTCCACCGGCCAGTCCGGAGCTCCAAGGGGAGCAAGCTGCCGGTGCTTCTCCGACAGAGCTCCAGTAATGGAGGCTCGAGGCTGGGCTTCCCTGATCCTCTTCTGGGAATGTCTTATGGAACTCCAGAGAGAGAAAGAGACAGTCATATGCCAACACCTGAGCTGGAGACCCCTCTGATCAGGCTGGATGCTGGGGTTGATCAGGTTCTGAACCTGGCTGAGATGGAAGATTTATTGGAAGATTTGTACAAAGAGTATCCTCCCCCACCTCCCCACCAGGTATAAAACCTTGACGCGGGTGGTGATAGCGCTGTAATACAAGGATTTTCCTACTGCAGGATGATGGCACTGAATTTTGCCAATGCGCTGAAAATCTGCAGTATTTGCAGCACTACAAGTGAACCATCCCAACAGGCTTTGATGTTTGTCAGACGATCAGTGGAGCCTGCTCCCAAAATGATTATTTTTAACACTTTTTTAGGTTAATTAGCCTCATAATCCAACTGTCAGTCACTTTAATCCTGCCCGCAGCCTTTCCAATAAGCTTTTTACCGAGGAGGATGTGAGCTATAGTGCTTGTGTGTGTGTGTGTGTGTGTGTGTGTGTGTGTGTGTGTGTGTGTGTGTGTTTGCTTGGTTGTCTGTGTGGGAATATATTGCATGAGCGGTCAGGTGTGGGTAAGCTGTGACACATGACATGGCCTAATTACCTAGTGTGTGTGTCCACAAAGAGGTCTTTAGTCATGTCAGTAATGTAGAGAGCATATAGTGAAAGCACAGGCATTTTGACTATTTTAATTTCTAAATCTTTAATATGTAATTGAGGATATACAGTGACCTCTGTCTCAGCTGCTAAATATCAAATAGATGAGAGTCTCAAAGTTTTTCCAATTATAAACCAGTGTTGCTCTGGATTTTCTGCTCTAGTATGAAAGCGTGAAAGAGTGTCTCTATATGTGCCCAATATTCCAATATTAAAAGTCTGTATTCTTCAAGATTAATAATCTAGTAATCTAATAATCTAAAATAGTTTTTGGTGTGTGTGTGTGTGTGTGTGTATTTGTGTCTGAATTAGATGTTCTTCTTTAATAAGAGTGTGTGATCTTTGAGCTGGGGCTGCTGACTGAAGTAGGTTAGACGTGGCGAGACTCTGTAAGACAGAGTGACTCCACTATTGGCCTATTTTCACTCGGAGCCCTTGAGGCAAAGTGATCCACGCAATGTCAGACCACCCTGTCATCTCAACACTGGTTGGCTAGTGCAGTACCACTATTTAAAACTAAATGTATTTCATTTAATCTCGGCTACATTAAACCATAAATTGATCTTGGTCAATGAGTGTATAAGTTAGTGTATCTTAATGACATCCTTCCTCTTGTAAGTGAAAGTTGGAAGCATTTATATGCTGGCTATTTAAAGATAATAGTGGCTTAAAGCACTTTGAGCACACTCACACGTGCTAACTCGTGCATGCAAATACTCTCACTCTACTTCGGAAGCTCTCTCCCTGTTATAGCTTTTTTAGTACACACATGAATGAGCAGAGTTTCTAAATGTCATACACATATTATGCAATCCACTGTGGAAGTTATGCAGCCTGTAGCCTCTGTATTTTTCATGAGTTTGAAGCAAACAAAATATCTTCCTCCCAAATAATTAGGTTGCTGGATTTAGTCAGACCACATTGTTTTAATAACTTGAAATTCTAACATCTTACCTTTAGAGCCTTGTTGAGGAGCAGCAGAGTCAACTGAACCAGTATGAGTGCGCGGCTGGACAGTGTGTCAGCGAGCTGCAGAAGGCCCAGCTCCAGGTCCAGTCCCTGCAGGCCAAGATCCACGAGAGCGAGGCCAACAACATGGTACAGCAGATAACAAAACTCCTCATTACAGTTGGATATATATGTTTGATAAATCCGTGTCTGATGACAGTGATACCTGTCTGTCTCTAGAAGCTGCAAGAGAAGCTGAATGAGATGGAGTGTGAGCTGCGTTCAATCCGTCAGGCTGCACAGAGTCAGGAAAGAACCATTGAGTGTCTCACAGAGTCTAACAGCACAAAAGACAGTGAGGTGAGTGTTTGTCTTTGTTGTTCGTTAAGTAGCAGATGAACAACGAGTGTGAGGTGATACCTGTATTTAAGAAGGTGCTCATACCCGTGATTTATTCTGCTTTAAGGCCCAGGAGCTGTACCAGCTGATTGAAGGGCAGAACACCACCTTGTGTAAGCTGAGAGAAATGGCTCATCGCAACCAGCTTGCTCAGTCCAAGGTAAGACGTGGTGCACATATAGTTGTGCAAACCCAGATCCAGCATGGTAAGAAGTCTTGTCTTCAGGCTGACGTACTGACCTTGGTCTGTGGTCATTCTGTCTCCAGGCTCCAGAGGGAGTCAGTGAGTCCTTGACGCTTGCCCAGCTGCAGGGCGAGCTGGTGGGCGTTCAAAGCTCCCTTTTCTCCCTTGGTCTGGAGCTGGAAGCCAGCCAGAGGAGTCTGAGACAGAGCCAGAGGCAGGAAGAGGACCTAGCAAGGTTCAAGGAGCGACTCAACTCTGATCTACAGGAGGCTCTGCAGCACAGGGAGGTCACTGAAAAACACAACCAGGTTAGTGTGTTTGTGAATGTGTGAGCAAACCAACTATTGAAAGAAGACTTGTGAAGTGTGATGCGTATGTGTAACCTCCCGTCTCTGTGCTGCAGGACCTTCGCTGTGCCCTTCAGAAAACTCGCTCTGAGCTTCAGGCTAAAGAAGCAACTTTGAAGGAGAGCGAGGCAGAGAGACACGCTGTGGTGCAGGAAAAAGAAAGGAGCATCGCACAGCTCAAATGCTCTCTGCAAGACAAGGAGCAACAGTTACAGGTAACGTGCACAATCCCACACATGTTTGTACACTTTCAATGCATACAGGATGTAGTTACATTTCTGATCCTGTCTAAAAATTCTTTATACCTGTAGGAGTACTCAGAGATGTTGGAGTCAACAGGAAGCTCCAAACCAAGAGATGCCCTGCTGGAGAAACTAAGAGAGCGTATTAAAGATAGAGACAGAGCTCTGGAGGTAAAACACAAACACACATTCATATACACACCAGAGACAGACGTTAATGGTAGCTTGGTAGGAATACTGAGAGGACCCCCAAATGTCCTTAATACTGAATACTACCCTTCTTAGCTACTGCACTGTGCTGTATACTGTGTGATTCTGCACATTCAGTGCAGGGGAGATGGAGAGGCTTTTCATCATAAAAGAGCTAAGTTTGCAACTTGCAGCAGTTAAAGCCAGGGGTAGACAGTATGCAAACTCCAGCTAGCTAAACCACTAGGTCAGCATGAAATTTCACAACCAGTATACAGTAGTAAAAAATCTTTAGGGGAGTTGTTAGGGATAGACGGGAGGGAAAACATCACTACAGCTGGTTTGTAAGGAACAGGAGCTTTAAATTCTGCACAGCTGCTCATTTCTGCTCTTAACTGCAAAACCTGAGCACTGTATAGAACATGGTGAATACCAGATGATTAATATCACAGTTGAGGGTACCCAGAATAGCAGCAGTATGATTTTTTTTATTCTCCCTGCCCTCTGCTGTCTGCAGCGCTCCATCGATGACAAGTTCCGCTGTGTGGAGGAGCGTGAGGGCCAGGTGAGGAGGCTGCAGCTGGCCCTCAGGGAGAAGGAACGAGACCTGGAGAGACTCCGCTGCATCCTGTCCGGCAATGAGGAGACCATTACGGTTTGTCCATTGGACACAGTGCAAACACATTAAACCCGCCAGCTTGTACAAGTTGTAGATTATCTTTTGGAATCCTTATATAGTGACTATGCATTTCTTTGCTTCCAACATACCATTTTACAAAGCTAAAATTTTTAAACAAACCCGAACCACTCTGATTTGGTAACAGCTGGTGGGTATTTTGTGAATGTTTGAGACATATATGAGTTTCTTTTCATGATTATGTGTTTCTTTTTGTCTGATTACATCTGTGATTGTGACCATCAGAGTCTGGACGCCTTGGTGCGCGGTAAAGAGCTGGAGCTGGAGCAGGCGGCAGAGGCCTACAGGAACCTCCAGTGGCTGAAGCAGCAGAGTGAGGAAAAGGAGAGAAACACTCTGAGAGAGAAAGACACCATCATCAGCCAGCTACAGGCAGCTCTACAGACACGCAGCCAGGAGACACAGGTGACACACACACATTGATTTATGCCTTTTGTTGTCATGGCTTCAAATTGTTTGCTGTGTCATTTTAAAAGCTTTGTAAAAACGGTGCATGTAGACAAACCTGTGCTACTTGTTTTCATAAATACAAATACAACAGGTGTGCTGACACAGCCTTTTCTGTGTGTGTGTGTGTGTGTGTGTGTGTGTGTGTGTGTGTGTGTGTGTGTGTGTGTGTGTGTGTGTGTGTGTGTGTGTGTGTGTGTGTGTGTGTGTGTGTGTGTGTGTGCAGGATCTGACTGCCGCCCTCGTTGCCAGAGTCCAGGCTGGTCCCACCGAAGTCGTAGAGGAGCTGAAGGCCCGGCTGGCGCTGAAAGAGAAACTCTTCCAGGAGCTGCTGTCAGACCGTAGCCGCCAGTCTAATGAACACCAAGCACAAGTCCAGGACATGCTCAACACCCTGAGCTCCAAAGACCAGTATCTGCAGGTAGGCCCTGTTGCTGGTATGATAGTGGAACTGATAGATTGAGCACAACAAAAACAAGCTTAAATCTCTTCACTCTTCCTCTCTCAGGACTACTCCTACAGGCTCTCTCTTGTGATTAGCGAGCAGACCAGCCAGCTGCAAGAGCTCCGCAGACAGCTCTCATTAAGAGAGCAGGAACTGTGCGAGCTGAACTGGGACAAGGAGAAAGAGATGGGAGGAGAGACGGAGCATCTGCGCGGTCTACTCAAAGAGAAAGAAGCCTTTATTAAGGTACCTGTGTGCATTTCCCTTGGCTTTCTCCTTTGCTCTTTTCCTCATGTACAACTGATCTTCACAGTTTTCTTTGTTTTTCAGGAACTGATGCATGGCCAGGAAGAGGCGATGCAGCCCTCCTCTAAGGAGAGTGAGGCGGAGATGAAGACTCTCCAAGAGGAGTTGCAGCTGGTAATGAAGAAGGAGATAGAAGCTCAGGTATCTGTGTGGACCTTGTGATGCATAAAAATAATCCTTGTGTTTTTTTTTATCTCACAAGTCTTTTTCTGTGCCCTGCAGAAGGAGCTCTCTGCTCTGCGTTTGTCTTTGGCTCACCAGCAGGCCGCACGAGTGGACACTAAGGACAGCTCTGATCATCAAGTAGGATTTTGCTTCGTTCTCAGTCAGTTAGACAGTGTTTGGCTGTTTGTACTGCTGAAGATTTGTGTATTTATTATGTCTTCTTCCTCCTCAACCCTGCCTGCCGTTCTGATCTAGTGTGTGCTGGAACAGCTTGTGTCAGAGTACAACAAGCTCAACGATGCCCTGAGGGCGGAGAAGCGATTATACCAAAATCTTGTGCACATTCACAGCAAGAGTGACAGGTAGGGAAGCTACACCCAGGTCTTGTGACACGCCAAGATTCCTGTCAAAGTTTTTTTTGCTTTTGCTCTAAAACCATTTTTTCCTCTTCCACAGCTCAGAGAAGATCCAGACACTCCACACTGAGCTAGATTCGGTTCAGGCACTCCGCAGACAGCTGGAGGAAGTCCTGGCCAGGACCCGTAACATGGCCCTGGTGCTGGAAAGGGCAGCTAAAAGGCAGCCTGATTTTGGAGGTGGGGATGGGCAGGGGCCAGCCTCCATGGCTGCGGGGGGCACTGTCACTAATGCTCCGTGATGTTCTGTCTGACCACAGCACTGTTGAGTGACACTTAATGTGAGACGGAGCTACCTGTAGCCACTGATGGTCAGTTTTATGAAAGAAAATGTGGTCCTAAAAGATCAGATAAATTCTTCTCTTAAGTGTGAAAAAAATCTAAATCTGACCATCAATCTTCAGGCAACTTCGTCCAGATAGCACAAGCACTACTCACAGTAGCGGAAGCCTGTTCAGTTTAACCTCTATGGTATGAAGTGGCAACGTGCAACCCAGAGTCTTATTTATGAATATATTTTGTGAGTGTGGTGTGAATATGTTTTTACATTGTTTTTTGAAATACTGCCTGTGTATTGCTTTGCAGTGCAATTGTTCTGTATTGCCATTTCTATGTATTGTCTCTCACCAGTGTCACTCTTCCAGCCTTACTGTCACAGTGAAGTTAACGTCTTGTGGAGAATCTCAAGCTCATGCCTTACAGTGAAACGTCTCACCATCCATCATTTGTTTTATATCATCTGTTTGTGAACAGGATGTGCACACTTAACAAGGCCCAAGATACAAACTCCAAAAAAAGGATGGCCATGTAGTTTCCTTTACTTCAACTTAACCTCGGACTGCTATCCTGCACAGTTTTATAACATAAACATGCTCTGCACTAGTTGCATTTTAGTAAATATGCATGAAACATAAGGTCAGCCTCTTTAGATAGAAGGTGGTAGGTGTGAGCTGAATACTTTAAAAAGTAACATTATGGTAATTTAATATATGTGTTTTTAACTTGACTCTTAACTTAATCTGCGTGTTGGATTTATGTTCAGCTTTGTAGCAAGGAAGCAGGAAAATATAATATCAAATAATTATACTGTCTGCGCTGTGCTCTCTATAAATCACATGAGATGTGAATGCCAGAAATAATACTTTCCCATTAAGTATTTATATTAGTAGAGAACATTTTCTTGGGATTTTGTGCCCTGATCTCTCATCTAGTCTCAGAGATGGAATCCTTGTCAACACTTCTTTTTGTATTTTAAATGCAACAAAAAATAAAAATGTGCTCGCTTTTTGTCAAAAGCACTTCTGGTTGTTGTGTATAATTGGGAATTTGTCTTAAGAATATCCCAAACCTGAAATCCCTCACCCGGTCCTTGATATACCTTCCTTATTTTCCCCGGAGATCAACCCACAGTGCGCTTTATGCATCTGAACAATTCCTTCAGAGTGGAAAGACTTCCATCCTCAGTCTCCCTGTACTTGTTCTTCTTATGCAATTTTATAACCACAAGAACACACGTTATTAATTTGTCACAAATTTAAATATGGTCAAAAACATCTGAAGATTTCTGTAGATAATTCTGTTTATGAACAGCCACATGGAGCTATAATGTGGGTTACCAGACGTATCCAGTCCAAATGAGTGTTTTTTTCTTCATGTTCTCCCTCATGCATGAGATTGTGGCATGGTTGTCATGTTTGCATGGCTGTTCTGCTGTAATGCCCACTTAGATACTCACTACACTAAAATTCTAAATAAGGTAAATAAAGGAAGCTCATGTGAGCCCTTTTATTCAACCTCTCTACATGAAATGTACGTTTAGACTACAAACCAGCAACAAACACGGTCTCTACATGTTCCCAGTATGAGAGTGGTGACAATATGTAGTCCCACAGTGTGTAAACAGGGCCCCACATTCAGTCAGTTCAGCTTACAGAGCACATTGTTCAATCAATAATAACCCAGCAGTTTCACTCAATGACTTTCCTGCCCTGTCACTAGCAGCACAAAGACATTTAGTACCTTTTACTTTCATTATTGTTTTAGGGTGGAGACATTTGTGGTAATTAACTGCCTTTGAACTGATTATGAAATAACCCCATAATAACTCCCATGCACTGAGCAACTATAGATACACACATATGCACCTGTGATTCACATCTAGCACTACACACTATATGTGAAGAATGTTATGTGTGTGTATAATTAGGGCCTATTATGTAAAACTATTTTACTTTGAAATTCCTGCCAGTCACTTTCCACTGAGCTTCAGTTTCCTGGCAACATACTGCTGTGTGTGTGTGTGTGTGTGTGTGTGTGTGTGTGTGTGTGTGTGTGTGTGTGTGTGTGTGTGTGTGTGTGGAATACTTTAATAATACAGAACAAAGAAATGCCGCATACATATTCAGTTTTGGCCCAAATCTATTTTTCATGTGAGTGTGACTATAACTCAAAGTCAAAATCCATCACATTTGTCTCAGTTTAAGGTTTTTCTCGTGAACACACACATTCTCTACTGTACTGGGTTGCACTGCCTTGAGTGTGCTTTTGGCTGGCTGCTGCAACGTGTGACATAACATTTCCCCCTTAGTCCCATGACTTCCAAAGTCGTGATTCATTGTCCAGACAGAGTTCTGGAAAGAATGGGATAGAGAGTGGATGCTAAAGAGGGAGAGACCTAAAAAAAATTATAGAATAAGAAGAATAACAGAAGATTAAGAAATAAACAAAAGGGGAAAAAGCAAGTGCATATTGTCCTTATATGGTTGTTGTGTTTCCAGAGCTCAGCACAGAGGAAGAGGAGGAGGGAGACGATGAAGACGGCAGCAGTGATGAGTTCACAGACAGCATAGAGGAGGATGATGACAAAGTGTCGACCAGAAGTTTGGCTTCCATTCAGGTAAAATTCTTCTGTTTACATTTCACCGTTAAATCCCTTTAAATTGAGGCAGTTTGTAACCACTGATTTATGGATCTTTTACTAATTTAAACATTTACCTAATACCATGACTGAAACAGAAATAACAATAATAAACACCATTGTTTTTCTGACTTCTCTGAAGGCTTGTGGACGTGAGGGTGTTCCCGGAGCGCCGGTGAGGGGGGTAGCGTCCCAGAGATCTGATGTAAAGCAGCTTGAGGAAGCAAAAAAGACACTTGAAGGTCATCTTGAAGAAATAAAGTTACAACTGGAGAGGGATGGATACACCTCTGTGGGTCAGATGAGGTACATATTTGTCTCAGAGATCCTCAGGAAACTTTATGTTTTGGCTGTGGTATAGTTGATGTTGGCTTCTGAGAGAGGTTTCAACCTTGACAGTTGAGTTATGAATTATGTCTAATTTGGCGTTGTGGTTAATTTTCCTGCCAGGAGTGCACTGCAGAGGTTGCAGCAGGAGAACCAGGCTCTGAAAGAATGCCATGGACGAACTGGAGTTGTGGGACTGAGAGCTAAAACGGAGGAGAATCACAGGGGTCTGATCCAGGAAGAAGAAGAAGAGGAGGAGGAGGAGGAGGAGGAGGAGGAAGAAGAAGAGGAAGATATTGAGGAAGAAGAGGAAGATATTGAGGTAGAAGATGAAGAGGAGGAAACATCTCCAGTGTCTGTGGGGAAGCGAGGTCCTCCATGTGTTAGTCTGAGTGAGGAGCGAGGAAAGAGGCGATGCACAAGGCCTCTGATGTCCCATCATCACACACACCAGCCTGAGACGGTAACACTCTTTTGCACATTTGAACAGTTTGTAACTGTCTCTCAGATAATTTATGAAGCTGCTGCAAATCTATTACAGTCATTTTTACTGTTATTAAACACTTGAATATTAACCAGAACTCTGATTAAATACAACAACAATATGAACTAGTTGTATGAACTGTTATAGTGAATATAATAATTCTTAATACATTTATTGTTGGGTTAGTGTGATAGATTGTATGAGAGCCATGTTTTTTTCAATATGGTCATTTTACTGTGAAAAAAAGATGCAAAATGTGAGAAAATTAAATACATGGTGGTGGAAAAATGCACAAATCATGTACTTAAGTTAAAGTGCCAAATACAACAGCTGGATGGAAAAATAAAAAGTCCTAATCAAGTAGTAGTAGGTGCTATGGGTGTTTTAAGCTCATCATATATTTGTAATGTGAAACTATATTGGAAAAGAGCTGCAGTTGGAAAAGAAATGTAGCAAAAGTGCCTTTATACCTCTGTGAATGAAGCAAACTCTCTGCTGGTTACAAAGCAGATTTCAGCAAGCTGTGCTGGAACAGCTTTGCCTCCAGGCCCTGCCCTCCTTTGCGCACAGACTTCTCTTTGCCGGGCCCTCCGTTTACTGTCTCTATGTACGGGTGTTTTGTTCTTTTTTAGTCCTGTGGTTGTTTATATGAGTAATGGAGTCCTCACTTTGCTGCTGCAGGAGGTGGAGCCTGCTGTTGGAAGCAGAGAGGTGGGAGAGCTCTGGCAGGATATAGAGGAGGGTCTCCGTGAGCAGGCAGCCCGTCTTAGCTCTGATCTGGCTCTGAGCCACCAGGAGAACAGAGAGCTCCAGGAGAGGCTGATGGTGTCTGAGGCCACAGTCCATGCTCAGGCTGAACAACTGAAGGACTACAGAGACCTGCTAAGTGAGTCACACTGAGGAAGATGTATGAAGGAATGCAGACATGTTATTAGAGATGTATAAGAACTAAAATGTGTTCAAAAACCTTCATCAAACACTAATTAGCGTGTAAGATTAAAGTAACTTCCTTTTGATGTTCCTGCAGCAGAGACATCGGTCCAGCAGGCCAGTAAGCAGGTGCAGGTGGATCTCCAGGATCTGGGTTATGAGACTTGTGGTCGCAGTGAGAACGAAGCTGAGAGAGAAGACGCCAGCAGCCCAGGTGACAAAGAAACCACACTTCTCTCAAACTATAACAGCCCAAATGTTTTTCCTCTCCTGTAAAAAAAACCCTGACTAATCCTCATTAATCCTGCATCAATATGTCTCTTTCATCCACCCCTCATTCAGAGTTCGACGACCTGGAGATGTGCACGTCGCTGTCCAATCAACAGGACTATGAGGGTGGTAACTGGTACGCTGGTAACTGCAGCAGTAACAGAGGTGCTTATGAAATGGGGGATGAGTCATCCTCTCTCCAGCATCTGGTCCAGGATCTCCGCTCACAGCTGACCCGCTGCCACAAGGTGATCCGTGGGCTGCAGCTGCGTGTCCGCTCCCTGTCTAACACCAGCGACTATGCCTCCAGCCTGGAGCGCACCCCACGCAAGGTGATGTAACATTTATCAGATAATCTACATCACTGACTGGTCTTTTAGGCTCATTTTGGTTTCATAACGATGCCCTTTGTAATGTTGTAATGTTTTTGCTCGATTTCTAGGTAAACTGGGCCTTCGAGACGTCACCAGCCCCGAGCGGTGTAGAAGAGGATGAAGGCTGGGTGTCTGACACCCAAGGGATTCGCTCAGGGTCCAAGCCCAGCAGGGAACTGCAAGAGCTGATGGCACGAGTTGCGTCACTGGAGGCCCAACTGAAGAGCTCCAGACAGGAGGGCAAAGGCCAAGCCGAAGAGGGGAAATGTGCCACCTGGCCTGGGTGAGTGAACAGAGACAGAGAGACCATGGTAAAAGGGGAAGGGCCTAGTAAGGGTTAGCTGTTACTCCTGGTGCCTCTATTGTCCTTGTGTAGCCTGAGGCACATTGATTTTATCAAGAATCAGTTAACAGATGTAGTCATATGAGCCCTCAATGTGCTAAAAACATCTCTCTTAATATTGTGGTTGCTTGTGTCCCTCTGGCCATTGCTCTTCCTCCCTTTACAGGAAGTACAACTCTCTGATCCAGACACAAGCTCGTGAGTTGTCCCACCTGAGGCAGAGGATGAGAGAGGGGCAAGGAGTCTGCCATATCCTCACCCAGCACCTGGGTGATACCACCAAGGTACTGCGAACCCTTTTGCACTAATTAAATGATTAATTAAACCAATCTTTTTTCTACATATACAGTATGAACCAGATGAGTGATACATTTTCAATATTCTCAAACTTACAGGCCTTTGAGGAGCTGCTGCGTGCCAATGATATTGATTACTACATGGGTCAGAGCTTTAGAGAGCAGTTGGCACAGAACACTGCACTGGCTCAAAGAGTGGTCACCAAGATCAGTGGACGTAAGGAACATCTTCCTTTCTCTTCCATCTCACAGAAAGACTGTTCATGTTTTAAAGTTTCCCTTTTCATACCCAGATTGTCATTTCTAACAGTGTCTACCCTTTCCTATGTTCTTTCTTTCCTGTTTTATTTACAAAGGCGACCGTGCAGAGAGCCATAATGACAAGACAGGCCATGAGTTGCTTGCCCTACGGTGAGTCAGCTTAATTATATTCACATGTGCGCATATGTATATGTGACAACTTAAAGTAGACCTATATACATGTACCTTTAATCATTTAAAAGATGAGATGTGCATAATGCACTATAGCTGGCTGCACACATGAACATGCATGACAGGTGAGCTTTTACCACCTTTGTGTTGAGAGATCAAGTTATAGACCCACATATGAATCATAATGTAGCTCATGATTCAACGTATTTAATTCTGCTTATATCTCCTTGTGTACACCTGGAAAGTTCTTACTTTTCCGCCTGTGTAATCATTTGATAGGATTTCATAATCACCATCAAAACCAATTTCTAAACCTCTAAACCTTGGAGCAACAGTCTGTAATATCACCTACGGCCCTGAGATCTGTGGACCTCCCTTGAAGTTATTAGCTTACTTTGTAGAGCTCTTACTTTGCCCTAGTGATTAGTTTACTGTGTCATGTGACACAATTCGGCACACATTGCTCCTTATGGTGGAGTAGAGACAGAAGGTGGCTGTTAATCCACACACAGGCCACAGCATGGAGCCTTTACTCTTAAGTTGCTTTGGGTGAATAGACCTACAGGTGTCCCACCAGCTGGCCTTAAGAGGCTTGCTGGGACTGTGCGATAGTCCTTTTCTGTTGGATCTATACAAAGTCACTTATTTTTGGATGTGCAACAGCGTCTATAACTACTGCGATTTCTCTTTGGAGTTTTTGTTTAAGATTCACTTCCTGAAAACTAATATTATTTAAGAAGTTTTGGTTAAGTGACTAGAATCAGAATAGTACTTTTGGTCTACCCAGCTCAAGTTGTAGTAAATCAAGGACTTGCTTCTTTGGACTGGACGGATGGTATGATGGCTCCTCTCTGGAAATCTATGGTTTCTAAGAACAGCTCCATATACAGGGAGTCTCTGTGGTCTTTTTCTGCGGGTCGTGGTCAAGCAAGAGAGACTGCTTTTTTTAGGATGCTTTTGCATAGCGACGGGGAGTTCATGCTCCAACAGCTGAAACAGTAAGGGAAATATTCATGTAGTTACTTTACATTGGCATATTTACCTTAAATGCTCCATTGTAACAAAAGAAAGAAAAAGCAGTTACTCGTAAATGGTTGCAAATTGGTACACCTACAGCAGATGGTGGGGTTGAAATCACAAAATATTAGTGAAATTGAAGATTTATACTATACTTACTGATTTATACATTGCAGCCTGGATTACATTGATAATACATTTGTTTGAATAACTCAAATTGCACCTGGCTTCTTCCCCCACTTTTGCTAAACACTACTTTCCACTCTTTTAGAACAACAATTATTTATTATCTATTAATCTTCTGAATATTTTTCCAATTTATTGTTTTGTCCTGTACAGTTTCCCACAGGTCAAGGTGAAAGGTGCCTTGAATGTCTTGTTTTGTTCACCCATCAATCCAGAAATCCAAAGCTATTTCATTTACTATTGTATAGGACAGAAAACCATTAAAATAATCGCATTTAAGAAGATGGAACCCGCAAATGTTTGCTTTGCTTAAAGATTGACAAAAAAGCTCTGTTGTGAATGTTAAACAGCTATTAGTAGCCTACTTTAGACCTTTTTCACTGATAGCTATCACTTGAGAATGTAATGATGAATGAATGTACTGATTCTCTTGTGTGCACATGTAGGCTGAGTAAGGAGCTTCAGCAGAAAGATAAGATCATCGAGTCCCTCCACACCAAGTTGCAGCAGCGCCCGGAGACCCCGTCCAGCTGCCATGCTCTCTCTGAGACCACCGACCAATCAGACAGAACCTCCCTGGTGTCCGATGAGTACAGAACCAATGAAGACTTGGAGCTGTGCTCTGATATAGACAGCAGAGAATACCAGGAGGAGCACCGGCTGCAGCAGCCAGGACATGGATCAGAACAAGACGGTATAAAGTTTATTCATATGCTAACCTCTTGTCTGTGAAATGCCTATTCTATCCTTTCACTTTCCATTCCCCTCCTCCTTTAGTCCGCCCATCTATCCCTCCACTTCATGGCTTCCTCAAGTCCTCCAGCAGCTGTCCCAACATGCTTTGCTCAGGCCCTGTGGGTCAGTCCTCCAGAGGTACGGGACTCACAGCTGGCTATGACTTTTGAAGTACCCACATTTTTTGTTCCTCCTCCTCCTTCATGTTCTGTATGTGTCACTTCCTGTCATTCTCCTCCAGCCCTTTTCAGTGAGCCTGTCACCTACTCCCTCTCTGTCCCCTCTGGCCCTGATGTCTGGGGTGTGGGAGTCACTTCTGAACCCCAGCCCAGGGCCCTGTCTGTGATCGCTGTTCGCCCAGAGCTGGACACGCTGTACAAACAGAGGAATGAGCACAACAGGGGTGAGGGGTCAGGGGGTGTGTGTGCAATGAGTAAAACACAGACATCTCACTCGTAGATCAAATTCCTATTGTCCTGTGTGTGTCATGTTTCACACACTTTTTTCATACTCTTTTGTATGTATGTGTGTGTGTGTGTGTGTGTGTGTGTGTGTGTGTGTGTGTGTGTGTGTGTGTGTGTGTGTTTATGGTCACAGGTTTTGCAGTCCACCATGACAAGGCTCTGTTCACTCTCTCACCTGCCCACAACCAGCACAACCTCTCCAGCTATAGCCAGCTACCCCATCATGCCTTTCAACAGTATCAGCTGGGTGGCATTCCTGAAGGCCACTCGCTGAAGTCTGACTCAGGTCTAGTGACAGGAGGGACTTTGTGGGACATGGAGAACATGGTTCAGCCTGTTGGGAGCTACTCTGGATCACCAGGACACCAGCAGGAGAGCAACCATGCAGGTGTGACTCTATAGTAGTACAAAAAAAAGCTTCTTGATGAGGCTTCAACCTGTGTTCACACCTCCATGTTGGTAATTATAAGCACTCTTAAACAAGCAGCCATAGAAGAGTGAAAAGGTTATTATAATATTATTGTTTATCTCTAGGGGTAAATTTGATAGAGGAGCACCTGCGGGAGGTGAGGTGTCTCCGTCAGCGTCTGGAAGAGTCCATTAGGACTAATGAGAGACTCCGACAGCAGCTGGAAGAGAGGCTGGCCACAACTGGACGTGATGGAGGTAGCTCTCACATCTATCTATCTTTTCTCTCTCTAAGAAATTACATAAAATAACATCTGTTTTTTTTTATCCAGGGGCACCAACAAACATCTACATTCAGGGGCTGGACACAGTCACTCAACTGTCCAATGAGATCAGAGTCCTGAAGGAAGAGAACTTGGGTCTACAGTCACGCCTGCAGGCCAGCACAGGTGCTTCATCTGAAAGCCAGTCAAACTTTGCAGGATTTTTATTCTTGTGGAATATGCATGTTAATCCACCCCTCTTCCATCAGACACATGTGAGGAGGTGGTGCAGCTGCGGGAGGCGGTGTTTACAGCACGTGCACGTCTGAAACAAGCAGAGCTGGAGGCAGAGCAGTGGAAGGAGGAGCTAAGACGACTTCAGGCTCACAGTCAGGAGCAGGGACAGCAGATACACATATTAAGGCAGGAACGGCAGGCCAGTCAGGAGAAAACCAACAGGTTGGTGTGTTTGCTTGAAGTGTGTATATACATGAATTAAACAGTGACTGATATGTCAATAGAAACTGTCTGTGTGGTTACATGTCTGTTCTCTGACTGTAATGTGCTGTATCTGTGTATCCTCAGACTCCAGCATGAGGTGTCTCTACTGCAGCAGCAGCTATGTGAGAGCAGAGAGCTCATCCACTCCCTGCAGAGTGAACTACAAGTGTACGATCGAGTGTGTTCCAGCACAAAGGCCAACAAAGGTCAGTCTGTTCATTGTACACTAACTATGTTTAATAATCTTTTTTTTTTTTTTTAAACTTAATTTAAAGCCACAATGTGTAGGATTTCTTTTGGAAATCCAAACTTTGGCCCCATCTAGTGACTGTGTAAAGGATTGCACATTCATTTTTCTACAAACAAAAACATCAGAACAGTTTGAAAGATGCTATAATTACATGATGATCTCCACATTGACAAACGTGTAAACAAGGTTTTATTGTATTGTTGTGCTGCAATAAAGTCTTACGAACCCCAAAGAGCACCGGAGCAGAAGCATGTCCGGTCAGACTCTCCAGTGATTATGTATTTTGTCTTCAGGCTACCTGTGTGAGCTCCCAGGTCTACCTGTGGAGCTGGGGGAGCTGCTCGGGGAGGTGAGGAGTCTGCGAGCCCAGCTGCAAAACAGCGTCCAGGAGAATAGTGCCCTAAAACAACTGGAGCTCCACAAGCAGCTGGAGCAGAAGCTGGGTGTCGGCTCTCCTCGGACTCCCTCCCTCTCTGCGCTCACTGCCAGCCCTCAGAGAGAAAACTTCTACAGACGACAGCTGCTGCACGGTGAGACAGACGCCTCTAGATATGGCACCGACATTAATACTACACAGAATGTTTGCGATGCTCAGTGTGCTGTGATGTGGTTTGCTGTGTGTCCAAGCCTGGTTTGTGTATCTGTGTGCTCCACAGACCCAGCTCCGTCTCCACCAGTCAGGGACATTGGTCTGTTTAACTGTGGATCTCCCGGTCCTCCCTACTCAGACCTGGACGACAGCCATATTACTACCAATGGTGTGACTTTAACTGCACTGCATGACTGCAGCTTAATCTGTCTTTAATTTTGTGGACTATATTGCTTCGTAACAATAATAACTCCTTGCTTTTAATGTGCATGACAGAAGTCTCTCTCTTGCAATACAGAAAAACACAATCATTTAATCCCTTCAAAAATACATTCTAGCTGTTTTTTCTCCCGCAGACCCTCTTGACCCTCACTCTGAGTTGGAGGGGGAGGCCCCTGACGGATCATTTGCAAACCGTAACGGCCGCCACGCCATCGGCCATGTGGATGACTTCAGTGCTCTTCAGCAGCAGGTCTTAGAGGGCCGGAGCCTTGTCCAGCGCATGGAGGCAACCCTGCAGGCCTGCCTCAGCCCACCGCTGCTGGATGGCGACCAGAAACAGAGCAGTGAGCTGGTGAGAGTCAAAAGGCCAAAAAAATATTGAGACAGTGACAACAAATCATTGAAATAAGGGCTGTAGAGCACAAACATCTAACTGAGCTCTGTATGCAGGTCCTGGACTATGGATGTGTGAAGAGCCTGCTGTCCAACACCAAGACTCTGAGGCAGATCCTGGAGGAGGTGATGTCTCTGCTGAAAATGTTCTGGAGAGCAGCTCTACCCAGCACTGATCCCTCCGTCCAAAACCTTAAGAAGGTTAGTGAAAATAAGAAAAAATATAGGATATCACCAGCCTTAAAAACACTATAATATATATATATGTTAAGCAGAAAGCCGAGCTTCGATAACTAGTGTCACTTTGTGTGTCTGTGTGCGTGTGTAGGAGCAGTGTATGCAGGAGGAGATCTTGTCCCTGAAACTGCGTGTATCAGAGCAGGAGGAGGTTCTTAAGGGGACAATTCAAAGACTGAGGAGCACCAGCCGCACCAAGGAGAGCATGGAGCACTTCATAGTCAACCAGTGTAAGTGTTTCTGTGCATTTGTGTGTGTGAAGGAGAGCGAGAGGTCACGAGAGAGCCGCACAGAGGTTTATCATGGGTGAACAGACTGTGTGGACTTGCAATAACATTAGAAATGTCTTTTTTCTAATTGTTTTTTGCAGTGTCAAGGACTCGTGATGTGCTGAAGAAAGCAAGAACAAATTTAGAGGTAAAGAAGAAATCACTACTTCATATGGACCCTCATTTGTCCAGGATATCACATATAATATAGATTATCTGTGTGCATACTCCATAGATTCACAGTATTATGTGAGTCTTTGGTATTTATGATGTAAATTCATCACTTTTGGCTTTTCTGTCTCACTTGTTCCTACGTCCTGCATTTGTCTCTCCCCTCCTCACCTCTCCTCTCTTCCTTTAAACCCCCCAGAAGAATGAGCTGAGACTTTCCTCTCTAAGCTCCTCCTCTTCCTCTTCTTATGCTGGTAATCGTCTGACATCTTGTGATCTTGCAAATAGGTAGACGTTGTCCCAGACACTGTATTATTATTATTACAGTATATGCCTACTGTAGGTGTAAAAGTAAATGTGATGGTGACTCTGTGGTCTGGGGCAGCTTTTACCTCTGTGTGGATTGGCTTTTTCTAACCATGCTGACATCATTGCTTTACCATCCCGTCTGACAGCGAGCTCCATTCTGATGCTCACCTTTCTGCCTTATTAGAATGTTTAGAAAGAAACATGGGAGATAATGCAGGTGATGCCGTCCCCAAATCTTTGTCCTGAGAAGAAAACAAGTGACCACACACACACACACACACAAACACACACACACACACACACACACACACACACACACACACACAGACAGCCACTTTCTCAATGTAGATGAAGTGATTAAGTGAGGTCTGAAGGATCTGCGTGTGTGTGGTCACCTTGTTTTCACCATGTGACACTGCCAAGACCAGCACCTTTTGGTGCGTGTTCTTAAAATCCCACTACAACTACTCAACGATTGTAAATTACTGTATTTCTAAGTAAAGCTGGTTGAATAGGTGTTTTAAAAAGCCACAAGTTTTTCCTGACACCAAATTGCATACGTGCACATCCATCTACTAAGCCGCCACTGCACTCAAGTGTTGTTTACTTCTACATGTCCTCTGTATTAAGGTGGAGTCTATTTATAGCTTCAGACCCCCCACAGTTAGTGCCAAAATAAATGCACACTACATAGTTTGCATTCTGTGTGTATGCTGTCACAGTATGGCTAAAGTATCTACACACGAAAACATGTGTGTGACAGCTACAAAAAAAGGTTTACTGCTACCCTACAATTTTAGGATTGTGTGGTGTCATAAACACCTAGATTGACTCACACCACCAGGCACGGAGCACACAGACGAAACACAGCGAGTGTGTGTGAGTGTGCGTGTGTGTATGTGTGTGTGTGTGTGGGGAGGATTTAAGTAGCAACATTGCTTATTCTCTAATCACTCACTCAGCTTTTCATCTGCAAGCAGGTGTATTTTGCGGAATTTTATAATGACTAACATTACTACTTCTTGCTCAGGTGTTTTTGTTGTTTTTGAAGGATTAGTTTGACATTTTGGGAAACATGTTTATTCTCTTTCTTACCAAGGGTTAGGGTTGGATGAGAAGATCGATACCACTCTCATGTCTGTATGGAAAATATGAAGCTATTGCCAGGAGACAGTGTCTGGAAACGGGAAAACAGCTCTTTCCAAAGATAAAATCTACCCACCTGCACCTCTAAATTTGCACATAACTTCCCTGTAGCACCACAACTTGCCAGTTTTTTTGTACTGATCATACATATCATGTTTGTTTAAACATGTTATACTGTGTATTAGTGAGTTTTAGAGATGCTGGTAGGTGGACTTTTTACCCTTTAGGTTCAGGCTAGCTGTGTTTCCAGTCTTTATGCTAAGCTAAGCTAACCGTCTCCTGGCTCCAGCTTCATATTTATCGTACAGACATGAGAGTGGCTTCTGATCTAACTCTTGGCAAGAAAGAGAATAAGAATATTTGTCAAAATGTTTAACTATTCCTTTAACATTTCACCACACCAGTAGTTTGTCAGTTTTATCAGGCTGTATAAGGACTGTTGAATAGTAAGTTGCATATTGTTTTCCCTTTCTCTTTTTGGCCCTAAATCCAGCTGAGGACCCAGGAGGTGCTGCCAGAGAGCGGCCTGCTGATCGCAGTTTCCTGAAGAGCAGCGGTGCTTCCGGAGCTGCAGCCAATCAACGTCCAGCGGCGAGGAAGCGCAGCAGCCAATGCCTGCTTTAGACTTTTAAAGAACCAGCCTCAACGCCACCACCTCTGACCTCTATGCTGAAACAGCCAAGACCCACAACCCCCACCCTCCTGCCAGCCCTCCACGCCAACCTTTTCCTGTCCCACCCAACCTCAGCCTTTACCTCCGTCCAGCCTTGAGAGTGCTTCCATCCTCCCCTCCTCCGGGCAATATGTGCACAGTATAATCTGCACCTTGAGCCTTACCAAACTCCCTTCAACCCGCCGCCAGTTTTCAGTCACTCTCTACCACCTCTCTCACTACATGTACTATGTCTTTGAGTGATACAGTCAGCAGTTTGCCTTGTCGTGTGTGTGACAGAAGAAGGTGTTTGAAATGTGCCTCTGGTGGTTTCAGTGACGTGCGTCCTACTGATGGAGCTGGTTGAACATGCTCCTAGACACTGATCTCAGACCAGGTGTGTTTCCATAAAGGCATAAAGGCATTTTGGTTTTAGGGGTTGTATTACAGAACATTTCAGGATAACTGTACCTGATTTATAAATTTAGAAAAATAATTTACAATGGAGAATTTTGAAAGAAATCAACTGTAGATTTGTGAGAACTTAACTTGGAGTTAAAATCTAAAGTTTCTAAAATAACCCCCCTCCAGGATCTGTGTCTAAGAGCATCCTCTCCTGAGAGCCAGACAGCCTGTGGACGGAATAAGTGTTCATGCATGTTTAATCGTGGCTTGTGAGAGGAATTCTGCACACACGTACACACACATATATGTATATGTATATGTATGTATATATATATACATACATATACATATATGTGTGGTCGAGATGGCTCACTCAAAGACAAGACATCCTCAACTTTTAACTGCCACAGAAATGCAAGTTTACTTCTCGTGGCACTTTTATTAACGAGGAGTTTTTTTTGCAAATGCAATGCAAGGAACAGTGACACCCACAACGTATCACTAGACACAGTGGAGGAATGTAGAGGAGGTAGGTGATCACTGCTAAGTAGTTGTGTATATCTGTATTTGTGGAGGAAGCTTATGAATGGTATGTCAGCCTTCAGCCAAGGGTTCTGAATAGCTGAACAAAAGCCACAGAAAGGTTCCATTTTAGTCACAAGCCTCCTCTTTTGGGTCCTAACGTTACTTTTTTGGCATCTACCTGCTGAATTTGAAGTCAAATGCAGGGGAGTGGGGTAAAAGAAAGCTTAAGGCTTTGATCAATCTGGTTGGTTGTGATTTCTGTACACTAGAATTTGTAAAAAAAAAAAAAAAAAAAAAAGAGGTTAAAGTGCTGAAATGGAACCAGGCTAAACACGCGTATTCAAGCTCCTCTGTAGGAGTTCTCATACGAGCATGTGCAATAATGATGTTTCTTGAATGATCATGCTGCACCGGGTTATTATTATTTCTTTGCTTGACACTGGATTATTAGTCACACTCATAATAAAGTTAGGACACAATCAGTGTTATGATTGTGCATTTTGTTCTGGTGTGTTGATGCATGACAGAGACTGTAAGTGGTAAAATCTAAGCTATGGAACAGGGGATTGCCAATACTTGCCAAAGTTTGAACTTTGAACTCTTTACTTTCACTTTGACTTGCCTTATCCATGCGAATGACAAACCTAGGTCTGATCAGACTTTAGGGATACCGAGGTGTCTTTTATTAAAAGGGCCTCCAGAACCACAGAGATGGTAACCGTTAGACAGCTAGTTCAGTTTATTTTGAATTGTGGAAATGAGCTCCTTTTTTTGGACCAAAACTCAACTAAGTGGATTTTTCCCTCGAGGCCATATGTTTTTGTCTTTATGTTATTTCTCGTGGTTCGTGGCCGTATACGCATTCCCATGGCAATGGCAAAATAGGTTATCAAGTTCTTATAGATGATGCAAACTTTGGCAGGCTACTGGTGGGATCATTGTTCTTTAATTCACTCACTTATAACAGTTCAACTTCATGTTTAGTTTGATATGTTTTCTTGCTGTACATTTGCCATTTCATGCTGTAATTAACCTGCTTTTTCTGTATGAACTTTTCTTTTGTTTGAGGGTGTGTGTGTGTGTGTGTGTGTGTGTGTGTGTGTGTGTGTGTGTGTGTGTGTGTGTGTGTGCGCATGCGTGTGCCTACGTGTGCGTGTGTGAAAAAAACATCCAACATTTGCTTTTTGCAAAGTTGATTTTCTGGGTAGCTGTGCAATAGCTTTATATCTTTTATTTTGATGTTAAACATCATTGTATTACGAGTATGTTTGCTACATTCACTTCCTGCAATGTATGATTTATATGCAGTGTATGTTAGAGGATTGTGTCACTTTGAATAAATTAGTCACGTAGGTTGTGTCTGATAAGAAATCACAAACTATGCCTTCATGATATCTAAGTCACTGATCACAATATTGTCCACCTATAACAAAGCTCGGATTAATGTTGCTTCGCTTGCCTTTAAATTTAGCTTGAGAGCTTCTTCAGTGGGCTCTCAGTGGTAGAAATGGCCTTGAACTAGCGCTCGTCTACCTGAGATCTGCCAAATTAGGTTTTGTTTGCGCTCGAGTCTTCAGAAAAAGACAAAAGTTGCCAAGTATTTCAATAGAAGTGAAAAGTTTGATATTACCTTTTGAAATTAAAGAAGTTAAAGGGAAAAGTTTTGAAGATTTGTCTACTGTAAAAAAAAAAAAAGCCAATGACTGGAAAGATTGTGAAACGCAGAATCCATAAAGCACCTTGTTAGAGCGTAAACAAAGCCTTTTTGCTATTGTTATTAAGGGAATCAAACAGCAGTTTGAAACAATGTATTGTTGGTTGAGTTACGTATGTATATAGCGCTATTTGATTGGTGCAGCTTTTATGTGATTGGAAAGCAGCTTTTTTTCTGAGTTTGTGCATAATGAACTAGAAAGCCGATACAGGACTCATATGGATCCTGTCTCTGATGACAGTTAACAGTGTGCTGTGTTGGCAAAAGTATTATCACTGAAAGATTTTGGTAAAGAATGAATAAAACACTTAAAAAGCTTGTGCGGTTTACTTTTGTTGAATGTTTTTGTTATTTAGATTTCTGTAAGCTTCCGCCTGTGCTCTTAGATAAAAGTTTCTACTTTGGTTTCATTAAAGAATAACCTAACACCAGGCTGCTGCACCTCTGGCAACACCCAAGAGTGTCACCATGTAACCAAACACATGCTACAACTAGACAGGTAAAACAGTAACTGATGGAAATAGAAATGATGCATGTAGACAATAAGTGTGTCTTTAGTCCAGGTTGGAGAAGATCAGTTTCAGTTTTATTTAATTTGTCCAGTACCTGAAAAAATATCAATCAAGACAAAAACATATATCTAAAGTATATGGGTTTATTGGACCAAACTGAACTACAAACATACAAAAGTGTCTTCAAAACACAATTCTGGCTTCTTCCACCAGAAAAGACAAAAAAAAGACAAAAAGGCAGGAATTAGGACCAGCGTGTCCTCTCTTTATTTGCAAACAAGTAAAACCTTGTACACTGAATCATCACACTGGTTCTGCAAAGCATTTTAAAACATTCATGAAATGGTTGTAAAATTCAAGTTTTGGTTTAAGCCTTAAAACACCATGTGGCGTCCACGGCGCTTGTTCACACACTCCCTTATTATATCTGTACGTCTTAAAAACTCTTTGGACAAAACTTAATGGCGAGGCTCGACATTCACAAAATACTTTCAGAGCGTCTAGTTGAACAACCAACAGGATTTATGAAAACCCCTTTTATAAGCCTGTAGCGTGTATCAACTGTGGGTATATACTGTACTGTAAGTGCAGACATTTAAACAGCACAACTTATGAGTGACAAAAATAACTTTCAAAGCCACCATATTTCAAAATACAGATTTTCTTAAATGGTTATACTGTAAAGAACACAGATGTGAGCAAACTTTGTACAACTTTTAAATTAATGGCAACTACTTATCCTCATTGCCCTGTAAATTCACCTGAAAATGTGCCTCTGATCACATTTCGAGGTGTGTGTGCGGCCGATCTGCTTCTGACTGCGTATCACACTCAGTACACGTATTCTTACAATTTACAGACATTCAATACAGGCAAAGCAGCAAGATGAAACAGTTCGGGTGAACGCGCCTCAGTGTATGACTATACATGTAACAGATACATACAGTATATTCCTATTTGATAAACAGAACTCAATATAGATGCACACACACACACACACAAGTATAAATCACTGCAAGTTTATCATATCTAGAAAAAAAAAAGAGCACAAATTGGATTTTATAGCCCAGAGAAGCTACAGTACAAGAGTTGTCTGCTGCATAGTTAAAAGCTTATATCAACACTTCCTGCTCACAGGATGGTAAAGTGCTCGCAAAATGATGTCAGGATAAAGGCAACAGCAGAACTAAACATCAACATCTGACCACCATTCTCCATGTGGAAATATATTTTTCCTGTTGAAACAGACAAGTACTCAATCTATAGTGACCTCTGCATTTACAAAACTGGACTGAACTTGGTAGTTTAGTTCATGTTGTAGATTCCACTGTGTGATGGCTTAACAGTAAGAAGTTCAACATAATATGTAATACTGACAAAATGAGTTGTTCATTGCTGTCTCGTGTTTTTACAGCAGGTTATTGCACTTCATATTCAAGCAATGCAGAGTCCGCTGCTCTCTTCCGCACCTAAACCCCCGACTCTGGGCCAGATGAAGCCATTCTGTCATTCTGCATGCACTTACCATAAATACTTACAGGTCAATTAGTTCAACAGTTCAAGGAGTATATGACGACACAACAATCAAAAATCAAACTGTTGATCTACATCACTACTCACATAGCCCTCGCTTTACGAGACTATCCTTAAAATCAACATAAAGAAACTAATCCTTTACAGATCACCTCCATCCTTTACTCCATATACTTAAAAATTAATCTTGCTTTACACACGCACATGCATATATTCACAATGTGCAGCAAACACTGAAATACACACAGTGATTTAATCAGTCTCTCGTCTATGTAGGGATGTCAGGTAAAAGCCACAGTATGGTTCTTGTCATCTCCTTCTGACACCCTCCATACACACACAAACACACTTGGCTACTTTTGTTCAGAGCCCTATGTAGACCGAAGTGCAACCCTTTAAAAAAACCAAGCCACAGTCACAGCCACTGGCCTTAAGCTCGCCTGTAAACTTGATTCAGTGCAAGATTTGGCTAAATGTGATGATACAGAAAAAACCAGCAGAATACAAACATGCTGCTCTCTAAAAGCCGTGTGGAGCAGGTCGAGGTTTAGATAGGCTTGTAAAGCAGAGAGGTGACGTATTTCTTCTTGTATCTGTGAGTCGCACTCAGTACCATCACTCCATCCTACACAGACAGAAACACAATAAACAGGCAAGCTGTCGTTAGTGGGATCCAAACCCATGGAGCAAATAAACATTGATGCTTATATATTTTTTTTTAAACCGCCATCTGGTCCACACAGCACGACGAAGAACACTGAAAATATGATTTTAAATAAAAACATTCACAATATTCAAAGTGTTTCATTAGCAGGTGTCGCGCTGCATTATTAGCACATTTAGCACAACCGTTCTGAACACAAATTTTGTTGCTTTAAGTATTTGAAAAGTCCCCCTCCACACAAACATGTTTTTCTTGTTTCTACAGAGTGATGTTTGAATGATGTCTGTGCAGAGTTGACAGTAGAAGGATGTTGTCACATTCATCTGCTGAAAGTGGAAAGTTTCTCTGTGCTCACTGAAAATCTGATTTTAAGGGGCGGAGCCTACAAGGATGACTTATGACATCACAAATTGTTTGGAAGTCAACCCTGGTCCAGTATGCAACTTATATGATGTAGAGACTTGAAGCCACCAGTGCACATACACTGAGAATAGACTTCACAGTAAAGTAGGAGACATATTCGTCCAGCAGAGAACGTATTTCAACCGTTTCCTGTGAACCTACCTTTATGGAGAGAGCGTAAAGATGGTTCAGCATGACATGGTTGGGTTCAGGCAGCAGGGCAGGGTCACACTGCCGAGAGAGAGGAAGAGGGAAAATTACAAACCACAGAGGAAATGGTAAACAACAACAAAGGCAACTCAAATTGAGGTCTGAGGAAATGGCAACAGGAAAGGTGGAGGCGATACTCACAGATATATTGGTGTCCTTGTTGAGAATGACTTGAAGGAGGTGAGGAGGGAGAATAGGTGGGGCTTTGAAATGCTCCTCAGGTCTGAAAACGTACTGCTCCTGCCCATATGGACCTGGAGGGGAGCTGGACAGATCTGCAAACATACAACAGTCATGATTCTGCTTCTGACAGGAACAATATCTTAGTTCAGTTTATATCAGTGTTTAATGTAGATGAGTTGACAACTACTGGTCAATCTGTAACTAAAATCATCCATAAAAAAGACAAACAAACACAAGAACGATTAAGTAATAATTTGTGTATCTGGACCAATCAACAGTGACTCTGCACAATTTCTACCCAGAAACTATTCACATTAATTTCCCATTCAATCTACAATTCCACACTCTCCATGTCTGTTTCTGTATTTAAACATTAACAATTAGAACTGTTTATTTGGTTGGCTAAAAACAGCGCAAGAACATTGTGGCTGACCTGATGTGTCCGACTCCAGAGAGTCAACCTGCAGGGCGTCAAACACCTCAAAGTCTGACTTCTTCACCTGGATCAGGTTGTTGATGGTGCCAAGCTGGCTGGTTACAACTGGCTGCAAAAGAGAAAGCAAGGTACCAAGAGGTAATGATGAAGCATTTTTATAAATATTATTTATAACATTCTGCACACATTTCCCTGGATTTGTAGGAAAGGCCTTAATGACAATGCTGTGAGTGCGGTTGCATATACAAAATTACTGGGAGCGGGTGAAGCCTTTCAAATAGCGTACATCAATGTTTGTATAGTTTTCTGTGGTTTTGGTGACCGAACTCTATGATAATAGAAACTGATAGTATCAGTCAGCACCTCATTGTTTGGATATTGTAATGTCAGTTTCTCAACGATGTCTTTTAAAATGTCTTAATTTCCTTAGAAGGTCCTATTCTTTCATGTTTATAGCATCATTGATGGTTATAATGTGCCAACATGCACTGTCTGGAACTGAACTGTTTGAGAATCCAAAAAGTACATACCCACTCGTAACATGTAAATGATAATGAGACAAAAATGACACTAATGTACCTCTGAGGCATCGTGGACCCACTGTCCATCTACAAAAAACTTGTACTGGTGCTCTCCTTCTGGCAGGTCTAGGATCGCTACAAAGTCATTATGGCTTTAGAGAGAGGAAAACAAAGAGTATTACTTCAAAACTGATTGGACAGGATTGGACAGGATTGGAGCGAATATGTATAAGCTGAGATAATTTACATGGGATCCCTAGAAAAACATGAGACTGAGAATGTACAGTACATGTACAGCATGCTGAATGCAAAACAAAAATAGGGGTTAACCTCTTATTCAGTGGTATCTTCGTGCCCCAGTTATTAAAGGAACCAGCTATGTAGACTTCCTTTCCTCCTCCGGCCCAGCGGATGACTGTGGGTCGAGCTTGAGGACCAATTTTCACTAGGTCATCCAGATCTGGGGTGAATTCTTTCTCCTCTAATACCTAAAAGCAATAAATTGATACCTCAACTATAAGCTGTTTTTCTGAAATATCATATCTAACAAATGTCGCAGATATCTGAAAGGTATTCCTGCAGGACAAACCAGATTCAGTACTCTGTATTTCTATTTCTGTGTTATACCTTGGACTCTGGCCCATGTGTGTTAAAGATGTTGGGGTCATCCGTGCTGTCCACCATCTTGCTGCTGGGTTCTTGGTCTTTGTGACTGCCGCTGCTGTCTGAGCGGTGCGCCTTTGCTCCATGGCGATCTCCAGCCACTCTGTCACTTGTGTTTCCCATAATGCCTCGCTATTTATGGTGCTATTGGAAGGAAAAGACAACTTCTTATATTGCTAAACGACTCAAATTTTACTGTAATCTCGTCATTTGGACACTAGACAGTGTCAGAATCAGTACTGCACAGCATAATAGCTGGTGTTAATTTAATGTCCCTTTACTCTGTCATTAATACTGCAATTATACTGTATACTTAGCATACCTATTCAGGGATCCAGTTCTCAGCATTATTAGTACTAATCATATACATATATATATTCTTATACATATACTGTAATGTAATGAACATATGTATACACTCTTATTTTACATTTTTCTATCTTCTATATATATTGTAATATAATGCACATATTTTAACATTATTATTATTATTATTATTTCTATTTCTTATAATGCCTTGCTTAGCAACTTGAGCAACTAGAACACAACCAATTTCCCCCAGGGGATCAATAAAGAGTCAGCAAAGGAGAAAGGGAGCAAACACAGTGTACACAAACTCATTAATAAGACAGTAACCGGAAGGGCCCTATGTTGTTTTGATTTGTTTTTACTTTCTTTTATGTCCCATGCGTGCAAGCCCCAGCTTGTGCCTCACATGTATTGTTATATGACAATGTAACGACATGTCAGGCATGAGATGAAGAGTGAGGGTGATATGTGGCCATTTTAAAATAGCCAACACCATGTTAACACTTGCAATGTTTAACTAACATGTTCATTAACTGCACACATCATGACCCCGCAGTCTGGCTCTCCCATACGGCCAAACCGCTTTCCAGAGAGGCTAAAGGGCTTATCAGTAAGCTAGACAACCTCAGATAAAGTCAAGTAACCGGGCACAGTCTCCTATATGCCAGCTGTGAACGAGGACCTGCTCCAACAGATCAGACTACAACCCTACAACCCTACAACCCTAACCCTACAACCCTACAACCCTAACCCTACAACCCTACAACCCTAACCCTACAACCCTACAACCCTAACCCTACAACCCTACAACCACTCAACGTTGATGCTCACAGCACCGTCTGTTCACGCCCCCACCACCGTTACTTAACGAGCAACAAGTTTTCACTTCCCAAACCAAAGCTAGCCAACATTAATAATAAATACAACTAAACTGAGAGCGCTGGGTGAATAGTTTGGCCAGCTGTAACCTACCAACCTGTCCTATCCGTCAGCTGTGCCCGCCTCGGATCACTTCAGCAACAGAATATTTTTAGCCACAGTTAGCCTCAGTTAGCTCGCTGTTAGCTGTCACTTTATAACAGTCAGCTAACCGACGATAACCCCACCGTGTAGTACCGACAGAGGGGACCAACTCACCGACACCAGCGGGCGTTATGTACCGTCGGTTTGTTTTTAGCGGAGGGCTCACCTTTATCTTTCTCCGACGACTGCTGCGCGATGGTGCCCCGACTACGGTGTGTGCAGCTAGGACAAAATTAGTGGGACGATTTCACTATCAGCAGGGCGAAGGACTACCGGGTCGCCTGAAACGCTGCTAAATAGTAAACATAGGAGTTTAAAAGATGTATACAGATCCAGTGACATTATACTGCGGATAGTTATTATTTTAATTATAGTCAAGCAGCAAAAGACATTTTTTGGGGGATATTGGGGGGCAGTCATATGTTGATGGTTTCTTGTTTAAACTGTTTTAAATATACATATTGGATGTTCTTGGTGTCCATAATAGAAAATGGAAATTATTATTTATTATTAATATTATTATTGACAAATAATTTGGTCTAGGCTGTGTTAATCTTTGTAGGTAATGTTTTGAGTATTTGCTTTTAGGAAAACAGAGATTGTTTCAGTCCTTCTCACTGCACACGCTTTAGCATCCATAACAGTCTGCCCAAGTAACTCCCTTTGCTGCAGGGAGGGTTCTCCCAGCCACATTCATTAATTAGGTTGACTAAGATATAAACTAGGTCTTCCTCTTAGTTTTTTTCATTTTATCTTGAAAAAAAAAAAGAATAGAACCCTTTGTAGTATGAATGAAAGCAAATTCTTGAACTTGAGACTGGGAATAATTCTCCTCCACATTAGTTCTTCTTCTGAGTCTATATTTTGTCTGCTTTGTCACAGTCTCTCTATAGTCTATTGCTTTTATCTTCTGGTTAACTTGTGTTCAACTGTCACAGAAACACCAAATGCAAGTTTTACATGGAAACATGTCCATGTGTTTTGTCTTTATTAACCATTAGGTGGAGCTGTTCACACATCTCAGTGATCTTCAAACCAGTGATCCCCTCTCCCAAGAGCTGAACTTGACACCACACCTTTGTTCTCACATAACCCTTCTAGCAAAGACCATGAGAGCTTTTCATTTTGCCAATGCGTGTCCTCACTCGTTTCCTTTCCTCGCGTCTTAGTTCCAGCGAGGAGGTGAGAGAGAGATGCGAGGAAGCATAAGTTAGTGTAATGAAAAGCTCCCCCATGTTAAAGCTCTATGTGAAGTTTTCAAACATTCAGGTTAACAACCATTAAATCAACCAGTTTTAGTTTCTTAAAATCCATATGAATGTAACTTATATTAATGACAAAAGGTAGATTGTCATCTTACATAGTAAATAAAGCTTTCCCACCCTTGGGCAATGTTGAAAGAACAAATAACAAAATGTCAAAAAGGAGCAGTATCCTGTTGTGGGTTTTTATGTTTGTTTGGATGGTAGAGGTGTTGAAGTGTTGACATGAAGAGAGACGAGACAAACATGCTCCTTGCAATTTCAGTCCAATGACCAGTTATTACTGTTTTCTTACAGTGTGTTACCATTTAGTAACCATCATCCAAAACCCTGTAAATAATGGTAGCTGAAAACAAATATATACAGTACATAAATACAGTGAATATATAGTAAAAAAAGCACATTTGCAGATGTCAGAAAGTTCACATGGAGTGGCTGTAAGGCACATGTAAATGATGAAAATAACAATCAGAAGGTGGAATTAGTGATTTTCACATTGCACAAGATCCAGTGTTGAGAGTTATTGATTTTTCAGGGCCAGTTATTTTTAGCTGACAGCTGATGTCTGAAACTGATGTCACTCTCGGGCAAGTGTTTACTAGCTAAAACAGTGTAAAATTACCTCAGAAAAGTGTGGACTTTAGCACTTAAATTGGCACAGTGTCAATTTTCCTCATTCTTAGTTTAAATAAGACAATTAACTCTTAACCATAAGCTCCACCTTTGTCTAGGGAAAATATTTCTTTTGTTACCAAAAAGCACAACAGCATGTTCCATTCAGCTACCATTCTGGCTTGATCACAGTAAGTAAGAAAAATAGTAAGTAAGATTATTTTAACAACCCATTATATTTTCTACTCTTTATGTACAGTAGTATCTTGTCAAATATTGTTTGGGACAGTGGGTAAATTAAGAAGTAAGGATAAAAGGATAAGAATTAAAGCATGCGCACCACAACTGATAAATGCTTTAGCTACTGACAGACATCCCTTAGTGGGACACATACAGCTTCCCATCCTCTGAACTCCTGTGCCAGCTTGTGGAAGTCATGCTCTGTATGCTCGATGTCTGTCTTGGAGTATTTTCAGGCATTTTCAAGTCAGTAAATGTTTTCTTTTCATTCACTTGCAGCATCATTTGATTCCTAAGCCAGTTTTCATGTACTCGTAAACCACATAGCTAATGCTGACAGCCGGAATGACTTTCATGAAATTTGGCAGGATGCCTCGGTAGAGTCCAAAAAAGCCGTCTTTGGCTATGATCTTCTTTATCAGAGTACTCATGGAGGACTGGTCTGTTGCATCCAGAGACGCTGGAGAGAAAAAGTAAGTTAGGGAGTCAGCACTGCATCTGAAAGCATGTTTTTTATTCTTGTACTGTATATTAACAGCAGCTATACTGGACAACGTTTGCATCCCCAAATAAGTGTATGTTGAAGGAGAAAACGTCTGCACACTGATGGGCTTCGAAGGCAACATTCTGGTCTGCAAGCATTACTTTAGATCGAAATGTTGCCTTGTAAATATATATTTGCAGCCCATCAGTGAGCAGACCTTTCCTCCTTCTGCAGTGACATTTGTTGTGAATGTTTACAGAAAATATGGGGTACCTTTACCAAGATTTTTCACCACATAAACATATTGCCTATCATGAAAGATACTATGAATACTGTGTATTATGTGCCATGTAAGTTTTGTCATCACTGTTATGAAATGTTAGACTGAGTTTACCTTGTGCCTGCATCCTTGTGCGCACAAGCGCGAGTGGATAGCTGGCCAGCTGGCCACACGTACTAGAGATGGTCCCGCAGGCCACTAACACCAGAACTCCAGGGTTAGCCGAGTCTTTGGCGTGGTACGACAACCAGGCATTCTTCAGACTCTAAGACCGCAGAAAATGGTGCCAGGAGATTGGGGAAACAATTAACTACTGTACATCAGCATGGCACAAAGATTAATTTCCTCTGATTTTAATTGAATGTGGCCCTGCAATCCAAGATGAACTGGTTTATCGTTCATACAAATGAGTTTAATTTAACAAAGTACACTCTGTTGTGAAATATCACCAACGGGGCCGAATACGTCACACAGCCTGCATACCTCATAAACAGCGAGGTCTATCCCAGCATAGGGAATGATGCCCACTAAGTTTGGAATGTAGCCCTTATAGAAAGCCATGACACCTTCTTTCCTCAGGATCTTCTTGGCGCAATCAAACATTCCTGAATACTGGCCAGTTTTCCTCAGGGTCAGTCTAGTTTTCAACACCTTAAAGAGAAAAAAAAGAAAAACAAACAAGTGTTGTATTTTGAAGCTTTGGGGGGACTTTGTTTATTTTAATGCATGTCCTGAACGAGACAGTATGATGAAACAGTGATGCAACACTTGTCTTACCTCCATTGGGTAGATGGCTGTCTGTGCTGTGGCCCCAGCCAAAGAGCCAGCCATAAACCTCTTGTGTGTCTCAATGTTCTTGCCCTCTGATGATAATAACTTCTTATACTACAGGAAACATACAAACGGCAAGAAGATAAATATGCGCCCCATATATTTATATATGTTTTAAAACTGTAATGAATACCATCAAGAGCTTTCAGTCCCTTACTTGCTCGTATGACATGAACTTGATCGCCGTCTCGGGCGCGATCTTTAAAACGTTGATCCCATTCCCCCTCCACAGTGAAGTTATACCTCCCTCTATGATCATCTGCTTGAAGCCGCCAATCAGACTTATCCGGTTGGTCTTAGAAGAATGAACCTGCAGTTCAAATATATAGTGTTTGCAGGACAGTTCACATTATTCTGTTTCTTACCTGATCCCTGTGAGGGAAAGAATACATTTTCCTTGATATATTTCACCTGCATGAAGACTTTCATTCTGTCCAGAGGGGCAGTGCCCGTACGAGAGACGGCCCCCGCCACTGCGCCTGCAACAAGCTGCTTCCACCAGCCGCCTGAGCTCTTCTCCTCCTCTGTGAATTCATCTGGGATGGCAAGACTGTCACCTATGTCCAGCACCTAGTGATTACATAAACAAATGTACTCAAATCACCTTTACTTATGGACACCATGTGCGTCAGCAAAATTGCTCTTGTCAGAGCTATGAACAAAGTTTCTGGCCATAATAAATACTGAAACATATCACAATGTAACATGTAATATGCCTTTGAGAATGTGTCTTTCTCAGGAAGCTACAAGTCACAAGCACTTCACTTTTTGAGGTCTATTTTCACACTGACAGCAACACTTATTTCAATCTTGCCAAATTACCAGTTGTACACTGGAGATAGGGCAACGTTTACAAAACCTTGAATGAAGCGTTTCAAGGTAGTGAACATAGAAGCATAACTTGTTTCTTTTCACTGTATATTGTGAAAAACAGGATAAAACTGCAGGGGTTGTTTGTTCTAACAAACAAACAATGAGTTGAGCTCCTTGCCCTTTAGCTAGAAGTGCTTGTGAAACCATAATCACTGAGCTGACTGAACCCTCGTCTTGCACGCTTTAGCTGTGTCAGATAAACATGTCCAATGTTTTTCCAAAAGCATAAATGTGTCGGTGGCAAACATGGAGCGGTGGCAATTTAATGCAACTCTGCAGGGAAATGCAATGGCTGGTGCAGATAGCTGTGTGTCCTGCGGTCACTACTGTGGTATGAGAATGCAGCTTTGTCTGGTTTTGTTATCTAAGACGCCATAAATGTGTAATGCAATGAAGACATTTCTAAACATTTAGAAACAGAAGAGAGGCACTGTTCAGCTCATAAGCGAGCAAACATCTTGTGCAGGAGAAGTAACAAACCAGTCAATGACATATTTATTAGCACTAGAGCTGGAGGAGCAAGCTGAGGGAAACAGATTGTAGTGACGCGACCTAATTATGTTGGACAATCCAGTCTTTAAAAGCTGCTGCCAAAATACAGACTGCAGAGAAAATCCATAATATCTGACAGAAGAGAACTAGGCATCACATGATTTACCCCACCGCAGTTGCATCTGTATTTGACTACAGAGTGTATTTAGCAGTGTTTGTGTGTATGTGTCCTGTACCGTGGAGTGTTTCCAGTAGCGCATGATCTCTTCCAGGTTCTGGGCCGGGTGTAACAGGAAGTGTTCTCTCCACTCGTTCCAGTCCACCATCATGGTCCCATCAATGTCCATGCTGAGGAGACCCAGACAACATCTTCACCTGTGAACTACTGACCTTTTATGTTGCATTACATGGTAAGCACAACACTGACCCAGATAAAGCCAGATAGCAATATTTGTATAAATAAGAACATGATACAGTGGATAATAGCGGAGGTCAAACCTCTGTAGTATTTTCAGGGCATTCTCTCTGCTGACGTCCATGCCCAGCTCTGCAAGGGACTGCTGGATCTCTGAAGCATCAATGCGCCCTGACACAACAGTAAGAAAAAACTCTACTCAAACATGCTGCAGTATAAACAGAGGGTATGTGCTTCTGTAAACATTCACTGGCATGTGTCCCATGTGTGGACACTTATGCCAAGTATTTTTACAGTGAGGTAGCTCCTGCAACCCCTCAGCTCCTACCATCGTTATTTCGGTCCAGACTCTTGAATGTCAGGCGCAGCTTCTTCTCGTGATCTTTCAGATATTTGGAGAACTCGTTGAAGTCGAGGCTCCCGTCTTTGTTTTGGTCACCGGACGACACAATTTTCTGCAGAGATGAGATCAAATCTAATGGTTAATTTGCCTGCTCCTGGTGCAGAGTACCAGAGTGACTCTCACGCACACACGCGCGCGCGCACGCACACACACACACACACACACACACACACACACAGCCAGCAACACAGTCACACTACTATGGAATTTCATGCAAAACGAGCAGGCCAAACCCTGAAACTCCTGTCTATACAGGACCCCCACGGTTCCTGAATGTACCTGTGCAGCACCCAGTCGGAATATGCCCATCGCCTTGAGGCCCGCTCGTAATTCAGCGACGTCCACCTTCCCATCCTGATTGGTATCAAGCCTCTCGAACAGGTCCTGGTATGACCTCTCACTGTCGGCATCCCAGCACCGGGCATTTGATAGTAAAAACGTCCGTAACGTCGGATACATTGTAGCGCTAATGTGGAAGCGACGGGCAGACGGCTCGTCCTGCAGTCCCGATCTTAATATCAATCCATTTTGAGGCGCAATGATAACCCTTGCTAAAGTCCAATATGAGCACTGCTTTCGCGATGAAGAAATCGGGTTTCCAGTGACTTTATTTTGCAGGCTGTCCCGTGCAAAGGTGTATTCCGTAGCGTTTCAGGAGGAACTGCAGCAGCAGAGGGCGGAGCGATAAGGCTGCGTCGCTGTTTTCTACGGAATAGAGGAAAGATGTCAACATAGAAAAGTGGTGAAATAAATAATCCCTGGATTAAGCATATGCATAATCCGGTTTATGATTCTAATATTGAACCTTCTCGACGTTTTTTTTCCACCCTGGTTTCGTGTGATATGAGATGGTGCCTTAGAGGTGAAATGTAATCTCTTCATCTAGCAGGACGTGTCGGTACAGAAACACTCAGTGTAGTATTTCTTACAGCGCAGCACCGCCGCTGGCCACTAGAGGGCGGTGTTTCCTCACAGAAAACAGTTAGGGGCCCTGTGTGTGGCATCTCTGGGCCCCTCAATTTAACTATAAACTAATTAATTTTACTGGTGAATTGTTATTACTGACTGTCAGAGATGTTTATTAAACTGGCCATTTTTGATACCCTATTGTTGTATAAAATATATTTAGGCCCTTAGATACAGTGGTTGAAAGTAACAATAACTCAAGTCCTGTGTTTAAGTAGGCTACAACTTTTAAGGTACATGTATTTAGCTGGTACTACTTTTTAGAAAACATATGGACAGTTTGTTAAATGGTGATGCATTCCTATAGACTGAACTACTCAACAGTATATAAGGGGATACAATTTCCCACACCTCAACCAGATACAACATTATAATGCTGCTTAGATGTGCACACATTAGTAATAATAATTTGATAATATAATCTGTATATGACACAATTAAACTCTGTAATCCCAGATCTCAATGACCGCTCAAAGGAGAAGGAGACAGGGCATATCTTGCTGCCCAGTATGTATTAATATGCCACAGTGTGAGGGACAGGGCGTGAACACATACACACACACACACACACACACACACACACATACATTTTTGTTCTCACTAATCTGTTTAAACATACATTTTATACTTCCTTAGGCTGTATCTTTCCCATGCCAATAAAGGCCCTTTGAATTGACCTGAGTTGGTTGTTGGGTGTTCAGACTGTCTTAAGTAGTAAGTACTTTAAGTATTGTCATATGCTTAATTTGCATTCCAACTTTTTGTCACATGTCGGCCGAGCGATAGCTGTCTTGACTTCTATTAATCCCACTTCTCCTTTTTCCACATTTGTGGTCACGGGAACATGTTACACAGTGCATTAACCTTAAACACTAGTATATTTCTCCTTCCACTTCCACTGGGGGTTTTGAATGAGCTTTCAGCCAGTAAACTCAGTACAGTCCCACCATCACAATCGTGACCTCGGTATTTCTATTTTTTTCTGCAGCAGCAGCAGCAGCGTCCAATCAAACGATGTATTCTCCCTCTCGTCATGCAGTGTGTTTTTCGGTGGGTGTGTGAAGGAGGAGATTTGAACTTTGAATGCAGACACACGGCAGCAGGCAGCAGCTGAGAGAGCAGCAGTGGGAGCACGGAGCGGGGGAAAGTGTTCAGCTGTCTGGCAGCTTTTTACCACTTCACTGTTGTGACCCGGTCTCTTCTCACAGCTTAGGATACACCATGTCGTTCATTCTCACAAAGAAAAAGAGGTTTAAATTCAAAGTGGACTTCGACCTGGAGGAGCTGTCCTCGGTTCCCTTCGTAAACGGAGTCTTATTCTGCAAAGTTAGACTCCTAGATGGAGGCTTTGCTGCAGAGTCGTCTCGGTAAGAAGTTTTGCTATTTATAGCGACAGTTTACCGGTTGTTCTAAATTTAAGCTAAACTTGTGTTTTGTTTTTGACCATTTTAAGCGCCTGTTTAGTTTTGGTTTTCGTTTTTTCCCATTTGTTGTGTCGACTTTGCCTCTAACGGCGTTAACGTCAATGAATGTGTAGTTAACGTTAACGTTAAGCTACACAGTAACTAACTATCCACCGGGTTAACTAACGTTATACAAAGCTGAACAGGAAACCGTATGTTAACTTACCTAGAGCACAGCCATAGACTGTATGAAACGGTATAACGCAGCAGGCTGACATTTGTCACTAAAGGGGATTTCTGCCTCAACATGATTTAATTTTGTTTTCATAAGGACAATAATTTAAAGATTATAGCTCACCCAGTCTTTTGTAGCACTTGAAATACATTTAAAGGCAATGACAGCTACTTTTTTAAAGGATGGAAATAGTTTTTTCGTTAACCTATATTTACACAGTTCATCAAAGCAGTTGCTAAGCAACAAGTAACGTTAGGTTGAAGTAGATTTCGGCTGAGTTAAATCTAAATAACTTTATTTTTTCATGAGGAACTTAATCTGTGTACACAGTCTACAATTGTTGGAAGTAAATACAAAATAAGTAAGATTTAAAAAGTTTATTATAATAATAATAATAACTACTTTTGTACGATTGTTCAGTAGAACAGACTGTTGTGGTGGCGAATTTGTCTCCGGTTAATTTTTCTTTCTCTTTCATCTGAACATTATTATGGGATTGTTTCTGTTGATGACAGTGACAACCAAAAACTTTTGTTTCCCCCATTGCAACGGCGCATGCGCGGTTAACCCCCCGGGCCTGTGATTATAACTGCTTTTAGCATTTTTAAATGAGTCACTGGAAAAACGGACACAGCGTAGCACAACCGCTAACCCCAATGACTTTACCATGGTAACTGTTCCTAAAAACTACAGTCTAAACTCTGTATTCATACTTGTATCCTGCTCCAACCACAACTATTGTCTTTTTTTTTTTTTCAAATACAGGCATAGCGACAGTAGTTTATGATGTATGGGTGTTATGGTGATTATTTTTAGGTTAGTTCTGTTAATACCACTATCATTTTTAAAATAACTCCTAAAACTGCTAAAATATCATAATGTTATGAAGCTGTAGTAATATTTTTATATCCTAGTGGCAAACTAAGATATAGAACATACTATAAAGCTTCACCCCCTTAATGCTGCTGCCATTGATCAGCACTGTCTGTTCTGCATTGGACCATGTGAAGTCCAATTTACTAATATTGCCCCAAATTTCAAATCTCATTCGTCTCAAAGGCCTGTCTTCTTTTGAAATATATATATCAAGTACAGTGAGGATCCCATCACAGAAGTGAGGTCAACATTCATACATAAGACCATGTAACTGTCCTGTTGTCCCATCATCTAATATAACTTTGTAGCAGAAAGCTCAAAGCCTTGTGGAAGATCACGAGCTCATTTGACAGACTAAATTAACTACTACTACTTTCTTTTACATATTCTGATTTTAGTTTGAAACATGCACAACATAGATCTGTCAGAAGTGTGATTAATATGTATTCTTTCAGTGTTCAGTATGTTTGTGTGTAAAGTAGTGTTTCTAAATGTGCTTCTCTCACAGGGAGTCAGTCCAAGCCAACTGTGTGCACTGGAAGAAGAGATTCTCTTTCATGTGTAAGATGAGTGCCAGTGCTGGGACAGGTGTACTAGACCCCTGTTTGTGCCGGGTGTCTGTCCGCAAGGTACAGGACATTTTTTTCTGCCATCAAGCTCTTTTTTGTTGACGCTACAAAAATGCATGTTCCATAGCAGAGTCCAAACAGTTCACTGTCAAATTGTAACCACAAGTGATTTGTTGCAATGGTCACACTGCAAAGAGTCGCAAATGTTTTAATGAAAGTAGTGTGTGATATAGTAATGAAAAAGGGGAAATGTAATCTCACTAATTCTTGTGTTTTTTTTTTGTCATTTTAGGAACTGAAGGGTGGAAAAACGTTTGCAAAGGTAATACTTCTGTTGACAGGCATTTGTTGTAAACAAAGCAGCTCACGTACCAGAGATCCATTAGAGCGGTCTTATCATAAAATTAATGCGATAGCAGTCGGCCTCCAAGTGCCCTTGGAGCACCTTTCGGTTGGTCTATTTACTGACAATGTTTTTATTTCTAGTTTCCGGCTTTGGTTACTGATTAAAAAAATCTGTAAATCAAAACCCCACACTATGTTAATCAGTAACTTTAATTATGAGCTAAAGAATTTGGTTGTCTGATATCTCAAGGATTTGTGTTTCCAAAAACCTGAGCTGGGTTGGATTTCTTCAAGTGTTGATTACTGAATGTTTTATAATACCACATTACCACAGGAAGACACTTTATAGAGATAGAGATAGAAACTTGACAGACTCTGTTCAATACAATTTATATTCAGTAAAATTGTATACCTAACAATGTAAACTCAAATGGTTCAAACTGGTTGATCTCTGTTATCCCTGTGCAGCTGGGCTTTGCTGACTTGAACCTGTCTGAGTTTGCTGGATCTGGCAGCACTACACGGCGGTGTCTCCTAGAGGGATATGACACCAAGAACACCAGACAAGACAACTCAATTCTGAAGGTGTGGCAGTGTTTTAATGCATAGCTGTTATTTAGCAAAAACAAAGCCTGTTCTTGCTATTCTAATGCAAGTCACCATTTATTGAGTTAATCAGCAGAAGTAGTAAAAGTAAATGTAAAAGTTTGATTTATGCATGGGAAAGTTAAAATACCTGACATCATAGGCTCAGTACATGTCTGAGCCTGTGAGCTATAAACTGTCTGAGCCATGGGAATGAATTTTAAATATGTGGATTTTTCCTGGGGAGCAGGTCTACACAATGGGCTTACATTTCACAAAATGTTACTCCTTAGTTACCTTAGATCAGTGGAAAAGTCAGATAGCATTTAAAATTATTTATTTAATAATTTATTTTTGACCACATACTCCACGAACCCACTTTGGCATGGAGTGCAACACATGAGTTGGGGATACATGCCTTAGACAGAGAACAGCAAACCTTTCAAATTAAAGCCCCAAACTGACATTACTCTTATTCTTTCTCCTATTACAGGTTGTCATCACCACACAGCTTATGTCTGGAGACCCCTGTTTTAAAACGTAAGTGCTCATTTTGATTTTGTGTTTATCACTCATCATTAAAAGTCTGAATATCAGTTCAGTTTGAAACTCGTAACTAAGGAAACGTTTAACCTAGTTGTGGTTGCAAATAAAGTCTGTACTCCAAATAGAAACGTCTGCATCTAACCACAGAGGAAAGTGTTTCAATCATATCCTGTTTGTCACCTAACTGAAAACTCTTGTCTGATATTACCAACAGCTTTAAAGTTTAAAGTCATGAAGTATTATTTTGTGGTTAAGATCTTATCACAGTCTTATCTGGGAGCTGATAACACCTCACCCAGACATTAATCTGCCCAACCTCTGTGAAGAACAACAGCTGATATGTGATCAGCTCAGCCCAGAGGTTGTATTTCTCTTTTGTCAAGAGCTGTGTGTAGAGCAGTTTGTCACGAAGGACGTGGTGTAACATCACACTCCTGGCAAACCTGTTCCATGTGCACACAGTGAGCTTTCTTCAGCCAGCACCAAGTCATTCCCTGTATTCTTTCCCAACGCCCTGCTGATGTAACAATATTCACGCTGCTGCCTAGGAGATGTCTAAAGTGTAAACTCAAGTCTGGCCTAGTCATTCATCCCACGCAGTGTTACTCATAGAGCGTGGAGGATTTACAGCAGTACAACAAGAAAGATGACGCTCAGTTTTTTTTCACTGTGTGTCTGTCACTCTTTGTCTGCCTTTCCGCCCTCAGTCTTCTGTTTAACATAGCATCTCAGCAGCCAACAAGAGTGATTTCCTGTCTGCTAAACCAGACATTGTTGAAAAGTGATTGTCACTCTATTTTGAGATTTTCTACTTTGATGTTTTATTTCTGAGGTGTTGAAATACCTGCAGTGTAATCATTACACATTACAGCATTTTTTTATATTTAAAGGTGTATTTGATGTCTGCATCAGCATAAAAACAACTCAATGACGTGTATAGGCTGAAACAAACAAAAAAACATCCAAGTGTTCCTGCCGTTCTAAGCTATTCACCTTTTTGACCAAGAAGCAGATGAATATGCCAGTTTAATTATCGCAATGAGCAATATTTTGTGATTTGGTTGGCTCAAGTTGTTGTTTATAGAAATATAAGACGATTCCTGGGTAGCAGCATGCAGGTAAACATACTCGTTGTTGATAAAGCAGTTATAGGAATTCTTTCCCAAGAACACTTGAGACACCACCCTGCTTCTCAGTAACATCAGTCTTTTCTGTGTTCCCTTTAGTCCTCCATCTACAGCTATGACTCTGGGAATCCCACAGGCTGTAGCAGAGTGTCTCCTTGAGGACAGAAAGGGAGGGGACATGCACATATCCCATTCACTCACTGGTATGTGTATACAGACTCTGAGGCTAAGAAGAGTTTGCTATTCCTTACAATAGCAAGATTTTAGTAGTCAAGGTTTACAGTAGTCAACAGTAACATTTTCAAAATTGTTTTTTTCTTTTCATAAGCCCCTGAATACAAAGTATCATAAAGAATAAACACTTCCTCTGAACACATAAGCTGTGTGTAGAACTGTTTTGCTTATACTTGTGTGTGTGTTTATTCATTTAGAGACTCAAGGAAAGTCAGTATCCGTTCCAGAGGAGCTGGTAGCTTATGGTCACTCTAGAACACCCAGCTATGCAAGTCAGCAGTCAAAAATCTCAGGTACCAAACACAGAGACACATATTTATTCCCCTCAAACAAAATCAACTACCCCACTGGTTACACAAATCATAGGAATAACCTCAGTGTGCTTTCTCTCCTGTCCGGTAGGTTACAGCTCAAATCACTCCAGTTTGACAGATCTGAGCCATCGGCGAAGCGCGTCAGGCGGTTCTGCCTCCACAGGCATCGGCAGCATCCTAGAAACCAATGATCACCAGGGGGAGAGAGGAGAAAGGGAGAGCAGGACCACTCCCCCAGTCTGTGCAACCCGTCACCATGCCCCCGAACACCCCTCTACCCCTGCTAAAGTTCCAAGGTAATACACATGGTTACCATAGTCTGAAGAAGACACACCGCAATTTTAAGTCTCTTTCTGATTTTGTATTTTTAAGAGATTAAGTATTTTTTAGGAAGCACATTTGTGTAATATTCCACGCTGTTTCTGTTTCTTCATTAGACATTTAGTGAAGCAGAACTCTATGGAGAATCAGCTGAAGAGAGTTGATGCCACCAGGGTGGATGCTGATGACATAATAGAGAAAATCCTGCAGAGCCAGGATTTCAGTCATGGCTTCTTGGACTCCAGTGCAGAGGGTGTGTACACCAAATCCCTAACTTAGTGGACTTATGAAAGCTGTCTTGGAAAGTTGCCTACCATCTTGCTGATGGGATCAGATTACTTTTAGGTGTTGCAATGCAACAACGCAATGTCTTTAAGTACTTCCTTCAAATGATGAATGATGATTAGACATTTATGATGGCAAATCATACATTGTGTGTCAGTTTAGACCATACTTACATAATGACCAGCCTAAATAAAAGTCTATTTAATTAAGGATTACAGAGTTTAGGTTACATATCATTTCTATGAATATCACAAGGGCAGTTTAACCTCACTGATAGCTGAGCACACAATGTGGCAGCCATGTTACAAAGCCCTGCCCTTAACCACAGACTTAATGTAGAGGACAATCATTCATTGTGTTAAGAAATGGTGACCCTGTTGCACACATTTCTGATGGTTCCTCAACTATCAACCCCCTCTCTTGATGCTGCTTTGTCATCTGCCTCACCAACCTCCCCTACAGTGTCCCCCTATCAATTGTCATTTATTTTTAAATGTTCTAGAAACTATTGTGAGCCATTAAAACCCTTACAGTGCACTGATTGTCACTATCCTTATTCTAATGTGTGTGTATGTGTCTATTGCTGCAGAGGAGGGGCTCAGCTTGTTTGTTGGTCCTGGTGGGAGTACAGCCTTGGGAAGCCAGCACACGAGGTGGGTGTGATTATGTAACTGTGGGCTGTGGGTGCCACGCACCAGGCATTTACTGCAAATATAAATTCACTGCACATACGCTAAATGGGGGTTCTTATGCAGTGTCTTTTTATTGACCACATGACTGGTCATCACGTTGTTTGTTTCTAAAATGTAAAATTTTATGTTAAGATTAAATTTCAGAACACATCGTTAAACATACAAGACGGCACCACAGCCAGATCTGATAACTACCCTCTCTTCCTGTCACGTAACACATTGTGGCATTCTCTTTCAGGGTGGCAGCTGGAGCCTTTGAGCAGGTGGTGATCAAGCGCTAGGCTTTGGGAAGCATGTGGCTGTCATGAAGGGTGCCGTATTACACTGATGCGGGAGACACAAGACTGAGTAGTGGAGGTGCCCCCAGAACTTGCTCCTGCCTGCATCTGACCTACAGCGTCTGTTGACCAGGATAGCCCTCTAGTGTTCAAGAAGTGGAGTTGAAGGCCACATTATTGGAACATTTTGGTGACGGAGATACACTAGTGTACTAACATTTCTGTTAGTCTTGTGCTCTATGAAACAAGTAAGACTAGGGGTTACTACTGTAATTCTACACATACTGTTCACCCATCTTGGTGACATTCCTTGACGTCCCATCTATTTAAAATAATAGAAAACTGACACTGTGGAATTGGTGTTACAGCACCACTGTGTGTCTGTAGCTCAGTCCCATTACAGATACACCTCCATTCACCTGGTTGTGAGTGAGGGTGACTGCATTTAAAATATAAGTTAAAATATAATTTTTTTATGTTTTCTTTCATTTGTTCCGATTGGGTGTGTGTGTGTGTGTGTGTGTGTGTGTGTGTGCTTATATGACTGTTGTCTATAAAGTCAAAAGCGATGAATTTATTTTTACCACTGATTTTGTATATGTGCTGCCACTTAACTGGTCAGAGCTATAGTATGTAAACTATGTATGTAGTCAGTTGTGTTAAGTTATCTATGTGTTGTTTTTAAGATGGTAGAATGTTGCTGTCGTATTTAAGGCCAAATAAAAAGTATTTTTTTAAAAAGTGCACTGTGGATAATAACTACGTTTTGTATTGAAAGGACAAAACGAGTGTGGAGGAAAGTTTGACACAGAATTAGAATTAAAGAGAAATATAAAATTAAAAGATAAAGGGTCAATGGACATTTAAAATTAAACCCTTGAAAGGGGCATAAAGAAATAACGATTATACCATTTCCGGTTTAGACAAAACATTTCAAAGTAAACGTCTATAAAGCACTTTGATATGTAAAGAAAAGGGGTAACTTATTGAGTACACCATGATATAATAGTATAAGAATTACACATTATCTGTACAGAAGCTTTGGCTATTTTTGTTTGCGCAGTCATCAAACACAAATGAACTTGGTGTCTGAGTACATGCTTTTATTTCCAAAGCGAAACACTCAGCGTACTAACGACGTTTACAGCAGCAGTGAGTTCACATTGCACCACCGACGGTACACTTCCGGTTCCACCTCGCAACAGCACTTTAGCTACAACGACGGCGGGAAGTTGCTATCATCAGTTTAACCACAAATCAGCAATTACCAAACGGACGAAATCGTTAACGGTCGACATTTCACTATCTAACATTGATGGATCTGTAATGGTAAATACGCTAACTGTAAACTAAGCTTAGCGGCGTGGGATCAGCTAACATGGCTAACGTCGGAAACCAGCTACCAACACAGGCCGTTAGCAAGCCTGCACCAGGAAAACATGGAAATGTATTGCCCCTGTGGGGCAACGAAAAGACTATGAATCTCAACCCAATGATTCTTACAAATGTACTGTCTTCGCCGTATTTCAAAGTTCAGCTTTATGAACTAAAGACCTACCATGAAGTTGTGGACGAAATCTACTTCAAGGTAACATTAGCAAATGCTAAGCCGCATGCTAGTTAGATAATCACTGTCGAGTCAGGCTAGCGTTAACTGACCGTGATAACGATGTACTGCAGGTGGTAGATCATATGGGGAACAACCAGACAGAGCTAGTTTTAACTAACTTATCTTAACAACTCGGAAAAGTTATCCGTTTATTTCATGTAATTGCACTTTAATAAGTAGAACTGAGTGTTTTATTAGCTAACTAGCAGCTAAGCTAATTGCTAGTTGGCTGCCGTTACAAAGACAGTAGTTTAACGTTACGGCTGGTTTACTCAGTTGACTACTGCAGCCTGTTGCACACAGCTGTGTGTAAGTTCAAACTGAGCCTAGTTATAACATAAAGTATTTCCAAGTTGTGATTTAAGCATTACTAAAATAAAGCGGTTGCCTCACGGTGATAAGTTACAGCTTTAAGTAAACTAAATAGTTAACGCTACACATGTCCCTCAGGTGGTGTACATCATACAGTGTGACAGAATTAAACTCACTGATGGTAAAATACAAGTTTTTATGTCACATAACATCATTTTTTCATTAATTGCAGCCATTTTGCGACACAGTAATCGAGTAGATACCTAAATTGTTGGTGTGTTTCAATAACGATCTAACGTTAGCTTACTACGATGTGTAACGTTAAACCAGCTGGCTCATGCAGCCAGAAAGCCACTGCACATGGTAACCATGGTGATGTATCTTTGATCGTTGATTGGCCACTTGCTTAAAGTATAATTTCACGTCCAAAAGTAGTCGTGGTGAAACAAACTTTCAGTAACTGATTTAGTTATAAACTAACTAGTAGTTTCTAAGAGTGCTGCCTTTACACACTAATTTAAGAGAGGACTTACACATAGCTGGTGCCACCCAGTCCTGTTCTTTCAGTAATTTAAAAAGGTTAACATTAGGTCATAACCTAGAAAGGATTGAGACATTTCAGGATTGTTATGGAAACAAGTTAAAAAAGAGGTATCAATAACTTGGATGAAGTCTTTTAATATAAGTGTGTATCGGTGAGACGGGCAGAACAGGTGTGTGTGTGTGTGTGTGTGTGTGTGTGTGTGTGTGTATATCAGCTGACTTGATGTTGTTCTTTGTGGCTGCAGGTGAATCACGTTGAGCCTTGGGAAAAGGGAAGCAGAAAGACTGCCGGCCAGACTGGAATGTGCGGAGGGGTAAGTGAGAAGTACGTGCTTTTTATATTCCCCATCCCCCCTCCCCCCTCTGTATTTCCCATATGGTTGAAATCGCTTCATATAATGTACAAGTATGAAAAATGTACATGATTCACATTAGTACTTGCGATACTGTACTTAAATACTTGAGTATTTTTTGTCAAAGGGTCAGTCGTTCTGAATACATAAATGCCGTTATGCACTTTAAAGATGTGTCTTCATCCTTTTAGGTGCGAGGAGTTGGGACTGGTGGTATTGTTTCTACTGCTTTCTGTCTTCTATACAAACTGTTTACTCTCAAGCTGACTCGCAAACAGCTGATGGGTCTGATCACTCACACAGACTCTCCATACATCAGAGCACTTGGCTTCATGTACATAAGGTATGCACCTCAATTCTTCTAATGTGGAGTGTTTTTTTTTATATTTGCAGAGATTCTCTGTATTACTTGATATTCTGAATGCTGGATTACCTTCCTTTTCAGAAGAAAGATATGTAATGATTGAAGTGTTGTCTTAAAATTATAGTTTTAATAAAAGACTACTGTATATTACAAAAGTATCAAAGTGAGTTGCTAGATGATAATAGATGTTGCAATTAGTAATATGCTGCTAAAATGTTTCTAATATGTATAAGGGGAATTCAAACCTGATCCAGTTGATTTAAAAACATAATTGAAATCTGTGCAACATGACTTTCTGCCACAACATTTTGTGCTCTCTGTTTGGTTCTGCCTTAGATATACTCAGCCCCCAGCAGATTTGATAGAATGGTACGATGGCTTCCTGGATGATGAGGAGGTATGTCACCTCGGGTAATAATTTGATGTTTCTTTCTCTCCATGAAATATACAGGCACACAACACGTTAAGAACTGTCTGTTTCCCCCCCTTGTGATGCTCATAGCTGATTTTTCACCTTTGCCTTCATTTGGCTTAATTGTCCCCAATTTTTGTCCTCTAAGCCTCATTAGCTAGGTTACTTGCTCACTCCTCTGATGCTGATTTTTTTTATCAGGGTAAGTACAATATATGATGCTGAGTAAATATTTTAGTCAATGTAATTTTAAGGCATGCCCTTTGTTTTTGACAAGCTTTTATCAGGACTTGTTGCACAAAACTAAATTTGGAATAAATAGAAATTGGAGCACTCATACTTCATACAGTTTTACTCTTAAACAGACACACACAAATGATTTGGCACATGTCAACTGTTGCGTAAATCTAGTGTGTTTTCTCCATGTTAAAGTAAAATATAATTTGATCCCAGGCTGTGCAACCAGGCCTCCTATGATGTTCTGTTGCATTACATTTGAATTGATCATATGAAATCCTGCCCAACTGGTTAATTCCCCTGTTTTTTTCTTTAGATGCCCAATGTGCAGCAGGTGAATTGGATATTGTATCTCAGCACTGTTGGTTTGCGTGTGTGAGTGCAAAGCAGCTGTTCTCTACCATATAAAGTTAACAACTCTTCAACTGGTGTGCACTTAGATACCTGCTCCAGTCTGTGCTTACACTGTGGGCAATTTTTATGCTCCTTCACCCCTGAAGAATTCATTGTGCTTTTGGGAGACTGAAGAAGGAAGCTAAGGCTTCTCTCTCTTTGTCCCTTTGGCCCAATGAGGGTGTGTCTCAGTGTTTTCAGATACTGCTTTCCCTTCCTTTCATTTCTGGTCTGTAAACAGCAGATGCAACCATTTTTTGAAGATGCTGTTTAAACAGACAATGTGAAGGAAACGAGGGGGGCGGACTTTACAAATATATATTTGCTTGATTATTAAAGCTAACATTGTAAATACAGACTCCAGGAACTGTTTAGATAAGGCAAACTTTTAATGATATCTATAGTTTTGTTTCTTCTATCTATAATTATTAAAGTAAAGCCAGACACATTTGATTGATATGAGAGATTAAGCTAGATGAACAGAGGTGAAGGTTCAGTACTTGGTCATCACAAATTGCTTTTTGACTTGAGGCAAGATTGAAAACAAGCGATCAGATTTACCTGCGTCCTGCCTGTGTGCACTAATTGAGTTTTTATGTGGCTCTTTCCCACCGTTTGATTCTAGGAGCTCGACGTGAAGGCAGGAGGTGGCTGTGTGATGACCATTGGAGAGATGTTGCGCTCCTTTTTGACCAAACTGGAGTGGTTCTCCACTCTCTTCCCCCGAATCCCAGTGCCTGTGCAGAAGATTATTGACCAGCAGATGAAGGCTAGGCCTCGCAAGGTTGCTCAGAAGGAGGCACCGGAGGAGGAGGAGGAGGCAGCAAGCACAGAGACGGGGAGGCAAGGAGAACGACGCCGCTCCAGGTAACGCATCAAATGGTTCAAACTATTTATTGCCAACTTATTTTTTCCCAAAAATATTTTTTCCTTTCTTTTGTTACTAATTGGAATGGAAGAGTTAATTTTCCTGTTTTATGCAAGCTTTTACTCACAGCACAAACTGTGTGAAAATTGTGAAACTTAAACGAGTGAAAGCTGGCCATGACTTATTATTGGCTTTAAAACTCAGACACACCCATGCTACAGCTACACAGGTTATGAGTGGTTTTTCCTGATTGCACATTTTCTCAGAACTCTCTCTGTGTCTGTGTCTGTGTCTGTGTCTGTGTCTGTGTGTGTGTGTGTGTGGCTACCATTGATCGACATCTTCCTAGCCCATTTCACCTTTCATTCTACTTTAAATATTTGATCCAGGGAAATCTGTTGTCTCAGAAATTAGTTGTGTATGAGCCATGTGTCCTACTCACAGGTAGGTTGTTTTTTATTTTGTTTGTTTGATTTTGTTTTAACTTGTTTCATGTGGAGCAACTGAGTAATTTATTCGGCTTTTCAGATATTAGTTTTTTCAGTTTTGGGATTTGGATATTCGCGAATGCACCTAAACCGGCCTGCCCCCCACCTTTTGATTTTTCACTCCCTGTATTCTACAGGGACAGACACATACAGGCTGTATCCGTCCGCTCCTGACTTTTGTTTGCAGCAGTACGGGTTTTAACGTCGCCCAAAAATACAACTTGTGTTTTGGATTCTGTTTTCACAACAGCAAGTGAGCTGCGTGTGAAGGAGGCTTACGTCTCTCTCTCTGTCTCTCGGCAGAGCATGTGCGATTGTTAGTTGACCATACCGCTACTGCCATCAGTCTTTTGGACAGATAAAAAGATAAGGCTAAACACAGAAGTTTTGAATATTCGCTGTTAATTACTACCAAAGTGTCATTGAGTCATTTGGCAACACTTATTGTTGGATCATTCCGATGGTTAATGTAATCTATAATTTATTAGACCAGAACATTAAACTGCTTGAAGTTAATGATACCTATCTTGGCAGGACACCCAGGCGGACACCAAGCCCCCGGAGATCACCCAAACGGTCGCGGAGCAGGAGCCACCACCGCGAGAGAGAGCGCCATGGCCCAAGCTTCGACCGAGAGCTGGAGAGGGAGCGTGACCGCCAGAGGAAGGAGAGGGAGGGCCGGGATAGGGACAGAGGGGACCGAAGCGAGAGGGAGAGGCGGCGGTCCCGCAGCGCAGACAGGAACCAAGACAGACGGGAACGTAAAAGGAGTCTCAGTGGGAGCCGGGACCGAAAGAGCGAACGTAGAGACAAAGAAAGAGATGGCGGGGAGGACAAGAGCAGGAGGAAGGACAGGGAACACCATAAAGATAGAGGCGCTGAAAGGGAGAGGTCCAGGGATAAAAAGAGCAGGGGAGAGACTGATGACCGGAGGCATAAAGACGACAGGGAGAGGCACAGAGAAGAGAGGAAGGCCAAAAGGTCGAGCCGGAGTCGAAGCAGGGAGAGGAGGCACAAAAGTGGGGGAGAGGACAAGGGAAGGAAAAGAGAGTGCAGCCACAGCCGAGATAGAGACAGGGAGAGAGACGGAGAACAGCGCTCTCACAAACGTAGTCGTAGCAAAGAGAAAAGCCACCATCAGCGCGAGTCCAGTAACGACCATAGTAAACATAGTGAACGCAGAAGGAGTCAGAGCACTGAGTAAATGTCGCCTTGCAGCAATATTACTTCTTCTACTCTTGTGTTTTTCTTTTTTTCTACCAGTTGTCTGGTCTGTCACTTGTGCTAAAGAGAAGGAATGTCAGCACATCGGACATCTGAAGTTGTTGTCCTTGGCCAATGTAATGTTGCTTTACGTTTATGTTTTTCTGCCTTTTTCACTCCCCGTTAGACCATTGTTAGTCTTCACTTGAAATTTCAAAAGTGGCAAAAATGGCATTTTAATTTTCTATGGTTCGTTCTTTTTCCCCAGGAAGATGTGGGTTTGTACATAATGTTTCGGGGGCTGTCTACACACGATGAGTGGTCTGAGGTGCATTCTCAACACTATCATAATATATGTAATTTATAAAGAACTGTTATTTTCTGGCTGTACAAAAGTCCAAACACATATTTTTAAAATTTGACTAATATTACAGTGAGTTCATATTTTAAGCTTCTTGGTCAACTGTATTCTGATTACACGTTCTTTGAAGGGTCACAAGTGAATGGTTGAGGCTCAGAGTTGAGCGAAGTGGCGATGTGGATCACACAAAGCAAATCTGTCCATGATTGTGTGTAGACAGCCTGAGAATGTTTTAATCCTTGAAAGGACAGTCTGCAAAGGGTAATTTTTTACCACACACACTGAGCCCTGCTTGTGCGGTGTTTGGATTACTGCTCTGTTGCATTTTGTTTTCTAATAAATCACTTTTACAGACAACTCGTATTCTTGTTTTGAAAGAAAGGGGGCATGCAATTGTTACAAAAGGCACAGGATATCACAATGGTTTTAATAGTTTTATTAGAATGTAGCCTGAAAATTACTTCAGTATTAAATATGCATAAATGTATGTAAGTACTGGACGTAAGTGGAAGCGCTTCCTCTTATGACTAATATATCATTTACATAAGTGAATAAAATTTAAGAAGGAGGACCATAGCCCCAGATATAAAATATATAACCTCAACCAACAGCAGACAAAAGATATAGCTCTATCTCTGTCTACAGAAGTGTTTTCCTATTGGGGAAGCCCCTGTCCTGTTTGCACACACACAGGCTCTGACTCTGGCCCACTGGTGGCTGAGTTCCAGGCTTCCACAGAGATACAGTAGATCGAGTTGGGGCTCAGATCGGTGAGAATGATGCTCTCGCCATACACTGTATATTCCATTGCCTCACTGGAGCCCCCTTGCTTCCTGATGAACAGGCTGTAATGGGAAGCGGCACGTACTTGAGACCACTCAGCCAAAATAACCGTTGACGTCGCTTCTGTGATATCCACCATGGGAGCTGAGAGGATTCCTGTGGGTGGGGGACAAGTCACAGTTGTGAATTAGATTCTGGCTGACTTATGCTTATGCTAATATATATTTCTAAGTGCCCTTCTTATTTAGCTTTATGTGAAAAACACCCTCAATCAAAGGCAGCATTAAAGACTTATTCTTAATCAAGTATGCCTGAAAAAAAAACCTTCATACTTCTCACACTTTAAACAGATTTTCATGTATTAATATTTAAAAGATCAGGTTAAAAATAATAATGAAAATTATAAATGCTTTAATACTATGGTATTGTCTTTTTCTTAACATCTGTTCTTACAAACTCACCATCATCTGGCATTTGTTCACTGAGATCTCTCCTCCTCCGATTTTGTGTTTCCACTAAAGAGAAAAGGCTTAAATCAATTCATTTAAAAATACAGTAAAATGTGTCAGTTTTCTTTCTACAGCATCCTCTCTCCCACACACACACACACACACACACACACACACACATAGTTCCTACCAATTGCGACATTTGCTGTTTCACTCTCTCCAGCCGTGTTGCTGGCTGTGATCACCAGGTCAGTAGAACTGATGTTGGACAGAGAGCAAGACAGCCCTGCAGTGTTGCATAGCTCAATTTTTGGCATAACACTGTTGTCGTACACTGTGTATGTGGTGGCATACGCAGAGGAGTTCCACGAAACTGTGGCAAAGGAGCTGTTACCACTGTACACCACTCCTGATGGTGGGCAAGGAGCTGAGAGAGGAGAAAGTGGTTAGTTAAAACCAAATGAAAATATGGTTTGAAATGTTTCCCTGTCATATTAAATACTAAATGAGCAATAGCTGGCCTTTTTCACAGCAGACATTGTGACTTGTCATTGTAGCAAAAGCAGGTGTTACTAATAACATTAACAATGGTTCTGTGTCCCAGTATGTGATTCATGACTATGACTGAGCCAGCATGCACAATACCAGGACCCTGAGACTGGAACAATGTGCTCTGCAATGCAGGAATGTAATAAAGTACTCAAGTTCTTGAGTACTTGAGGCACTTGTACTTTGCTGGAGTATTGCCATTTTCTGCTATTTCATACTTCTACTCCACTCCATCTATTTGACAGATAACGTGCGCTCATTCATAACCCAAACTGAGCGACTTTTAATTTACACCATGCTGTATAGCAGCTCAGGACTAAATGTTGAAGCAGCCTTTATTAGGGTTATTAATCACACCTTTTATTGTCCTGCACTGAGATGTCAAAATGCCTGCCATAATAGATCAATCTTGAGGGGAAGTGGGAAATAACATTTAATTTGATGGTTTGAGTTCATAATCACACTCACTATAAAACATATAACTCATACACTGAGGTTCCTTACCTACAACACCTCTGTTTCATCTGATTAACAGTAATTTTAAGTTTATGATATCTCATTGCACAGAGAGCACAGGTGTAATTAATGATGTTAATGATGGATAGAATTAAGCCTTTATTAAGTGATTTCTGCTTTGCTTAATTTACTATAAGCAAAGAAGCTTGTGTATGAAGTGCAGTCTACCTGTTGTTCCATTGAGAGGCACAGATGGCTCGCTGGTACTGGCAGCAGTCCTGCTCTGAACTGTAGCAATATAGTCTGAACCGCAGGGGAGAGGAATCTCAAAGTATGTCACGCTCGTCCAATAAGAAGAGACCTCAAACTGGGCCTGGCTGTCTCCCAGCAGGCTTCCTGTTAACGTCAGCAAGTACTCTGTGTCATTACAGATGACCTCTGTCCAGTTGAAGCGCATCGTCTGGACATCTGCCTGCACCGGCATTAGCTGCACTTCAACAGCGTCTGGAGGACAGGGAGCTGAGAGAAAGAGGAGGATTCAATGTATTATTCAATTAAGTGCCAACAGTACAAAGATATTGAGTCTTTAAACATGAGACTCCTTTACCTGCTACACTCTGAACTGTGTCACTGAAGGAGCTGTTGCATGTCCCATCTGATGCTTGGACAGAGAAAGTGTAAGCTGTTCCACAATCAAGACCCTGGATACTACAGGTGGGATTTGTGCTCTGACAGTACAGCATGTCTCCATTTCCAGCCTGGGCACAGCCATAGTAGTGTCCGGCGTTATCGCTGGCCGTCCATGACAGCAGTGCGGACTGATTGTCACAGTGGTATGTAACTGAGAGATCCTCAGGTTGGCAGGGACCTGGGCAGAAAGAAAATGATCAAACTACTTAAAAGAATATTATTTAGTCCTTTTGGGTCAATGTATGTACATGCACTGGTATTCTCTTTTGTATATTTGGACATATACCTGTGTTGACTGTGACATTTTGACTGGCCTTGCTGGTGCAGTTCTCGTGGCTGGCCGTCACAAAGACTGTATACTGCTCGTCACAGTGGAGTTCTGTTACGTTGCAGTTATTAGAGGTGGTGTTGCAGGTATGTGTGTGTCCGTCTGCAGCTGTAGCAACAACATGGTAGCTTTCAGCGACAGGAGAGGGGCTCCAGGACACCAGCGCACTACGGTTCTCGCAGGAGATGTCAACCGACACGTTTGTGGGTGGACAAGGCTCTGTGAAGACAGGAAGACAGATTTCAAATCAAAGGTGACGTTGATGATTTGGTAATTGTTAAATAAATCTGATAAAACCACACCCACACACCTCTGATGATTTTTAGTGTTAAACAGATTCAAATACGTTTCTAATATGTTCAACTATTGCACGCTCATGTAAACAACACTGTCCTTCTAAGCGAGTATTTAACAAGATGTTGCATGTATGAAAGAACAAAACAAAATAATCTATATACCCATGCTTATTTTGTATGGTGGGCTTCTCATACTGCTGCACTGGTCTGATGAACCAGCTACAATGATAGTGTAATGGAGATCACATCGAGCTTCATGGAGGTAGCAACTAGTGCCAGTGTTGTTGCAGGATAGGTAGGTATGGTCTGCGGCTTCTGCTGTGGCTGTGTACACAGTGTTGCCGTCGCTGCCCTCCATCAGATCCCACATGACGAGTATAGAGGAATTGTGGCACTGAGCATCCGCTGTGATAGCAGGGAGCGAGCAGGGGGCTGGGGGAAGAGACAGATATCATTAACTGACATTTACCTCTGGGTTGAAAATGATTATCGACTGACATAAAATGGAGTATCATCAGCATATTTGTTTTACAAAATCAAAATATATGTTACCTGTCCCCAAGTCAATGATGGCACTAGGCTGACTCTCACACTTGCTGTTTTTAGCAATAACGCTGAAGTTATATAGTACGCCACATGCCAGGTCTTCCACCTCACAGGTAGTGTTGGAGGAGGTGGTGCAGTTGGCTGTATAGTCCTTTCCGCCTACAGCTATCACAGTGTAGCTGTCCGCCCCCGCAGCAGCATCCCATGATATCCAGGCAGAGTTGGTCACACAGTCAATGTTGCCTCTGACTCCCTGGGGCTGGCAGGGAGCTAGAAAGTCAACATGAAGTTAAATTGGTGACTGGATGGATGAATCTATACAAGGATGGACAGCTTTTGAAGTTTTCATACCTGACATGGTGCTGTGGGTCAGACTGTGCTGGTTGCGACAGGTGCCTCTGACGGAGGTGACTTGAACCCTTAATGTGTCTCCACAGGTTACATTGCTGATGGAACATGTGGTGTTTGTGGTGTTGCATGAGTCGATCATTCCTCCATTGTCCGCAGTCACTGAAACCAAAAAGTGGTCTGCTTCTCTGATGGCATCCCAAGAGATCTCCATGTAGTTTGATGAGCAACTCACGTCGGCACTCACGTTCTGAGGCAGGCATGGGGCTGTGAGTAAGGAAACAATTTGTTTACTACAGCAAGTTCAAAATGTTTAGTATAAATAGCACAAAAGTATAAAACTATATCTGTGTTTTAGATTGATTTGGTCTTTCCTCTCTTACCTGAGTTTAATATCAAACCCTCGCTGGGGACACTAGAGCAGTTGTCATCCATAGCCACTACCTGAACAGTGTAGAGGTTACCACATGCAAGGTTGTCAAGGCTGCAGTTGAGGTCAGAAGTCTGGCAGCTGACGTTGCTATGGCTACTGTGGGCCGTCACTAAGTATTGTACAGCGCCCAGACTGGCAGACCACGACACAAGAGCGGTGTTGTTGGTACAGTCCATCCCCACTAAGACATTAGTGGGAACACAAGGCACTGTAGGGAGGAGGCAGACAACAAGAAGGGTTACAATCAAGGAAGCATGATGGGTAAAAACTTCATCATGATGAAGAATTAAACCACAGCAATAATTCATCTGATTATATTATAAATTAGAACATCTTCAAGGGTAGTAAAGGAATTGTTCACAACAACATCAGAAATCTAAATTATCATATAATAAAAATGGATATGAAATGTGCCAAGAATTGATATACTCAACAATATATGTATTTAAAACATCAATTTCAAATAAATGACCTCTCAGTATCTTGATAGGTCATAATAAAGGCATCCCAAATAACCTTCCCTTTCACATACAGCGATTGACTATCGAATTCCTCCGAGTAAACAGCAAAAATCCATTGATACAAAACCCCTTGATAGTGCTGCAGAGAATGGCTTGAAAAATTAGACTTTGATGGATATTTTAATGCCTTTTGTGGCAAAAAATTCCAAATGCATAATATTAAAGGGAATAAAAGCAGAATATAAAAAGTGATACCAATTTGCACTTACTACACTTACTAGAAGTTATAGTATACTATTAATTGTGCTATTAAGGAAGTGTCAGCATGTTGGTCCACCAGCAGCCTTTCAAAACCTCACCTGACTGCAGACTGGTGGTTTGAGTGGAGGTGATGTTACACTGCTGGTTGGAGGCTGTGACCGACACAGTGAAGTTGTTCCCACAGGTCAGGCCGGGGACGCTGCATTCATTAGAGTCAGACATGCACAAGTTTGAGATGCCAGAGTCAGTTTGCATGGTGGCTGTGTAGTAGTCTGACCCATTACTGGCCTGCCAGGTTACCATGACGATGCCAGAGAGACAGTCCTGCATGGTAGAGATTCCTGCGGGTGGACATGGCCCTGAGAGAAAATACTTACAAGTTAATTTTAGACCTGTTTGAGCTCACTTCTACTATTATATTTTAGTGATTTCTTTATCTGTTTGATTTGACTTTAAAAGTAAAATACAGCTACTACAGCTACTATATATCTGTGTATAACCTACATGTCTGTATGGAGGCTGGTGTGCTGGGATTGCCAGGACAGTGCTGGCTGTGAGATGTCACTGTAAGGTTGTAGTTCTGTCCACAGGTGAAGTCAGAGAAGTGGGCTGTGGTGACATTAGTGGTGAGCGCAGTTGTTTTGTTTCCTGCCTCAGCTGATACCATGTACAGCTTTGTCCCATTACTGGCATTCCAGCTCAGAGACACAACTTTCATATTGCAATTCACAGAGGCAGACAAATGCTGGGGCACGCAGGGATCTGGAAAGAAACAAAGATGATGGATATTTTATAACAGAGGTCTTCAACTACATTTTTGCTTCATCTAGGTTTTATTACACCAGCCGATTTCACTGATTTCACGGGTCTGCAATTTCCTGGGAAGTTTCCTGGAAAGAACTATGTCATTTGGTACTAAAGGGAAATTACTGTATGACTGTCTGACTGAAGGAAGAGCTACATTTAAACTTAAGCAAATATTTATTATTTGTAAGCATTCTGTGCTTGCTGTTCATCTTCTGTGTATGGACTGGATGCCTAGGTCACACTAGAAACTAATTAATACAGTATTACAAGTATATACATTAAATATAGTCTATATTTGCCTTATAATAGAACCAAATTCGACATTATTTTTCTAGTAAACTTCAGACAAGTAACCTTTAAAAGAAAGTGTGACCAGCTCGACAAACTGTCATTAACATACTCATATGGATGAAAGAGCTGTTGCTGGGCAGGCTGGTGCAGTTGTCATCCTTTGCTCTCACTACAACATTGTACTCCTCTCCACAGTGCAGGTCGTTCCAGGTGCAGGAGGTGGTGTTGGTGAGACAAAGGTGGGTGTGGCCATCAAGCCCAGTTGCCACGGCAACATAAGTATCGGCGCCATCAGTGGGTCCCCAGCTGACGGAGCCCATGTTAAACTCACACTGCACATAGGTTGTGACATCGCGGGGTATACACGGAGCTGGGGAGAGAGGATGGAGGTGAACATGCAGACAAATATACGCATCGAGTGAAAAGAAACGCACATTGTATCGTTGTGTAAGATCATACTGGTTTTAAAGAAGGCAGGGCTGCTGGGGATGCTGTCACACTCGCTGCCTTGTCCTTGTATAGTGACATTGTAGTCCTGTCCACATGGTAAAGCAGCAGACAGAAGGGTCTGGGTTGTATTGTGTATCTCCACATATCCAAGGCTCCCTCTGGCTGTTACTAAGTAATTCACAACACCACTTGCTTGGTGCCAGGAGATCTGGACACCAGAACTGTTGCAGAGCGCCTGAGCAGACACAATCACAGGCTGGCAAGGCTCTGTGAGGGGCAAAAGAAAAAAAGACAGAAAAACAATTGTACTGATTGTAACTCAAATAGGGCAAGTAGTGGTAGAAGTACTCAGACCGTTGTTTGGAGACATAAATTGGCGTTTTTGACTTTTTTCTGACCAAAATGATTAATTGTATACTTTAATTAAGAAAATAATCAGATGAATCATTAATAAAAACTATAATCATAAGTTCTAAGCTCTAAATATTTCAATGTAAATATTAAGAATATTACGTTTTTTGTAAAATAAACCCTTAAATCCTTTCTCGTTTAATTAATTTCATAGAAATCCGACCCAGTGGCAGCCATTTAGAATAATTATATAGAAATAGCCGATCTTCTTGCTGCTGGTCTTGTTTGTTTATATAGGTCATATAAAGGCATTAGTATTAAATTGAGACTCTTTCAAAACCATTACAAACTCATTACATTTAAGTACATTACTGGTTACTTTTCACCACTGAATAAGGCCAATAAACCTGTGAAGTTTCTGCAGTACCTGTTTGGATGCACACGGTGCTGCTGGCCTGGCTAGTGCAGCCTTGACTGTGTGTTGTTACAGTAAAGTTGTAGGTCTCTCCACAGTCCAGCCCGGAAAACTGACAGGTAGAGTTTGTAGAGTTACACCTCTGCACCTCCCCTCCGGAAGTCTTGATAGCACTTGCTTTGTACACTTCAACATCAGACCTCTTCTCCCAGGACAGGACTGCAGTGCGGGAGCCACACTGCAGGTCAACAGCTACATGCTGAGGAGGACAAGGACCTAAGAAGAAGAAGTGTTTAAGGAAGAGGGTTAAATCTTGTTCAACTCAGACAAAAAGTTGTCAGTTATGAGGATTTACTGTAAACAGTCAACTCACGTGTGGTGAGGTTGGCATGAATCGGCGCTGTGAGGTTGCACTGCTGGTTGCTGGCGGTGAGGCTAAGGTTGTAGGTTTCTCCACAACTTAAATCTGTCACATTACAGCTGTTCTGCTGAGTTGCACACAAAGTCTGAAGACTTCCGCTGACAATGGCTGACAGCAAAAAGTTTGCTGTGCCATAAGTAGCATTCCAGGACACAATGGCGGCACCATCAGAGTTACAGTCAACATCTACCTCTAACTCTCTCGGCAGACATGGAGCTGAGAAAAGACCATGAGTAAGTTTATGAATAAACATAAAACAAATCCAAGAATGTAAAAGAAACTCACACTTTATATACTGAGTATGTCTATACCTGATGTAAGAGAGATCACTGTGCTGTCAGAGCTGTTATACAGCTGTCCCAAGGCCTTGACCCAGACGCTGTACACTGTACCACACATCAGTCCTGAGACATCACAGGAGGTATCTGCATCCGTGCCAACGCAAGAAGTGTTGTGTCCAATCTCGTTCTCAAAGTAGGCGACATAACCCACAGCCAGGTTGCTCTGCTGCCAGGAAACTGTCGCAGTAAGTTGTTCACACGCCATACTGGCTTGAATGTTGGTGGGTGGGCAAGGTTCTGAATGAGAGGGAAAACGCACACATTAGAGGAAAGACAACACCGGACACGTACAGAGGCATACCTGTGTCTAGTGAAATATTTTACACATTTCTTTTTGATCAGATGACGAACCTGTCATAAGGCTGTAGGGTTCAGAAGTCACAGTGTTGTTGCAGACCAAGTTTTGTGCCATCAGAGTGACATTGTAGATCTGACTACACTGCAGGCCATTCAGGGAACAGCTGGCGTTGGTGGTGTTACAGGTGACTGTCAAGCCCTCGTCAGTCACAGCCTGGACAAAGTATGAGCTCACACCTCTTGCCGCCCCCCACATCACCTCGGCAGTGCTCACATTGTAGTGGACAGAGAGATTCATGGGGGCACAGGGCTCTGGGGGAAGCAGTTACATTAAATATGAACAATGGTATGGCCGTATGCTGGTTGTAAAATGGTTGGCCTTCCACAAACAAAATAGCTGACGTACTACAGTAAAACACATACACATGAACATACTGTACCTGTGGTGAGGTATCCTGCCATTTGAGCAGTAGTGTTGCAAGTATATCCCAGAGCCTTCACAGTGATGTTGTATTCCTCTCCGCACCGCAGAGAGATCAGCTCACAGTTGGTGTAATTGGTGGTGCAGCTGGCGGTGTGGCCTGACGAAGCTGTAAGCTCAGTAACATAGGACATGGCTCCGACACTGGGCTGCCAAGAAACGGTAGCAGAGTTGATCTCACAGTCCAAAACGGCCTCGATGCCACTCGTCTGGCAAGGTCCTGTGGCATTAGGAAGAATATGACACATTCAGCTCGATCTTCCAAATCACTAGTAAGTGGACCTTTGAGCTTAATCCTCCTCAATATATATTGCTCCCAAACACCAAAGGTCACGTTGAACATCAATGCACAAATTAAACTAACAAGTGTTTCTGTTGGTGTATGTAATTGTAAATCTACATATGTCGAGTTTACCTGGTGTAATAGAGACCCCTATGCTGTCAGAGCTGTTATACTGCTGTCCCAAGGCCTTGACCCAGACGCTGTACACTGTACCACACATCAGTCCTGAGACATCACAGGAGGTATCTGCATCCGTGCCAACGCAAGAAGTGTTGTGTCCAATCTCGTTCTCAAAGTAGGCGACATAACCCACAGCCAGGTCGCTCTGCTGCCAAGAAACAGTTGCGGTAAGTTGCTCACACGCAATATTGGCTTGAACGTTGGTGGGTGGGCAGGGTTCTGAGTGAGGGGGAAAAACATTAAAAAATTTTAAAAAAGTCAAACCAATTTAGTGCCATACCTGTGAATGTTTCACACAAATCTTTTCCCATTTTGGTCACTAACCTGTCATGAGGTGATAGGTTTCAGAGATCACACTGTCACAGTCCATGTTGTGTGCCATCACAGTGATGTTGTAGGTCTGACTACACTGCAGGCCATTCAGGGAGCAGTTGGTGTTGGTGGTGTTACATGTGACCGCCGAGCCCTGGTCAGTCACACCCTCGACAGAGTATGAGCTGGCACCTCTTGCAGCCCCCCACATCACCTGGGCAGAGCCGACATTGTAGTGGACAGAGAGATTCATGGGGGCACAGGGCTCTGGAAGGAGAAATACATACTGTAGTTTTAGTTATGTTCAAGTGAAATGCCTTGATGGTTGTGGTGTTCTTCATCGACACAACAACATACGCAATTTATTTTACTCTTGTTTCATGGTTACAAAATCAGTAACTTGGTCCGTACAGATACATTTTCCTTGCCACAGATTTTTGCCAGGTAGATGATTACTATCACTGTGTGTTGACTGAGTTAATGTGACTCCCTCAAAGATCAATACTGCGTGGTTACACTCACCTGTAATGAACATCGCAGGGGTACTGGCCGGGCCAGGACAGCCGGTATCAATTGCCTCCACAACGACAGAGTATTCCTGTCCACAGACCAGGTTACTGAGGTAACAGGATGTGCCCATCTCACTGCAGGAGGAGTTGTGTCCACTGTTGGAGGTGGCCTGGACACTGTAGCCTACGGCTGCAGCAGCAGTACTCCAGCTGGCCAGAGCTTCACCAGTAGTACAGTTCAGTTCAGCTGACACATTGTTGGGAGGACATGGGGCTATAAAAGTAGAGAAGAAGAGACCGGTGAAAATGAGAAACACTAAGATAGAAATAAAAGACATAATTAAAGGTAAAATTCAACATTTTGGGAAATATGCTCATTTCTTTGAGAGTTAAATGAGAAGATTGACACTGCTGTTGATGTTTTTATGCTAAATATGTTTAGTTTAACACAGACACTGGAAACAGGGAGAGACAGCAAGGCTGGCTTTCTAATGTCTCTGCTGGTTGCTACTCTAGCTGCATGCTAAGCTAACCAGCTTATAGTGTTGGCTTCATATTTAGCATACAGACATGAAAGGGGAAGTGGCATCAATCTTCTGAGCTAACTCTCTGCAAGAAAGCGAATAAGCGTATTTCCAAAAATATTATTCTTTTGGGAAATGTTTGTCAAATTAAAAACGTATGCAGTATACCAGTGAGCTTCTCTATAGGGCTGCTCATCTCGCTCATGCACACATTAGAGTGTCCCATCACAGTGAAAGTGTAGAGTTGACCACAGCTCAGGTCCAGGAAGGAGCAGCTGCTCTCAGTGGAGTCACAGGTGGTGTTAACCCCTGAATCAGACGTGGCTTGAACAGTGTAGTTCTGTTCTGTGCTGCTCTGCTTCCACTTCACTGTCAGGACATTGCTGCTACAGTTCTGGTCGACTGAGGTGTTCTCGGGTTTACAGGGAGCTAGAGGCAGTTGAAAGAAGAGCGTATTCTTCAGCGAACGTCATTTTCTTTTACAGTGATTTTACATTCAAGTTATGCACATGAAAGAGCTGCACTGACCAGACTGGACCTTGTAGTCGGAGCCAGCAATAATGTCACAGTGAAGGGAGGAGGAGGTGACGGCCACCTCGTAGACTTTGCCACACTGCAGATCATGAATGCAGCAGGAGTTGGAGGTTGAGTTGCAGGAGGCCCTGTGTCCATCTGTACTGATGGCCCAGGCAGTGTAATCATCTGAGCCGGGGGTCTGTGTCCAACTCACATTCATCACGTTGGTGTTACACTGCAACTCGGCTAAGACGTCTTCTGGGAGACAGGGAGCTAAGGGAGAGAGTTTCATTACAGGTAAGAGTATAATCAACTACAGTGTTTGTCAAATGAGTGATTTGGATGAATTTTGAGCAGATTATTCCCTGTGAATATTGCATCAGAGATGAGTTTTCCATATATTTTTATGTTTGTGTTATGTATTTTTTATTCTATTTTTAACAATTGTACACTTAATTGACTTCAGGGGGCCTATTGTTGAAAAACGCTAAAGTGCCCTCTTGGGACCCAAAACGCATGCTAAAGTGCCCTCTGGTGGTGAGGACGCGCTATATGTGCCCTTTTTTTCTTTCCGCTCCTGCCCTTCAAAAAGTCTGTGCACGCCACTGTTGCAATATGTTTTTATTCTTTCTTCTATGTTTTAGTTTTCCTTGTTTTTATTAGGATATTTGGATGTATTATTATTAATGTATTATTATAATTATCTGAGTGTAGGGTTCTCTTTCAGACATGTTTTTATATGTTTCTTATTCAGTGGTTATCTACTTAAAACCAATAAAGACATTTAACCAAAAAAATTGTGATTGTCTGTGTTCATTGGACTGCATCTCTGTGTGCAGAGCCTGTCCTTATCTTACCAGAATCAAAACTAATGTCAGCATGTTTGCTGCTGTTGCAGCTTTCTGTGGAAGCCACCAGTGTAGCGGAGTATGTCCGGCCACAGTGAAGTTTTGTAGCGCAGGAGGTGTCACTGGAGGAACAGGACGCTATGTGGCCATGCCCTCCTGTGACCTCAACAGTGTAAAAATCAGCTCCGCTCGTCCCGGCCCAGGAGAAATTCCCTTTGTTTGTTCCACAGTCCACATGAGCAGTGAAGTTGGTTGGCAGACATGGGACTGAAGGAGGAGGAAAAGTGATTTTAGTTTATGATAATTTTTAATTCAACTGCAGCAGGTAAAACCCCTAAACCTGTTGCCATAGAAACGCACCCTACCTGTGCTTATTTCTATGGGCAGACTGTAGCTGCTGAGGCAGTTTCCATCCTGTGCTGCAATGCGGAAAGCATATCTCTGTCCACACAGCATATTGGTAAGTGTGTGCGAGGTATTAGAGGTATTGTTCAATGAAGGAGTGAGTGCACCTCCTATCCACTCAGTTTGTAAAGAGTAGGTGGCCCCCGACACTGGACTCAGGTCCCACGTCAGGGTCAAAACGTTGGTATCACAACTGACTTGACCAGTCAAGTTAGTAGGTGGACACAAAGCTAGGATAATAAAGAGAAACATGTGAGGTGACTCTGCACAATTACTACATCTATGTTTAGATATTTCTAAAGACCCAAAATCTGCTCATTACAGTTTCCTCTCACCTGTTCTCAGCTCCATGGCTGAGCTTGGTTCACTCCAGCAGCCCCTGTCCACAGTAACAACAGTAACAGCGTAGGTTTCCCCACAGTGGAGGTCAGTGAAATTGCACGAGTTGGAATAGTTCGAGCTGCAAGTGTGAGTGTGGCCATCTCCTGCAGTTGCTGTTGCTATGAACATCTCAGCCCCTGTTACATTAGACCAAGAGACAATGCTGTCCTCACACTCTGGAGACACAGTGACATTACTGGGAGCACAAAGACCTGGAGAGAAGGAGAGAAAAAAAGGGTTTATAATTGTCTCTCTGAGGTGAAATGTAAGTATATTTTATTCCACAGGTAGAACATGTACCTGCTCTAAAGACGTAAAGTGCACTTGGATGTCCTGCACATGTCTCAGAGTACGGTGTCACCACGATGTCATAGGTTTCACCACAGTGGATGTCAGGTAGCTGACAGCTGGTGGTGTTGGTTTGGCAGTGGTGTGTGTGTCCATCCTGGCCTGTCAGTGTCACATTGAATCCTATAGCACTGGGGCTTCCCACCCATGAGACCAGGGCTGAGTGATTGAGACAAACCAGGATGGCGCTGACATTAGTCGGGGCACACGGGACTGGGGAGTGAAAAAGGAAAAAAATGACAAAGAAGAAATTTACATAGAGTACATCAACTGACATTTTGTGAGGTTTAGTTAAATAAATTGTTTAACATATTTGGAAATATGTTTATTTGCCCTGTCCAAAGGTAAATAAAAGAACCCTCTAAAGCTCACTAACTATTGCAGTTTATCTCTAGTGTGTTTAATACGCACAAAAACCAAAGTGCATTTTATTAGGTTACGTGCTGGACCCTAAAACGTGATGTTCAAGAGGTGCTTGTAGGTGGTTTCCAGTTTTGTGCTAAGCTAACTGTGCTCCAGCAATATATTTACTTGACAAACATGGTCAATATCAAGAAATAGAAAATAGAAAAAGAAATAAACAAATATCCCAAAATGCTGAACTACTGCTTTGAAACCATCTCTGCACCTCTGTACCAATCAGTTTGATCAACTTGGGATTTTTTGTTTATGTGCAGTACACTGGTGGAAGTATTACCTGTTTCAAGAGATTCGCTGACACTTGGGATGCTGTTGCACTGTGCCCCCTGAGCCTCGACTGTTACATTTAAACCCAAACCACAAGGGAGACTTTGGAACGCACAGCTGGTATTTGTAGTCTGGCAGCTATCCTGATACCCTTCTCCTGCAACCTGAGCCAAGAAGCTGAGGCGTCCCAAAGGGTCAGTCCAACTGAACACTGCTGTGCTGGTGCCACACACATATTGCTTAGATATGTTAGCTGGAGCACAGGGGGCTGAACAGAAAGCAGAAGAAACAGAAATGTAGGTTTACCAGATGGAATAAGCAAGAAATTATTTTTCACAGATATACTTAATTTTCTCTCACAGCCATGCACACACTCACATGTGGTAATGTTGGTGCTGGAGCTTGGTGCACTGTCACACTGGCTTCCCTGTGCAGTGACTGTGGTCATGTAGGTTTCACTACACAGGAGATCTGTTAGGATGCACGTAGCAGCAGCTGAGCTGCATGAAACTGTGTGCCCATTTGTTGCCGTTGCATTAACTATGTAACCTGTGGCGTCCGCCATTGCCATCCATGACAGAGAGGAAGAATTGGTGCCACAGATCAGAGTGCTGTTCTGGACAGAGGGAGAGCAAGGAGCTGAGAAGGAGAAATGAAAGGGATGTTCAGTGTTCAGTTTTCTTCCTGTACTTTTAAGTTAAGCTTGAGTCTGTCCAGTGTTCCTCTGTTCTACCTGTCATTAGGGTTGTACTGATGTCTCCAGTGCTGTTGCAGGTGGCATCCTCAGCCATCACAGTCAGGTTGTAAACTTTCCCACACTGCAGCTGGTTCAGCTGACAGGATGTTGTATTGCTCCTACAGGAAGAATAATGCTGAGAGCTGCCCTCTTGAGCGTGCACAGTGTAGGCCACGGCCCCGGCAGCAGCTTCCCAGGAGACTGTCGCCTTGTCTGAACCACACTGGTAGATACTGGTCACATTGACAGGGTCACATGGTCCTGTTGGGAGAGGTAGAGAGAACACACTGTATGTGTCACATGATTTGTTTCAAGTCAAGAAAATGCATTCATGCTCACGCTCATACAAAAATATGTAAACACAACCTGTCGTCAGAACAGTTTGACTGGGAGAGCTGGTACAGTTGCTGTCCTGGGATGTCACTGTAATGTTGTACTGACTGGCACACTGCAGGCTGGAGAAAGAGCATGTGAGGTTTGATGAGAAGCAGGTTTCAGAGAAGCCATTGGGGCCCGTCACTGTTGCTGTGTAGGAGGTAGCACCAGGAGCTGCGTTCCAGGAGGCCAGGAGAGAGTTTGTGCCACAGTCTGTCACTGCTGTTAAGCTCTGAGGGGAGCAGGATGCTGGAGGAAGGAATCACAGTGCATGAAATGAATCAAAGTATAACAATATAATTCATGGAAATTATTATCCTGTCAACATCATCATCCTAATTACCTGTCTGAACAATCTGTGGGTGGCTATATGGTCCACTGCAGCTGCCAGAGGAAGCTTTGACGGAGACATTATAAGTCTGTCCACACTGGAGACCACTTAGACTGCAGTTGGCATGGCTAGTTTTGCAGGTGACTGAACTAATATTTCCAGCCAGTGGCACAGCAATGACACTGTAGTTGAAGGGCAGAGCATTGGGGATCCAGCTGACTGTCATGTCACTGGTGCCACATAACAGGTTCGTAGTGACATTCTCTGGAGCGCATGGTACTGACAGAGACACAACATGATGGAAATTAGTCACAGAGGATTTTCTCAGTCAAAATTGTAATTTTTTAATAATAGGCTATAATGTATAATGAGGCTAGCTCTTTCCTTCTGCTAACAGTCTTTATGTTAAGCTAAGGTACCAGTCTCCTGGCTAACCAACTAAAGTATTTATCATAAGCGGTATCAATCTTTTCATCTAACCCACAGCAGAAAAATAAATAAGCATTTCCCCTTAAAATGTTGAACTATTCCTTTGATGCAATGTGTTGCAGTACTTAGTGTGTGTTTTTACATGCATGTATTGGCTACATTTAAGGCAGAATGAGAACTGACAAAAGCTCCTTGCATAACCACGAGATTTGTCACTTTATGTCATGATATGGATTTATTATAGCTTTAACAGCTGGCAAGATTCATCTTAATTATCTACTGTTTTTTTTGCCATGGTCATGGTTAGAAGATGTGTGATCAAATGTGGTACGACCTCCCTCTCAGTACCTTCGTCTTGTCTGAAGGCGGCACTGTAGCCGCTGACACAGGTGCCATCAGTTGAAGTCACAACAATGTCATACAGCTGGCCACAGACCAGGTCAGTCAGCGTGCAGTTGGGGGTGGAGCTGGTGCAGCTGAGGATCTGTTCATTGCTGGTGGCTTTCATAGCGTATTTCACTGCATTTGCACTGGGAGCCCAGGACACGTGAGCAATGCCAGCGCTACAGACCAGCTGGCTGGACACATTAGTAGGAGAACATGGCTCTGGAGAGGGAAACAAACAAAACATCAACCAATGTTTTAATGAAGCCTCTATATAACACTTCCATTTAAGTCCTTTTAAGGTTATTAAGCCAACTATTATTGACACTGATGGTGGTGTTCAGTCTTGTTTTACCTCTGTTCAAAGAGACCGTGTCACTCAGTTGACCTGTACAGTTGTCATCACCTCCTGAAACACCAATGGTGTACACCTCCCCACACTGGAGTCCAGGGAGGCTGCAGGTAGTTGTGTTGGTCGTGCACTCTGACCTGTGACCCCCGCCACTCACAGCGACAGCAGTGTAGTATATGGCACTGTCACTGGCCACCCATGACACAGGAACAGAACCTGGCGCACATGTGTGTGTGACTGTGACGTTTGTGGGAGGACATGGCACTGAAGGGAAATAGAGATGAAGGAGAAGTTTGAGACTGCATTCAAAGAAAGTCCCAGAGCTCTGTCTACATCCTGAATGATGGTAAATCTTCCTCACATGTTTGCACTGTGACCTCTGTGCTCGGCAGACTGAAGCACGTCCCGGTGACGGACAAGACCGTCACTATGTAGGAGCTTCCACACAACAGCCCTCCCGTGGTGCACAGTGTCTCTGTAGAGTTACAGTGCAGCGGCTGACCTATTCCTCTGGAGATAATGGTGGTGTAGTTCTCTGCGGGAACTGAGATGTTCCAGGTGACTTTCAGCTCACCGGTAACGCAGGCCACACTGGCCATCACATCCTCAGGACCACATGGCACTAAAAGAAGAGGCATCATAAATCATTTGTAGTGTTCATTGTTCTTCCAGACAGAGACAGTTCACCCCTCTTAATATACTACCTGAGTCCATGCTGATAGGTGCTGAAGTGGACGGACAGTTTCCATCATGGTAGCTGACAGTGACGTTGTATCTCTTTCCACAGGGCAGAGAGGGGATTTTACAGTTGTTGACTGTGCTGCTGGTGCAGTTGAGCTGAGCCCCGCTCTGATCCTCAATGACTGCTGTGTAGAGGCCTGTGGGCTTATGGTTCTGCCAGACTATCAGAGCATGGTTGGCGTTGCAGTCTCTATATGCCTCAATGTCTGTTGGGGGACAAGGAGCTGATGGCAGAGGAATAGTCAGTTAGATGTGTAAAATGCATCAGATTTTGGCAGACTGACATTTTTAAAGGAGGTTTGTAAAAAATTAGGAGATAGCCAAAGTTTCCAGTTCGTACAATCTAATATAATCCAACTATCTGACCTACCTGTCATAAATGTGACCTCCTCACTGGCGGTGCTGTTGCACTTTAGATTGGTGCCAATAATGCTGCCAGTATAATTGTGTCCACATCTCAGGCCTTCAATCAAGCAGTTAGTCCCCATTGAATTGCAGCTGTGTATATTTCCATTTGCATCCTCAGCCACCGCTATGTAGAATATAGCACCGATGCTTGTCGTCCAGTTAAATCTTGCAGAATCTTGGCTGCAGTCGACTGACACTGAGAGATTGGTGGGGGTACAGGGAACTGAGGAGAGGGGGAAAAGACCAATCTTTCATTAAACAATTAAGAATAACAGAGCATCAGTGTAAGTGATGAGTTACATCATAAAGTATGTTACAGAAGTCCCAGTACGTACCAGTCTGAGCAGCTTCTCCCAGCACCTTCTCAGTAGAGCAGTTGTCATTGGAGGCGATGATCCACACACTGAGGTGTTCACCACACGGCACTCCGGCCACTGCACAGCTGTTGGTGGAGGAGGTGCAATTGTATGTGTCTGCAGTGTTCCCCTGTGCTTCTACAGTGTAGGAAAGAGCTCCAGCAGCAGAGTCCCAGGTTGTGATCAGCGTTTCAGAGTGACATTCAGCTGCTGTCTTGATGTTTGTTGGTAGACAAGGAGCTGGAGGAAAATTAAGGCTTACTTAATATCTCTTCTACTGTCTTCCCACAGGTAGATGCATTCATTTCATTTCAAGATGCATAATGTGTTAAAAAACTAAAACTTTTCTTGAAGTTAGTTCAACTGCTTTGAGTTAATAATTATACCAATGAGGTGAGTACTGTAGTCTAATTATTGGCCTCATTATCATGATTGGTTACATTTAATATATCTCAGTGATTATGCAGTTGACATTTTCTGATTGGATGGCTATGTCAATCAGGGACAAGACGGTCACAAATATATGGTTTCAGTTTATTGAAAGGCTAAATCATTTTCTAAAATAATTGGGCACTGTAGTTTCTGGAGAACATTACTCAAACAGGATGAAATTTTCATTTGTTGGGGACTACTTTGAGCAGCGGATTAATACACACTTATTGGTCTATTAAATTTAATGTGCAGGACGTGTATGTGGGATTTACTAAAATAAAATGCATCTCCTATGTTTATCATAATAAAAGACCATGTCAATCACTGCGACTGTGTGCTCTTTTCATGGGATTTGTTGACAGTAAGAAAAAATCTGTTATTACAATAAAAAAATGTACTAAATGTAAACCAGACAGATCAAACTCACAAGTCCGGACGAACTCCGGATGGGTCACTTCGCTGTTACATTCAGAGCTGACGGCGTACACAGTGTACTTATAGAACTGACCACAGCCCGTATTAGTAAAGAAACACATGTTGTCTTGCGTCCGGCACTCAGTTGCTTTGCCAGTGTTGTCCACAGCCGTTGCGATATAGTACAGGGTGTTATTGGTGGCCTGCCAGCCAAAGACAATCACATTGCTGGAGCAGTCATGAATAGTGCTAGGATTAGCTGGAGCACAGGGTACTGGGGGAATGAGACAGAGAACAAGACATTAACACACAATTAAAGAAGGAATTAAAGCAAAGGGTTACATTGAATGTGTCCAAAATCTGGATGAGTGGGGAGAAAAGGAGGACAGCCATGCACTGAGAGATGAGGGGAGTTTATACTGACTGGTGAGTTTTGTGATGCACAACGATTTAAACGAAAGTAGTTAGAGCAGATTCACAAGCTAGTAATAAACCTTCTACTGTACAGATTTGACTCTGTAATCCAATTTGTCATTGGAGTAAACAGGCGTGTGTGCTGGGTGTGTGCCTATGCATTAGATCAGGGGTCTGAGACTGGGCTTCCCCTTAGACATAGCTTTGAAAAACATTCCCTTGCTTAGTTTAGCTAAATTCTTGGGATGTCTATGGGATCATGATTATTTTATTTGATTCCAGACAATAAGCAATTGAGCCAAGGTTGCCTCATATTATGGTTTGACATAACTTCAGACACCAAATAAATAAAAAAAGGTTTGACCTAAGGCATTTGACTTGTTACTGACTCTGGAAACGTGTGAAACAAAATAAAACTACCAAAAACTACTGTGTTTCTGAACTATCTCTTTAATCAAATCACACACAATTGTATTTATATATATGTTATACGTGATATAATATATATGTAATATATTTACACTTCCATTCACTGAGCCTCCCCTGAAACTGTTTGGAGCCCCCTGACAAGGCTCAGTTGTCTATGTGTGTCCTTTAACTCTTCACTTTCCCGACTGATACCACAGCTGACCTTTGAGATAACTCCTTGTCTTCAATACATTGTAAAGAGCTTTTGATTGACTGGTGTTGGGTGGCAGGTTTTGGTGGCTAATGAGAGGGTGTGTTGCACCGCTCAACATGAGAAAACAGTATAGGACACCATGGGAGGAACCTCAACAGCTTCCCACAGGACAGACTTAGGAGGAAGGTTTGTGTTAAAAAGCTTAGTATGTCCAGAAGTGGTAGTGTATGTGACAGTGAGGGGTAAAATGAGAGGGTGTGTGCATGCATGTGGGAAACATATACAGATATACAGACAGGTGATGAAGCAGGGGAAAAGGTGGAGACCATACAAGCATTAAAAAGGGAATGACAGACAAACACAAGCCACATTTGTCATTTCCACATGAGCATGTGCTCGGCTCACCTGTCTCGAACAAGCTGGAGGTGTTGGAAATGCTCTCACAGTCGTCAGAGAAGGCTGTGACATGGACCACATACTTCTCACCACATTTGAGCATGGGAATCTGGCAGCTGGTGGAGGCTGATGTACAGTTAAGGGACGCGCCGGTGCCATCAACAGCGGTGGCCCTGTACAAGTTGGCCCCAAACACCAAATCCCAAGTTACTGTCACCAACCCGCTGGAGCAGCTGTAGTCCACAGAGATGGTCTTCACCGGGTTTATGGCTAAAGGAAAAAGTGAGAAAAGACAATGCAGAATATTTCTTAGGCTAAACCCCCACATTCTGTTTGGCCCTGGAGATCCTGGGCCTTCTAAAAGGGATTTTGAACCCAAACATAAGTAACCTCACTATTTAAGATAACATACCGTACATTTCTTTGTCAGTTTATTTTTTTTATGCAAACAAAATAATTTTACACTGCTTCATGTAACACATCAAATATTTGGTGTCTTTTATAGTCATGTCAGAATGTGCAAACTCAGACTGTGGTAAAGGGAAGAATGACCACTCCAGTACTTTTCTACATACTGGTTAATTTTACATTTATCTTTATGACGGTCTGTGGGACCCAAAACAATGACGAAATAAATCCAATATTTCAAGTAAACACAAGTGAGTGTGTGTTTAATCTGAAACATTTCACCGAATACTCACTGGACGTATTGTGAAAAACATTTGCGGCCTCCCCAGGTACTAAGAAGACATTGACTGATGATACTCCCACCGTGTACATGGAACAAGGCTCCAGATTACTGATATCCATGGATGTGGTTGAAGTGTTTCTGATGACCGGGGGGTTGCTGGGGTCGCTGTCAAACACAGCCACTTGATAAAGCAGGACTTTATTGACTGGGTTCCACGTCACTCGGGCTGTGCTCTTTCCCGTCTGTACAAGAGTCACACCAGTTGGTGGCTGCACCACTTCCAAGAGAAAATAGAGGCGTTATTCAAACACATTTTGTGTATTTGTATTTCTGTATGTATCCTTAGGTGAAGGGACTAGCTTCCAAATAACTTTCACATACACATTTTCTAATTCTGCATTGTGTAACTGTAGCCCTCTGAATAAAAATCAACAAAACCAGCATCTTATGCGCACTTACACATCGTGATTGTCTTTGTATTACTTTTGGCGCCCCTCCCAGCGCTGTTGGAGGAGTAAATGTAACAGTTGTAAGTCCTAGAGGGGGTCAGGCCGTCCACTTGTCCACCAAGGGTTGTGAAGGTCTGGTTGTATTGTACTAGGGGGGAACTAAACAACTCCTCCACAAACAAGATGTAGTTGTCCGCCCCTATCACGCTGGACCACTCAAACCTTATAGATGTACTCGAAATAGCTTTGGCAAAGGTGATCTGAGATGTGGCAGGCACTGTGGGAATGCAAGATGAAGAATTCAACATTATTCAACACAGGGATTCATCTGTTCTATTTAACAGGTTATTTTTTATAATTGTATCTTTACCTGTCATGGTTATTTCAACATCTGTGCACAGGACAGTGGTAAAATGTAAGACTGTCAGTTTGACTTCATAGGAAAGTCCCGGTCTTAACCCCTGAACTAGCCTCTGTGTGCTTGGTATTGTCTGTTTCACAACCACTGGGGCGATACTGGTAGAGTTCACAACTCTCAATTTCAGTGAATAAACTGTAGCTCCACTGAAGCTGCTCCATACTATTTTCAGGGTTGATGCTGAAGAAGATGTCACTGACACAATATCACATCCTGAAAAAGAAAAGGCAAAACAAGGCATTTGGTTGGTTTCTTACCACTAAAGAAAATAATTATATATTAATTACAACACTATCATGATAATGTAAGTATAAAAGCAAAATAACTATATTAAACCCTCTTGGACCATGAAAGTAATAAAACAGATGAAATACAATACAACAGTGCCCTGCATTATGATCAGTTCAATGTGAACATACTATTAACTGCCACTGACAATATTATCCAATATTATTTTAATACTTCATTAAAAAGCCAAAATAAGATTAATATGTGGGGTCCATGTCCATGGCCACAGTTAAGACATTAATATGTTATACATTATCTAATGTAGAAAAGATATGAAAATTCACTCTGCTAACATGTGGATGAAAAAAAATTAAATAGAAACATTCATATGAGTAACACTGTCTATCACACTCACCTGTAGCCAAAACATGTTGTATCTAAAAAAACACACAAAATAAGTTAATTAGAAACTATTACAAAATAATTACATTATGAAATTAAAACAAAAACAAATTGAATAAAAAAAAAGAAGTATAGTTACCTGTATGACAGACAATAGGATGACTGATGAATAAAACATCCACATCTTATCCATTGTTAAAGTCAGAGTTTCAGTTAGTTATGTCCATACGTGGGTCTGAACTCAGCAGCTCATCTGAAATCTTTACAGACTGAGCCCTGTAGATCAACTTCATGGGAACCAATCAGGACGCCTTAAATTAGGACAGGTAGATGCCTGTGGGCTCCCTGTCATCATGAGAAGGAAACAAAGTAGAGGGGGAGGTAGGGGAACTTTCAATCCCCCAAACTGTTATACTCAAACTGCACCTCGTCTATGTTCCCGGAATATTTGAGTCTTGTTTTAACACTGTAGTCTATGCACTACAGGTTCAGCTTAACTGTTAGTTGCAACACTGATTTTTCTTAAAATATCTATATTTCTTTAATAAAGTTGAAACAGGACTGGCCTGCTGCAAGGTAATATGATCTCCCTCAGTGAATGGAAAGTGAATTGAGTCCCCCTGCTTCCTGGTTTGATGTGACTCATTGGGGATGACTTTTCACACTTTTGTGGTAAATGTATATACCCACCTAAATTAGGTGTTAGTAAATGGATTTATAAAATAGATATGTCATGAAAGGAAGATGATACACAGAACAGTCTAATCTTAATACTCCAATGTATACTGTATTACTGTATCACAAATATAGATAAGATGCATAAATCCTGACGGTCAATCACAGCTATAAATGTAGCTGAGACAAGCCTCTTTATGGTCAAGAAAGTCAAAGGCATTTGTTTGCTCGAATATTTCATACATACATAACTTAACCTTTCAATGGAATCAATAGAGTCCCAATAATAATGGTCCTATGATAGATCCCTGTGGCCTACCAGTACTGCAAGGAAGGTGGAAGTGATGCTGTAAACTATTAAAAGCTTTGGGTAGATCAACAAATGCAGTTCCAGTTTCATCCATTACTGGTGAAAATTCCTGTAAAAAACACACTTTGTATATGTGTAATAGCATTGTTTAAGTTTATGCTAAATATTTTTAGAATTGTCTTTATAGTGCTTAATGTTTTAGTGTTGAGACACCTCATTGCCATAGCCAGTGTTACATAACAGTAAGTAGGCCTATCATGTGTCTTTCTAGATATTTTTAAATTTCACAGTCCTATTGTTATAAAATAGGGTTAGGAGCATATTGTCCTCAATGCTGCAAAGCTTCACTTTAGATATTCCTTTTTTCCTTTATTTCAGTGAATCATTTAAAAAAGAGTATTAATTTTAAAAAGATGAAATACAAACCACGTACTGAAATGTATGCTGTTCTATTTTGTCTTTGATTTGCTGTTTCCTTCTAAATCTCTCTTAAGGTGTATTCTGCTGGTCCCCTCGCCTCCACTAAAGTAATCATGAATGATTCATCCAATATATGGATGTATATGTATGTAAGTCTGTTTTATTAATAAATTAAGTTTGGTTGCTCTATATGAGGAATGAATCAAAATACTTTAGAAAAAACATTTCTGTGACCCAGGATATTGAAACTATGAACCATAATGGACTCATATTATTACTATGAGCTAAAATGTATTGCTATGGGGAGTTCCTGTTCAATTCTCAGTTCAATCTATTCTGCTGCAATTGTTACATAAATGAATATGATAGCTTGTTGCGTGTTGCAGTGGGTGACAAAGAGAGCTGTTGACAATAGGTTCACGCCTCTATCTCCTCTCTGAGCTGTACCTGCCTGCGTGTGTTTGTCAGCATGCAGATCATCGTGGTGAAATGTATTCGCCTGAGTATTAAGTAACTTGTGTCAGCCACATGCAGGCACGAAATGTTCACGCACGTTTTGGAGATTCAGCCATGTAATTCATCCCCCTCAGGATGAATAACCTGAGATCCAATAACTTTTGATCTTGTGAAATCATCCAGTCAAAATTTCAGTTTATCCTGGTTTATCACCAAATACTTGCAAAATTAATGCCGTTTCCATTAGCTTCAACTATACTTTGTGTTGACTGGTAATTAGTGAATATTAGCATGCTGACATACTAAATAAGATGGTGAATATTTTAAACAAACGTGCTAAACATGATCTTGTTAACACTGTTACCTCAATGGGCCGCTGTGTCTAAGTACAGCTCTACAGAGCAGCTACCATTGCTGCAGACTTTTAGTCTTGATATCCATTAATCTTTCTGATAGTTTCAGCATTTGAACCTGATCCTGAAGTAATTAAAGGTTTCAGTCTCAGGCTTCAGGTCTCAGTCATTACTTTTTTATTGCAAAAGATAAATTGCTGCTAAAGGTATTAAAAAATAGTCTTCATTATTCTTTGGTTATTAATTATTAAACAATACATATATACATTTATATTAGGTTATGACAAGGCGAAAGAAAGCCTTCAATTTGTTGGCAGCAACAGTAAGTTAGACTGACTTTCGTCACTCACCAATTTACATTTGGTCACATTGGGAACATACTTTAACTATACTTCTAAAGGTACAAATGTCAGGGGTACAAACTGAAAGGGTACTGCAATGTCATGTGTTATATCCCTGATGAAAAGCTTTCGCCCCTCCTCATTCCTCTGAGAGTAAGCCTCATTCACACATCAGTTTTTAAAAAAGGGTTGGAAATATAACATAATATAAATAAAATAAAATGATTTGATAAAATAATTCATTCTGGTATTTTACAGAATTCATTAGACCACCCCTGAAATGTGTAATGGGTGTTCAGTAAGCTCCAGCAGAGACTCAGTTATACACATTTAAAGGTCAGTGAAAGTCAGCCTGTGAGATATTCAATAACAGGCTTATTTTAGGAAGTTTCTCTGATGGATTTGTTTCTAAAGGAGTGAAAATGGCTCATATATCCAAATCCCTCACACCTGAACAAAACGTCTCTACCTCATAAAGAAAAGTCACACAAGATGATTGACAGCACACAGTGTCGTAATGCCAAATCGATGTGCTTTATTGTTGTTGTCTGTCTACTCAGAGAAAACAAAATCCAATGAAAGCTGAGGTAACATTGAATCTATCTCCAGCAATCTGATCAGACATATCATCCACAGGATTTTCCATATTTGACTCCAGGCTAACGAGATGTATACCTGCTGCATTACTTTTAACTGTGACCCTCTTCTGGGTCACCAACCAGCTTACAACCCAAAGACGTCATACGGCTGCCATATGGAGGTCCTCTACTTGGAGAAGTCCTAAGATAATCATTTTAATGTTTTTAGCCTTTTAATGACTATTGCCATGATACATTTATGTGGGGGTTTCACTGTAAAGTTTCAATTTCTGCTTCTCTTTTCATTTTTTACTAGATGTAATTACATGTTGAGGCTACATCAAATCACAAATCTCATGTTGAAACGGCAACTGTATTGATTATGTGAGGAATTGCCGAGCAGAAAGTAAAATAACATGCAGCCTACTATAAAAACATAGCAATATGGAGAATATCTTTGAAATACATTGGATAAATGCCCACAGATATTTATTTAAAAGCCCTCTTTCATAATTTTTACTGTTTTAATTTAGCTTTTCATATTTATTAATCGGAAACCATTTGCAAACAGCAGTAACAACAAAACAGAGGTATTCCTAAACAAGAGTGATATTTCATCTGGGTATATTGGATTTTCACAGTTGCCGCTGGTGTAAACACAGTCCTCTGTCCATGTTGGGTGGTTGGTGCTGATGGGGGGTCTTGTCCTTCACTGTAGGACAAGAAAGAGGAGATAGAGAGAAAAAACTGGTTACTGCCAATATTTCATCATAGCTTCAGTACTGATTAAGCATACCCAACAATTGGTTGTTTTGAGCAAAAAAGAAACATATTCTTTGTGAAACTATATGCAAGAAGCAGAATACAGCTTTGTCATTCTGAGTCAGAAGCTATTAAACATCTATCATCTTACAGCCGCTCATCACAGACACAATAAGAGGTCTGTGTCACATTCCTGCAGCAGCTCTCCATCTACCTGAGTCACGTTCCCCTCATTCTTCTTTCCATGTTTTATAGACAGACACGAGAAGTACCAGAGGTAAAGACAGATAGAGATCAGCCTCACCTGTGCTTGTCTATATTCTCTCTCCGCTGTTCTACTCAAATGTCCACGTCTATTGTTTTACCACTGTACTACATTCACAGTCAATTTATGCATGCTTGTGATGCCGTCACAAGATCCCTTCAAGCTATGAAGTAGCACAATGGATGTGTCTGGTGAAAGCAGCTTTCATCAATTCACAATCACAAAACACTGGAATGTACAGGAAAGCATGTCATTTGTCTCAGCTTGTTACATAACACAGTTTCTATGTGGTCTGAACACAGTTCTTATCTGGAGGAGCTGAACAACAATGAACTTACCACAATTAATTCAGACTTCGTCTTCCACGAGAGATCACTGAAGAAGGAGAGAGATGAGACTTCAGTGCTGCAGCAGTTTTCAGACATAACTCATAACTTAATTGGAGTTTTTGAACAATATGAAATGCTTGTTTGCTTTCTTGCAGAGAGTTAGGTGAGAATATTGATACCACTCTCATGTCTTTACAGTAAATGTGAGACTACAGGCCGCAGCCAGCAGCCGGTTAGTTTAGCATGAAGATTGGGAAAGGGGAAACAGCTAGAATGATATTCTCATGCAACTCTTAGCAAGATGCAAATAAGTGTATATAATTCAAAAACTATTCATTTACCCACTACAAAACAAAATGTGAAGGCTACAGTTTAGAGGATACTTACCCATACCAGCATTACTTCCTGAGCAGAGAACTGACAAAGAAAACCCCACATATGAACACATTAATTTATACACAAATTATAAGAACAAATGAAAATGTGTGACATTAATAAATTCAGACTATACACACCTGAGTACGTCCTTGGTTGACAGAAACTGACTTTGATCCCATTCTGCCCCACCGGTGCTGCCACGACTGTGTAGACATCCCCACATGTTTCCTCCTGGATGTCACAGTATCTGCTGCCAGCAGCTGCGATGCAGGTGTAGTTGGCTCCTGTCCCGTACAGCTCTACTGTGTGGTTATGGATCTGAGGTCCCATAGAGAGCCAGTACACTCTGAGGGAGTTGTTGGCCCTGCGATAGAGCTTGACGCTTGTTGGACAACAGGGACCTATAAGAATGAGTTTCTACTTGAATTGGTGATGTTTATGTCAACGACCATATTGGTGTTTTTGGATGTTTGAGCCTGTTAACTACCAGCTACATTACAACTGACCATTTCCAAAACTAGTAACACGCTCTAGTATTATTGTGTGTGTTAATTTCCTACTTTGCAGGCAGTAATTGGTTTCCTTACATTTCAGAAGTGCTACAAAAAAAGTTCATTATAGATTAATATATAGATTTCGTTTCAAGTACTGGATCATTTAAATTTAATGTGTAAATACACCAATTATCCAAAAGGCTTTATCCAGAGTTCCTGGACAAAATTCAGAAAAAATGTCCAATTAAAATTAAAAACGTTTTTGAAATAGTTAATCAGCATGCAGAGCACTAATTAAAAGATCATATTAATATTAGTAAAATTATATATATATGTCAGTTTTAAAGACATGCAATACTGAATTACCCGGTACTCAACATTTAAAGCAATACAATGTGGAATTGTAACATAAATATGCATTAAATAGGAAAACATGCAACATTAGCAGATTAATTTAGTTTACAAAAAGGTCAAGAAATAGGGAAAAACAGGAAGAAATTCTAAGTTCCAAAAGCCCAAAGTGGTATTGTTTCTTCAAATGTCTTGTTTTATGAGACGAGCAGTCCCCAAATATATTAAATTAATGATATATAACGCAGAAAGGCAGCTAATCCTCATATTTGCTAGAAACAGGAATAATTTAGACTTAATACATGACTTAAACAATACGCTGATTGTTAAAACAATTCGTGTGATTTGCAGCGATGGGCTCAAATATTCCAAACTACTACCTTCTTTAAGGCTAGAGAGACATTTTCAAATGTTTGTGTATATTTGTGTGTGTATGTATGTATTTGTCCTCACTGGATGAGAATCCATGATATTTGCAGTCGGACTTGTGTCCCGTGCTGCTGATGGCTTCCAGGACGACGCTGTAGTTGGTGCCACAGGTGATGCATCCCATCAGGCAGTGGATGTCCAGAGTGTGGCACTTAGCGTGTCCGCGTGGGGACGTCAGCGTGGTGATGTAAGAACGAGCTCCGGTGCCAGGTGACCATGTCACGTTGGTCATAGCCTGGGTGACCTGGGTCACATTCACATACATGGGGCAGCAAGGACCTCAAGGAGTGAAATACAGAAAAAATATCAATTATACTGAAGTCTCTTTACCATAAAACTTGAACAAAAGCAGGGTTCCAGCTAGACGCAGGTCCCCTGTACTAGCCTGGTTTTGGGCTGTATAAATAAAACTAATTTGGCATTCAACCAATCAAACCTGTTTCCAAAGGTTGACTGAATCCAGGCAGACTTCTCCCCACAGTTGTGGTGGCCACTGCCATGACCTCATATGTTGAACCGCAGGGCAGCTGTGTGAGTTCACAAGAGTTGTTTCTTGACCGGCAAGTGTGTGTGCTTTGACGTCCAGTGGCAGTGATGGTATAATTTGTGTTGGGGGAGTTGGGGGTTGTGAAAAGGACTCTGTATGTGGAGTTGTTGATCTTTGTCATATTCAGGATGTCTGGAACACACGGAGCTGCAGCAGGGCACACAAGAAATTTAGTTTTCATACCAAAAACACATCAATGTATCACTCTGAGAAATTTTGGGGAATATATCTGCCTTCCATTGCTTGTATGTGGATTAGTGTGTGTTTATGATGTTAGATGTCACTCTTCATCAAATCTCTTGTGTTTCTGTACCAGTACCTGTCTCATGTGTGTGTGGCATGCAGGTGCGGTTGCATCCTCGCAAGTCGCTACAAGGTGTGACGGTCACTGAATAAGCGGTGTTGCACTTCAGATCTGACAGCGCACACACTGGCGCCGTGTCATTACAGTGGATGACATCATTAGTCTGTGCTGCTGTTGTCTCGTACATCTCGGCCCCTTTGACCGGTGACCACATGATCTCCAGGGTCTCTGTAGACACTAGGTTGATGGTAACGCCCTCTGGGCAACAAGGAACTGGGGAGGAGGAATGAAAAATAGGTTAGTATGATAATCTATACTTCGCAGAGGACCATAATGGTGGTTTGACATGTTTTAAAGATACATTCTACCTTCCAGGCAGCCATTGTTTTCACCTCATGTCAGCTTGCAAATACTTGAGACATAGTTACTCCATGGCACTGCCTCCCAAACCCCAAATGTTGTGAGCAGCTACATTTTTTTATAGCAAACTTTTGGATTTATCATGGCATGGACCTGCCAGTGTGATTAATACCAGGGAAGTGGTATTGTCAGAGAAGTGGCACATCTAACTGGCATACAACCATTTTAATGGTATTAATTACACGGGCTTGTCAAAATATCCGCTGTGGCATATTTTTACAACAATGCCCATGGTGGAGAATTCAAGGAAGCTGCGTAATCTGAGATCTTAGACTCAGATACCCAAAGGTCATGCCGTCATGAGCTATGATGTCAGAAAATCTAATCCAGAAGACAAACCAAAACAAGTTTGGTATAAAAAGGCTAAGTTATATTTGAGCATATGCTTAAATTAAAAAGGTGCTGTTGAGTTAAAATCTAGATGTTACAGGGAAGAATTGTTAAAACAGTCACTGACTGACAATGCACGTATCAATATGATATCTTTGTCAATACAATAAGCCAGACTTAATGTTCACACAATAAGAAGTTAATGGCCAAAAAGATACCAAACCAGTAGTATGGTCCTTTGACTTGATAACAAAAACATGTATTGGTGGTGGTACTCTATGTGGTGCTTCTGGTCCTACTGGTTGTGTAGTTGCGGACGTTGGCATAAGGGCTGGAGCCGGCCTGGTTGTAGGGGAAGACGGTGGTGTGGTAGGTGTAGCCACACATGCAGAAAAATGGGCAGGTGGTGTCAGTGGTGTTGCACGAGTTCTCTGTCCCATCATCCCTCTTTATGAATGCCATGTAGTACTCCACCAGTTCCACCTCATCCCACACCACAGAGCAGTTGCCTGCTTTGGGCTCCTCTACCCAGATGTTGTCTGGGAGACATGGATCTGTCAGAGAAAGAGGGAAATAAAAATGGACATCACTTTTTAAGGGGACAGGTCAACTTTTGGGCTCATGTTCTTGCTGAGAGTTAGATGAGAAGATTGATAGCACCCTTATTAATGCATGGTAAATATATATCAGTGCTGTAGTACTCATGTCCGGTCTCAGACTCAAAGCGTTTTTTCTATTTTCTCGGACTCGTCTTGGACTTGTTGGTATTTGCACTCAAACTGGTCTTGGACATGGCCATTGGTCTTACCAAATATTCTAGTTGGTCTCGAGTGAGTCCAAACAAAACCACTGATGAAGCGCTTGATCATAAAACAGGTATTGGTTTAATTTAAATTCATTGGGCTTTGACATTGGCACTGGTAACCATGGTTACCAACTGTATGCCTGGCTTATGTCATTGGCAATGGCAAAAGCTTTCTCTTTTCTGTCTTGGTCTAGACTCTGTCTTTCTCATTTGGTCTTGACTTGACTTGGACTCGAACCTCTTTGGAATCGGTCTTGACTAGCCATGGTCTTGACCTTGACCACCTCGACAAAGGTGGTCTTGTCTTCAGTACTGATATATCGCAATAGCTTGGCAACGGTTACCTTAGCTTTGCAATAAAGATTTGAAACCTCAGGGACACAGTCTGGCTTTGTAGTAAAAGTAACTAAATCCGTCTACCAGCACTTCTAAACCCCAAACCTCACCAAATTATGTATTGTGTTTTAAATGTTTAATTATAATTATGTCTTGTTGTTTAATAAAAAAAGATAAAATATGTAAATGTATGGGGGGTTATGTGCCAGAATATTTCTTGGTCAGGTACAGAAAATGTTTCCAGTCTTTGTGCTAAACTAAGCTAAGCTAACCGGCTGGTGGTTCTCATCTAACTCTCAGCAAGGAGCAAATACCAAGTGCATTTCCACAAATGTTGAACTGTTGTTTTAAACAAGTAAGATTTCTGAGTGATATACCCACAGGTAATGTAGTCTACTGGTTGCGAGGGGCTGCTGGGACCAGCGTTGTTATAGGCTATGACAGAGACAGATTGATTCTGGCCACACTCTGCAGGTGTGATATAACAGTAAGTGTGAGCTGTTAAAGTACAGTTTTGACCATTGGTGGTCCAGGCCTCGTAGTTATCAGCTCCTTGCGCTTTTGCCCAGTACACAGCGATCCCAAGAGACCGACCCGGAGTCATCTGGACATGGGTCACATCTGGGCTTGGGGGACCTGGAAATGAAACCAGAAGGAAATGAGTAACAGAATCTGCTACATTCATGTTACCACCAACTTACCTGTTGGGGGTGTTTGTTGTAAGTGATGATTGATTTTCTTCCACACGTTTGTCAATTTAATTCTTATAATGCTTACGTGTGATTTGACAGACAGTGAGGTCATCTCCAGGTCGACCTTCAGAGTCCCAGGCTGTGCCCTTGATACAGTAGGTAGTCCCTGCTTCAAGGTCATCAAAGGTCACCATGGTGTTAGTGGTGTTCAGTTTGTGGCGGGTGCTGGAGCCCTGTTTGATGATGCAGAGTGTATAGAGGATGGCATGCTCCACTGGGGTCCAAGTCACAAGGATGGTGTCGTTGTTCGGAGAGCTTGTGTTCAACTTGGGCGCCATTACCACTACAGACAGGCAGAGAGTAATAATGAGAACATTTTTAAATGGACAAATAGATTTCTTACTTCTACTCTCTTCTAGGTGTGAAATTAAAACATTTCCCAGTGATTATGTTACATTTAGTTCTCCTTTGGGAAGAAAGACAACCCAGTTCTCATGGTTTTGCTTTTCATATTATGAGAATAGTGTAGTGAAGAGGTGTGGATATGGTTTCCACCCTCTTGTGTTGACTGCAAAGAGTGACAATGGGCAGTGAAATGACACGCTGTTGTGGCCGGCGGAGAGAGATAACAAGCTATTGTCCTACAGGAACAACAGCAAGAGTGCGTTTCACTTTTCATACGCTGATTATCATCTTGAGTAAACTGCTTATAATGTGTATAAGTAAAAGTGGATGGAAAAGTTAATTATTATTACATTTTATAGATAATTATTAATAATATTTTTAGCCTTTATGGTGAAAACCATAAATATGTGTTAAATGAGTGTTTATAAGTGTCATTATCTGAACGGCTCAAACCACTGTATGAAGTGTATTTAGGACTCTAGTATGAATTCATACCTGTACTGCCCAAGACGGAGTATGAGGGCTGGCTCCTCCCCCCAGAGTTGACGGACATTACACTCAGCTTGTAGTCTGTATAGGGCTGGAGCTGCACCACGGTGCCTGGGGAATTGCTCACCATGGTCTCAGAGAAGAAATCACTGTTTTCTGACTCTGCCCTCAGGATGTAGCTGGTTGCCCCGGAAACCTCAGTGAACTCCACAGTGATGCTGTTGCTGTGTTTGGAGTAGGCCTGTTCAATGCTGGGGACTTCAGGAGCTGGAGACCACATGATAGAAGTCAAATCACTTAGGTAGATAACAAAATGAAATGTTTTTAAATAAGTTAATTCACAATCACAATACTTTTAGGACTGCTTCTCTATTGTTGTTATATATAATATATTATAAATGCAGTATGTTTACTATATTACTTAAGTACAATTTGGAAGTAGTTCTACTTTTCTTAAGTAGTTTATGTACATGCTACTACTAAATTTAATGAAGAAATATTGTGCTTTTTATTTCATTTACAGTATTTAAAGACTAGGGCAACTAGTTTCTTTACTTTCTTTATAGATAAAGATTTATATGCAAAATATTTGAAGAGATTATAAGTTGCCACTTACTTTTTGTATTATCCATTAATTGTTCGGTTGATCAAATGTCTTGTTTTGTCAGACCAACAATCAAAACCTTTGTCAATTTTATTTGTGTGATTGTGTATATGGTACTTTTTCTGTTGGAGGACCCCATTGAAACTGATATGGTACATCTCAAGGGGTTATACCTAATAAAGAATTTCCAACAAATAAATTTAGTTTATAATCATGTAAAAAAGATAAAAAACAGGAAATCCTCACAGTGGAGAAACTGGAGCCAATTTCTACAGATATAATGCAATGCTTTACATAAAATAATAACACTAAAATTCTTTGCGCATGTTGATACATGCACTTATATTATTACAAATAATAATATCAACTATAATAACCAGTGTCATAAATAATGACATTGGGAGAGGCCTTTCTGCCTCCATACTTTTACTTTTGCTACTTTAAGAACATTTAGCTGATAATATTGAAATAGAAATAAATATAGAATTAAAAAAAATAAATAAAAACAGCATAGAATTTGAATATAAAAATGTGTTTCTGAATCAGATTCAGGAGTGAGTTTCCTCCTTTACCTCTCCTTGCTGTTGTTACCGACCTGTTGTCTCCTCTGTCTCTGCACTGCTGAGGACATTGAATGCATTGTCCATGGCTTCTAGCTGCATGGTGTACACTGTGTTTGGCGACAGGGAGTTGACTGAGCCCATCACCATGTTGCCACCGAACTGAGCAAAGACGGGTCGTTCTGGAGAGTTCTTGGGTGTTGCTGTGATCTTGTAGGAGCTGGCACCAGTGTGGCCGCTCCAGTGCACTGTCATACTCTTAGATGTGACCGTAAACACTGACAAAGTGATGTCTGGAGGGGATAGAGAAGAAAGCTATGATGGGGTGCATGCAACATTTTGATATTTCAGGGTAAACTAATTCCTAATGCCAATGCAATAAGCATATTTGTGTTGTTTCAGAACAACATCTTAATTTATGGAATATGGAACTTTTCAAGACAATTTGCATAATAATTTACTGGTGATTGTATATTATTTGATTTTTGGATCATTATAAAGTATCTTTGGGCAAATGTAAAAGAAGATAATTTACCATTTTGAGCGGCACAAATCTGTAAATGACAAAAAAAATGTTAATGAGTGAAACAAATAAATAACTTGATGATAAACAACAGGAAATACAACGTTTTCAAGACAAGGATATCATCCCAAGGGTAGAAAGTTATTGGCATTTCACATTATATCCCGAGGCAAATTATGCCCTGTATCATATTCTCGGAGCATGAGAGGCAGCAGGCTGCACATTACCTTCACTCAACACAGATTTCAGGACTGGTCAGTGCAGGTATTTCTTTCAGGTTGGAATGAATTTGTCTATTGAGCTAAGGTTGGGCATGCCACACGCACTTGTTGAAAGCAGTGACACTCAAAAGAGCCTGTGTTCCTGTATTTCAAAAGTCCTCCATGTATACACATATAAAATATGCATTATAGCAAAGATAGGAAAACATGTCAACTACTGGACACTGATGATGTCAAGCTTGTTCTTTGTAGTATATTTTTGTTGAAATATTTGAAAAGTAGTGTATAATTGTAAAAGTATTATTGCTTACCTCTGTGAAGGCCAATAAGAGCAAAAGTTTTAGCCTCTTTAATTGTGTTGTCCCCATGCCTTCAGTGTTTTTTCCCTGCTGAGCCACTGCCTGGAGGCGAGATGTGTGATGCTGTTTCTCAAAATGACTTCAGGGTAGCAGCTCTGGCTTAAATTTGACCTTTTTTTCTCTCTCTCTCTCTCTCTCTCTCTCTCTCTCTCTCTCTCTCTCTCTCTCTCTCCCTGCCTTTCTCTCTCTCCCTCTCAGATGAAACGACAGGTCCGTTATTGTTTCAGCGAAATACCAAAGAGCCCAAAGGCTGTAACTCCTCCCCTCAGGGGAGTTCGGGTGGCCTATCAGTGCCAGAGGAGGACGCTCACCTTTGTTATATGAGGACGTAGGTAAAAACAATCGTGTTGCAAGTACTTGCACTTGCAATACACTAAAATGTATCGATTCCTGTCTTGTCTGAATTTTTTTTTCTGTCTTAAGAACATACACTTAACACATCCCAGTTGAGAAATATGCAGCCTCACACCTTATATAAAAAGATAAACTTAAACAAGTGATGACCTCTTTCTGTTACAGTTGTGTCTGGAAGGAGGTTTTATGACCTGGTTGACAACAGTTGATTTCCCCTGGTTTCCACGTCCCCGATATCTTATGATATTTGAAACCTCTTTTTTAAGCAATTATTCATTTTGTCCTCAATGTGTCAATGAACAAACACAAATCTATCAACAGCACTTTAAGAGTTGTACATATAGGTGTTGGTTCGGTGTCAATATAGCATCTGTAAGGCAGTTAGAAGCCCTAGGATGTCTACAATACACATATTTATTTTCTCTGATATAGATATAGTAAATTCATCTGCTTCTCAGTCAGCTAAGTTATCACTTTGGTAATAACACTGAAAAACGAACCGTCAGAAACAAGCTGGCTTATGTAACCACATACAACATACATTTGGATAAGGGTAACATCATGCCTTGTGCTAGAGAGCTTTACTGTATGTGCAAATAGTTCCAGTTTCTGTGACAAATGCTAGGTAAGGTTAGAATAATAACCTTTCTTTTCCCCAGTGGCCAGGTATCTGCGTCAGGTGTGTATTATGAAGATGGGCTGGGAGGATCCCTGAGGACCAGCTCTGGACTAACTCTTTTGTGCATAAAGTCCAAAAGGAGAGCACTGATCAGATTCAACTTCACACGCATGAGATAATCTCCGCTTTTAAAGAACACAAAGTAACTGTGTCGGATTTACCTTTTTAGTAAAATTTTATTAACAAATAAAAGTGTTGTTGATGTGAAAACATTTTGTTGATGTGGTAACATCAACAGCAAAAAAACAAAGACCCACAATGGCAATGACAAAGCAAAACAAGACAGAACAAAACACCCAGCAACACATATTTACTTCCCACATCAAACTAACAAGCTCAACCTCAGTATCTTCATATCTGCTTAAATGATGTTGAATATAAATAAATATACATCTCGAATATACACAGAGAAATAGGGGTATCATTTCTGTACTCAAAGGTACATTTGTCAGAAAAGTGCCATGTAAGGTATGAAAAAGAGTACTTAAGGTTCATTTAAAGGTACAAAATCATGGCTGACAGAAAGGGGTAATAATTGTACTTTTAACCAGCTTAAGGTTCAGGAAACATGTTACAGCAAATCAGTGATCACAAAATCTTGATTTAAATAGAGATTTGGGTTTACTGAAATAAAATAGGCTTCTGGTAAATTTCCATTCAATTCTTGGTCTGTGCTGCCTGGGAATACTTTCATGGGCAAAGAACTAGGACGTCACTTGCCACACAGACGCTTTTGGGCAAGACGCCCTTTTTCAGCGTGTTTTGGCAAGTTCACAATGGATCTATTTGAGTGATTAGAAGTATGAAGTATTATCACTGTTTTATGTCTGTTTTCTTATTCTTTGCATACATCCATGGAGACTCGTTCTTCTGTATTTATTTAACTTTATTTTATGCTGTGGCCTTTCTAATGGAGCCCCTGAGGAGTTGGGTAGTGCAACCCGTTTTCTCCCAGCAGTAAACTGTGGCATGTGCCCGAAACAAGTGCACTTGTACTGTTGAAGCTTACAGAAAGTAAAACTTGATTTATGCTGTTACAGCATTCACTTGTTATGGACAAATCTTTTATGAGCAAGACTCATAACCCCAACCGCTGTCGTTGCACTGGGCAGCTTCCAGGTATGAATGTGTAACAGTGCAAATGTGATCAGGATGTTCCTTCCTCTCAGTGAACCTTCCCGGAAAAAAAAATAATGGTTGAAAATAATAATCTATTTGTACCAGGATATAAAGGAGCATTTTTGTCACAAGGGGTACAGAAATGTTCTTGTAGAGATACAGAAAAGAAGGTGCAAAAATGTACCATGTTCAAAGGTACAGTGTTTGAACCCTGCTAGTGACAAAGCATACATACCCTTTTAGGTCCATTCCTGTGCCTTGATTTCTTAGTGTGGGTGTTTTTTCTCTATTGAGTACCCCTATATTTTATGCATTAACAACAATATGATCCTTTAGCTTCCGACTGCTCAATTGTTATACTCCAGGCAGTTTATTGTGCACCTGTCATACTTCTACTGCAAACAAAAACCTATAACCAGGTTAAAGTATAAAGGTAACTTCTATATTTGGGCTACTGTCTTTTCCATGTCCAAAAGATAACACATTAACTGTGTCAGATTTCCCAAATCCGTGGTCTAATTGTTTTGTATACAGATAATACTAAAGTGCTAAGTTACAATTGTGTACAAGTTAGATGATCCGTGTCCTTAAAGTCTGTCTTAATAGCCTTTAACATGGTTCCAATAGAAGTAATGGGAGATATCTTTCAAAATGCTCCTTTTGTGTTTCCCTGGACTTTGTTTCTGTGGTGTGGTGAGAGGTTAGAAACACCAAGAGGGAATTTCGCACTAAAAGTCTGTAAATGTGGAAGAAACACAGAATCAGGACTGTGGGTTTTGCCCCATTCCTTACATTGAAAGCTCTTGAGGAAAAGATACTTTAATTGCCAGTATGGAAAGTAGGAATGAGAGCAGCATGCAAGCAAAACCCAATTCAGGGAATTATGTATGAATGTAATGTAACAAATGGACATGTGAGTGTTTTAAGACGTTGAAAAACTGTGAAATGCCAGCACTTGTTTTACTTCACTTAAACAACATGAATGATTTTCTTTTGATAGTGTGATGAGTTTTCAAATAACTGGTTTGTCATAAGTCTTCCACCTGGGCACTTTAAAAGCAGTAACTGGCACACAGAGACTGGTACATTTCCCTCTGACTCCATCAGCTCAGACTGTGTGCTGCTCAGAGTTGCATAACTTTGTGAATGTGAGTAGGATCCTAAATTAAATAAAGATAAGGCTCTCATCTGTGAGAAAGAAACTTGTAAACATAATGTCTTCTGTCATTAGGCTGCTGGACTGTCAGTCAGTTACTGGCTATGTTAGCCTTATGAACAATTTGCATTTGTATTTGTTTAAATGTCCATCATCATTTTGTATTTTATAGGCTCATTTCCACAATAATCATTATTCTTGCACTGTTCTTACTTTTTCAAATTACATTAGAATAGAATAGAATAAACGTTATTGTCCCTTAGGGGAAATATGTCTTGGGCACAATGTTACAATTGGTTGCTTCACAGAAACAAACATACCTCAACAACAGACACACATCAAAAAAACTAAATCAACATAAAACATCTTAAAACATGCTGGTTTCACAGTACACCTGCACTAACTCCATTAGCATATACTCTATTATCTATATATCTAAATATATGAACACAAATTTGGTTGCTCAGTCTTTGGTCAGGTAAAAAGATTGTTGATGTGTGCATAAACTTAGTTAGTCATGTCTCTTTTGTTAACTTTCTGTTACAGTATATCATGACTTTATGTAATTGTGTTCCACAGAGCCTCAAGCTGATACGAGTAAAAACGTTGTTTCAGCTGGATCGTCTGCCTCAAGAAAAAAAATGATGACATCCCCCTAAAGTGGACAATGAAAATTTGCCAATACAACTGCCAGGAACTGGAGAAATCTTGCGACAGACCACAACAATGAGAACCTCCCTGCAGGTCTCACAGGTCGCAGAGCCAATCACAAGCTGCTTATTAAAAAAAAGTTACGTTTTCTTTTCTATGTAGAGAATTCTGTAATCCAAGTCAAGTTAGACCCTTTCTTCAAATAAGGACATGAATATTACGAAGATATCCCTGATTGAGAAAGCATTAGTCATCAGATCATCACACAGTGGTGAGACAGTTTTCCACCTGTCTTGCTTTCTGCACCTGTTAGCTACCACATTAATGACCTCTAACTTTTCTAATCTATTCTTGACCAGAAGACCACAAGACCAGAATTTTGTACGCTTCCTAAATAACATTGTATGCATACGATGAATACCCCTGAGGTGTCATTTTGGCCTCTGTACACCTGTGTTGTCATTTACAAACTATGAGGTTCAACTACCAGCAGCAAGTTTCTTTGGTTCACAGTAAAGTCACACAAAGGCTAAAAATTATTTTTCATAATACTGCTGACAATTTGTATTACGTATTTACTGCACAGTATTGTAGCGTTTCAATTACAGTGGGCATTTAAGATAAAGTCCTCCAGTTAAGACATTATTCTACAACTGTGTTAACTAAAAAAGGCTTATTACACATTCAACATCACTGAAACGCTTTGCTCCAGACTGTCTCAGGAGCTGCCTGGTCTGTGGGGGTGATTGTGTATTTGTGTTTAAATGTGAGACATCGACTGTGACCAGTTTGCCTACAGGTTAGTTACTGTAACACCGAGAACCTCATCTGTTCTTTGAACAATCAGTGGGGAGAGTTCAGGAATGTTGTTTGGAAATGTCTTCTTTCCTGATACCCCCGTTTGAACAACAGTGAAAGTCGATACCCCACAACAAAAACTGAACACAGTCCGGCACCAGCAGGCTATGGCGGCGACAAAGCATGCAACAGAAACTCAGTAAGAAGACACTGAGTCACCAGCAGCCACAGGCCAGCAGGATGGGCATTAGAGGAGTCAAATGAGCACATTAGCTAAAAGGATAAAAGTTGATACTTATTCGCACTAAAGAGAGAGAGGGATTTTCCTGAAATCTTGTATTACCAATCCGACCTAGTTTTAATTTAATTTAACTTTATCTCCTTACCCTGTGGCTGCTTGGGTAAAAAATAGTTGGAAGGCAGGTAAAATAAAAAAGAAAACAAAAGCATTAGGTGACACAAGTCTATCGAAATGGACCATTGTGAAAAGATAAAGTTTATGTTTATTGCTGAGTGACACTGTACTGACACTGCCCCCAAACCAAATGTCATAACAGGATCATACTATTCTTACAAAAAAAGTTTTCACCAATTCATTTCTGATAAAATAAATGAGTATTGATCTAATATTGTCCTTATGTCAGAAATCTGATGTCAGAAAGTAATTTTGCCCACTATAGTGGATATAAAGTATGAATGTTTAAAGAATGAAGCTGCCAAAAGACATCATCAAAATGTAAAAACACTCAATACAAACAAAATTCTGTCCATCAACAAAAGTATCAGTTTACTTTAAAAAAAAAAACAACAACCCAAACTTACAAACCACAGGTAAGATTACAATATCCAAAATGTTATTTTTACAGTGTGATTTCAGACTTCTCTATGTATTATAAATATACAACCATGTACAAAATCAATAACTTAACACAAAAATGTCCTTAAATAACTCTCTTATCGTGCAACAAGGACATTCTACATCAGGTATCATATGGACTGGCAGATTGATGATTACAGTAATCTGGTGTGTGGTGTTTCCTGCCCCCTAGTGGCTGCAGGCTGTGCATTTTCCTGTGCAGTTGAGCCTTGGCCAGGTCAGCTGACAGTCTCTTGGCCATTCGGTCTGTGGTCCTCTTCATGCTGCGGGCCACCTCAATAGCCTGGTCTAGGGTCCTGTTCATTTCTTCCTCCTAGAAAACAGTAGCAAAATTTCCAATGCGCTGACCATGAAGAAATGTCACAGAAACAACAAATAGTTGGCCCTTTTATGAGCTACAGAGGAGACATCTTACCTTGCTCCCCCTGCGTCTGCCTGTCCTGCTGCCAGTCTTTGAGGGCACTGATACTGGGGACAGTGTCCGCTGGAAGTACACATTGCTGGGCAGGAGTGCCGAGTCTGACTGGGTGGAGCGCTTTCTGTGATGGGACGTGGACTGCAGCATTGGCTCCCTAACTTTATAGCTGAATTTGAGGACAGATAGCAAGAAAGAACGATTCCACTTTAACAGAACTAGATCAGTTAATAACTTTTGGGAAACTGCTGATGAATTTCTGTCTGCTTTCAGTGAGCGATGTGTTTGTGTTACGTGTGAGTTACCTTGCAGGCAGGCTGCTGGAGGACGCGTAGCTGACCTGGAGAAGGGGCTTCTGAGGAGATGGAGAGGAGAAAAGAGACCATCTCTCCTTGGAGTAAAAACGCTCCATGACGGCTGCTGACCGTGGAAACATGACAGCACTACAGTATGTACACTAATTAAACAAAAAACTGCACATATTTACAGTCCTGGTTTTTAGATTTAAGTTACTGACTGAGGACTTTTTATTTATGCTGATTATGGTGGTGATACAGCACTGATTGCTGACTGCCTGCTGTTTGTGCCGAGGTTGTTACTCTTGCGCTTTTCTAGTATATGCTCTGAAACCAATTTGTCTAAATATAGTTGTTTTTTTGCCATATGCAAATGTTTATGTTTTAAACATTAGATAGTAAAATCACTTACTTTGTGCTCTCTGCTTGGCATGGCTGTTAGAAGCCTCCTCATTCCTCCCTTTTAAAATGGAGCTGGTCAGACCAGAGGTTTTCCCTGAGCCATTCCCCTCTGACCCTGATAGAGAGTAACACACACATCCCATTTTGGATACAATATTCCCATGTAAATGATAGACATAGAAAATAAATTGTTACATAGAATTAGGGTCTTTATGGCACTGTACGGTGAAATATAGATGTGGCTCTGACCTCTGTTGGACTGCAGTTGCCCATGAAGTTTATATTGCAACATAATCTCAGAGCCAGCCACGTCATCACTGTCTGTACCTGAAGAGCAAACGTTCAAAACCCTAATCAGTGATGGAGGAAATATATACGCACACAAACATAGATACAGATGTAGAGACATGCTTTGAGACGTGTGTGTGAGTTTTTTGTTGCAATTTAGTGTGTCATGATGGTGAAGTACCTTTGCTCTTGCTGGGGTCCATGTCTGAAGAGATCCAGTCCTCTAGCCGCACCTGGCTGGAGCTGAGATTGCTCACATTCTGTCTGCTACTCGATGGCTTCCACACACTGATGGTTTGAAGGAAAAGGGTCATAATAATGTGTAATGAATAAATGGTAAGAACATGATAGGACTTTGAATGCTAATCCTAGACTTTTAAATAGTATCTGTATTTTTCATGCCAGCTTTTTACATAGACATGTTATGATATAATGATTAGGTAAATATTAACCAAATGTCACATGAGTACACTCCAACAATACCCCTTATCCTTTTGTTGCTCCACTACTACCACCCTTGCAGGATCAGTTTCCTACCTGTTGCAGGCTGGCCTGTGGTGGGTCCGAGGTCTGGTTTTAGACTTGCGCTCCTGACGATCCTGTTTGTATTTGCAGGTGAGATAGTCCATCTTCTCTGCTAGGTGAGGCAGCTGGACCAAGCCCTCCTCAAGGTCCTTCTTCAGTCTTGACACCTCTGACTGCAAGGCCACGATAGCCTCACTAAACACACATGGACATTTAGAGGATCGCAATGTAAATAGGTAATGACATTGAAGAAGATGATTAAATGTTTATCTGCGTTGGTGAAACAACTGCTTAAAGTTCTAGTTTTCAGCAGTCAACCACCAGTACTGGCTGCTCCTTAGCATATACAGACCTATTACAAGAGCAGGAGTACAGTGGGCTGTCTGTCTCTTCTGTATCCATGGTGGTGCTGAGTACAGGCTCAGATACGTGCTGATGGAGCTGAGCAGGTGGTCTGCCTTCAGATCCTGTGCGGTCAGTGGTGGAGAAGCATTCATGATTTCAGTATTGACCATATTAGAAATCAAAAGAGAAATTCTTTATGAAGAAGGATTTGCTCACCCTGGAGCCTGACTGAGGGCTCCTTAGTGGTGCTCTCCACCCACCGCTCCACTGCCACTGCCGCCCCACAGGACTGTGTTTGGACTGATGGGTGTGGACTGGCCCACCGCTGGCTGGTGAGGCTGGCTGAATGGATGGCAGTCTGCAGGTTGGAGCAGGAGCCCTCACTGTCTGAGCTACTTAAAGCATCATTCTGGGACTGCACACTGTAGCAGGGAGGATGAAACTTAAGTTATCCTCACATTAGACCTATATCATATGTAGACAGTGACATTGTTGCTGTTTATGCAGATTTGTACCTTTCTGAGAGCAGATTTGGTTGAAATGATCCAGAAGCTGATTGATTCAAGTAAGAGCTTCCAAATCCACTGTCTGTCTCTGGGCTCACAATCCTCTGCCACCCAGAAAAAACACACATCAGTTCAAAATAAAGTAGCCTGTGCATCCTACACACTACTGTACCTTAAACATCAAACAAACCAACTATTATCTGTGACTGACCTGTGATACAGAGGAGGTGTTGAGAGGCGGCTCTGAGAGGCTGTGGGTGCTTGAGACTCTGGGTGCATCAGAGGAAGAAGAGACCTCCACAGCCAGACTCACACAATCACCCAGATCACATTCACCCACTGGGTTCAGGACACTGTACAGGGAGCTACAACTGCAGCAACAACAATTGAGATGTTTAGAGGCTTATGATGAGGGGAGTTAAAGTAGTATTTTAACAAATAGCAAGGCATGAAAGCATTTAATAACACAGTTAACTCCTCTTGGTATAGCGCATGCTTCCTATTTCTGTGATGACAATACATACAGTCTGCAAAAGTAGCTCACTTACACTGTAACAGGATTACAAGAGCGATTACTTGTATGAGCCTTGCATTATTTAAGAGCAAACTAGTACAGAGAAGCCACAACAGAGTAAATGAGTCACAGTTAGTTCTCTTGTAAGATCAGGTAGACTTTAATATCACATCACTGACCTGTCGGGCGTCCACTCTCTCTGTCTTGAGGATGAGCTCGTTCCACTCAAGTATGCTAAGATGTTACTGTGATCTATCGCCTCTGACAAGAGAGAGCTCCTCTCCTCTTCAGTCTCAGCTGTCTGGGTGTCCAGTCCGCCCAGAGAGCCCTGTGAGCTCCTGAAACATGACAGAGGAAAAAAAACCTGCACACATGAGACTCAAACACTCAGTGGAACCTAAACCCACACCGCACCTGAAACACTATCTGCTCCATGAGAAGCCAGAGAGCGTGCCTATTGTTTGAGCACAAACACACACACAAGCACCCCTCAAAACATCAATAGCTAGACACAACAATGACAGTGAAACTTGCACAACAGTGGTGCATTATATTTATGTATCCTAGATAACTACTTTCATTTATCTACATAGAATTAACAATGGTACTTGTTTGAATAGATTTTTCTGTACGCAATAAAAAGGGCAATATTATTGGAGACATTTTAACATTAAAAATGTTAACAGTACCTTAAATACTGTAAACCGTCATCTGCATGGGCCTCACTGACCTCCTCCTCTTCTTTTTCTTCCTCTTTCTGTGCCTCTATCTTATAACCCACAGTGGAAAAACCTGCACTTGGTCCCTGAAACATGAGACCCAGTCAGATAATTTGCGGTTAGTGTAATTTTACACAAACACACACAGCATTTACTCCATGAGATAATTAATCACAAGTTCAGGTGCAGGGTGTGGATGCTACAAAACAGTGCACTTAGTTCAGTGCATTAACATGCTAACATGTGACATATTTCACATACACGTGAGGCTGATGGGAATGTCATTCATTTGGCTGATATTTGGTCATAAACCAAAATGTAAAGTTTAAACCTGATGGTGGTACTAGAGGAAAAGTCAGAGGAAACCTGTTGGTGGCGGGATAATCAAAGTCAGGTTATCATCAAAGTCGTGCGATTCATAAATGTTTGTACAAAATAGCTTAAAATCCCTAAAATACTAAAATAAGGTTAAAAAAAAAAAAACAGGAAATAGGAAAGTAATATACACAGTATAGTGTAGGTAATTAAACACTATAAACAATCAGAACAAAAAACAATATGTATCCAGAAAAAAGTGATTAGTTAGTTAACTGTGATTGTCAATATGTGCTGCTAACAATTTCAACAAATGTAGTGATGCTGAGAAAATCATGAACTGAAGCCTCCAAAAGTTCAAGACAAATTATTCAACATTTAGGCAAAATTCAGTCAAGAAAAACAATTAAATATTTTCTCGAGTGAGGTAACTTTACATTTTTTAATCATTAAAACCAGTTTAGATGTGATAGATTTTTTGGAAAATGGTAAAATGCATTTGTTGCCACATGGAAACTAAATGTGAATATGGAAGTGATTGTCGTGCTTCAAGCACTAGGTTACTCTGAGACTATATTTACAACTTTTGATTGCATTTAAATGGGAAACAAACTTATATAGTGAAACTAAACTAAACTTACATAATTTCTATTTATATTTTGTGATTTCAGACATTTTGTAACTATAATGTATTATCTGGATTACTAATTACACCACTGGAAATCATTGTGCAGAAGGAATTACGATATCCCACCCAAATAATATGTTGGTCCACTTTTGTCTACAATATTTTCTTCCTATTAGATAATATATTGTTGTTTTACAGGTTACAAATACACTGTGATATATAGTCCAGATAGTACGATAATATGAATTGTAGGCAGTATTCTGCCATATGCTACTTTCATCCGTAGAACATGTAAACCAGGTTATTTTATGGGAGAGGGAAAGAGAACGGGAGCCGAGTCTGCTCTTCCTCCAGAGAAGAGTGAGGAAGAGCTAGTGAGCAGTGATGAGGAGAGTGACATGAACCTGGATGAGAACAGTGACAGCTCAGAGTCAGAGGAGCACAGATCCAGAACCAGAGTAAACAGGTAGAGGTATTAGATAGTTACCTCATGCAGGGATGGTGGAGGTGAGGGTGTGGGCAAGCAGAAAGGACTGGGCCTCACATGCAGCATCTCTTTCATGGGCGTAGGAGTGGAGGTTGAGTGGGGAGGAGAAATCTGCTCACACACGTTTTTGTCTATCATCTCCTTTATGTCCTCAAGGTGCATCCCTATCCTGAATATGTCTCCCTCCACCTGCCTGCACACGTATTAATGCACAAACACATACATATGTACACGCATCAGTGGATGCATTAACATGATTCTGACACATTCACACAGGTGCAATAGCGGGGTCTCTTTAACCTGTTTGGGTCAAAGGTGCCAGTGTTCCTGGACAGGCCCATGTAGTTCTGCATCTCCAGAGCTCTGTGCTCTTCCTTCTTACTGATGTATTTTCTTTCCAGCTGGTCCTGAGCCTCCATAATGCTCCTCAGTATCTGAGAATGGACATATTTTAAATGATATTGCATCTCAGAGACATACAACAATCACACAAAGAGCTACATATAGGATGTAAACAGTACTTACCATCTGCTGTTCTGCTGTGCTCACTGACATGTTGCTTACGCTCAATTTGAATTCTTCCACCTGAAGTGAAAAGGGTTCATAAATGGTTTTACACGTCTGGTCTTTTCATGGTAGCTTTCCTTGTACATCTTTAAACTTACTTTCTGCATGAACTGGTGAATGATGTCTGTCAGCTCAGCAGTCATTCTTTCCCCATCACTGGGACCCTCCTCAGGCTGGCTGGGGGAAGCTGTGTTCACCTCTTTAATGTTGCTCTGGGGAGGTGTTTCTTCTTTTACACCAAAGTTTTCTGAAGAAGAAAACAAGACACTGGAGTGACACAGACTGAACTAAGGCTGGCAAATGTCCTTGATATTGAGTCTTTGATGAACTTCCACATTTATATGTCATCTGTCAACCTGGTACAGATAAGGGGAATCAAATGGTCATTTTATTCTTACCTGTCTTTACTTCACCAGTGTACTTGATGAAGAACTTATCTAATATTTTGTATTTTCAGTATATATATGCAAAAAATAGTTAATTTGAACATGATATATTCAGTTACTGATGATCTCATGATTAAAAAATACAATACAAAAAAACGAAAGTGAAATATTTTAGTGTGGCTAGGTTTCTCAAGTTCACAGTCATTGTTTTCTATTTAATTAAAGTGCTCCAAAAGCAAAGAATATGTGTTTGTTTAACTAGAATAGTGTCACCTGACCCCATTTATCTCTATGGAAACCAGTTGCACTTCACTGCGTAATTTGCAGGTAGCGAAGCAAAGTGCTGACCTGTCATAATATCAGATGTCAGACACAGAGACGTACCTGATGGGGGAAAGTGAGGAGCCAAGGATCCAAGATGGCTTCCCTCAACTCCAGCTAAGTTTCCCTGATTATCATCATCACACTCGAAATAAAGCATTGGTTCTGAAGAGAGCTGAGTCTGTGAAAAGAGATCCATACATTTACAATGAAAATGTGACTCTAAAATAGTTTTTCTTGAATGCTAACACAACTCAGGTCAGTCTAAAAAAAACATTTACTTACATTGGTTCCTAGTCTCATTTGATCTATAAGGTTCTCTGCCTCAGCATATTTGGTAAGTAATTTATCATATTCAGCCTAGAGAAATATGGAGTGAGACAAACGTTAGTCCTACGCCCCATGCACAGCATTCATATTTGTTACTGTCTTCTGAATGTTGTCTACCTGCAGGTGATGCACCAGTGCTGGAGGAGTCTCTTTGTCCTCGTCTTTGAAGACATAGGGCTTCTCTGATGGCTGGACCGAATCCTCCAGGACTCTGCTGATCACCTCTAACATCCCTGGAGAGGACTGGGCTCTGTGGATGGTGCTGGGGCTCTGAGGAACAGGTCTGGCTGGTCCACTTGGAGCTTTGGGGATTTTTACTTTGGGAGCAACCTTGGAGAAATCAGGGAGCGGGTAATGGACTTGGCCCTGGCCATACTTCATCTCACTGAAGGATCTGGTGCGCACAAGGGGGACTCTCGGAACCTCATCACCCTCTTCTGTCTTTTCCTGCTGTGCTTCATCTACGGCACTTGTATCCCCACTGTCCTGTTTTGAGTCAGTGCTTGCAGAGCTGGACGTAATACTGTCTTTAGCAGCAGAGGTTACATTATCAATTTTCCTTTCTGCTTCTTCCTCTAAACTTGAATTTTTCGATGCACTTCTACTGTTTTCTTCAGCCCTGCCAGAGCAGAAACTCTCAGAATGAATCTCAGAATTACATGCAGCGCTCTCTGAGTGGCTACCATTGATTGCTGTGCTGTTGTGTGTTTGAGCCCAGCTAAAAACAGTGTCATCCATGCTCTCCAGCAGGGACACCTCCGGTAAGGTCTCTGCCTCAATCAGCCTACCTGACCGCAGCAACTCATCCTGGGAGAAGTGTCGTAGCAACAACTGGTTAATGTCTACAGGACAGTGGCATGGTGGGGAAACCTCACTCGGCTTGGAGGCATCAAAAAAGTTGTCCTTTTTGGTGTTGGCATCCTCTGGAGCCACTTTTGTTGGTTCCTCAGAATTGTGCTCAGCAGAATCCAAGCGATCGATAACATCATCTCTATCTCTTATATTACATTCAAGCAAACCAGGAACATCAGGACTTGCATGAACAGTTTCTCCTCCATCGGAGCTCATGTTGCTCTCAGAGGTAGCTGTCTGGTTGAAGTAGCGTCTTCCAAGGTCACCATCATAAGGTAGGTCATCCTGATCTTCGTCACTAGTATTTTGCCCCGGGTCCTCACAACCCTGGTTTAAGGGAGGCTGATCTTGCATGGTGTTTGGTCTTTGGGCAGACACGTGCAATATGCTGCTTTTTCTCTCTCCTCCCCTCTCACTCTGAGTGCTGACAACACTGGACTCTGAGGAGGTAACATCCAAGGCTGACAACTCTGCACTACCTGCTGACACAGAACACCAACGACACAAATACCAAATAAGACACTTGCATAGATTTAATCCTCAGTCTTTGCATTTATCTTTTTTAAGACTGCCACCTAATAAAAACGACAGCTCCGTTTTGCTCTGTGACTCTGCCAACATATGTCATTACATGTTTTTTTTAACTGTACCATTTTTGGTTTTGTCACATTACATGTCGCCAAGAAAAGAATTAAACCTCCAGAAAAATACAATAGATTTACCAGTGTGCCACAAAGTGCTTTCCGTATTTTGAATTTAAATTCATGTCCAATCCTACAACCACCACTGTAGTGAATCTGTGAAGAAGACTGTAGCTTGTGCTTCAATGCAAACTTTTGTTATAACACTGCAAAGAATTATTCAGACAGCTTAAAGTGTTTGACACAACAAGCCAGTTTAACATCCAACAAAAAACTCAACAGACAGAAATAAACTCCAGGACTTACCACTGAGATGGATGCTGACCTCTGAGGCAGCAGACTCTGCCTGAGACAGATGTAAAGCTAAAGAACTCTCCAAATCACTCAAGTGGAGACTTTCATCCTCACTTAGGTCAACAAAGATGCTCTGCTGAATGCACTTCTCCCAGAGCACAGTGGGCTTGTCCTCTCCCTGAACATCATCATCTGATTCCTCCAGTTCTCCCTCCATGGACACTTTGTCTGTAACAGAAAATGTCAACCTCTCTTCACCTGTGTGGGGTAAGAAAGGAGGCTGGAACACCTGTTCATCACTTAGCAACGCAACTTGTGAGCTGACAACATTGGATCAAAATGTGCAAACCTGTCAATTATTTAACAATCGATGCATTATGTGGGCAGAGGTTTGCGTGACATAAGGATGTAAGCAATTGAGTGAATGAAGTTTATGAGTGAAAGAATTTTTGTGTGTGTGTGTGTGTGTGTGTGTGTGTGTGTGTGTGTGTGTGTGTGTGTGTGAGAGAGAGAAACAGTGGTGGGAGTTAACTTAAATAAGAGTAAAACTCGGGCCGGTTACACACAACACCTAAAGTTAAGATACTCCTTAAAGTCCAAGATAAGGTTTCCTTAAAATAATGATCAGTTACACAAAACACTCTCCTTAAGTCTTCTCCTTAAGATGTTCACTTAAGTATTTAGGGTTTTCTCCTTATCTGGATCTTATACTTAAGGAATCTCTTAATGTTAAACCATTGGACAAAATTTTAATTAATTAACTTTTCTTAGTTAAGTAAAACTTGTTGTCAGGCTGTTTCAAAAGTAAAATCTCTTATTCTGTCAGTGTTATATTGCTATAAAAATCTATTATTGTGCATTCATTAACATATTAGCATTAGATTGGTAATATGGAATTATTGATATTGTGCTGGGTAGTTGACTCTACATTATAACAAGTGATTAATATTCTGTCGCTTATTTTATAAGATAATATATTTTGCATGTAAAATCACAATGCGATAGTAATAATCTGTAGGTATAGTAACTATAACTGTCTAATAAATGTAATGAAAACAAGGATTCGAGGTACTGTCATTTTTTTGGTTAATTTGTATAATAAATTGTTGAAGAACTGAACAGCCTCTAAACAAGGTAAACTGTAGAAAATGGCAATACTCAAGTGAAGTAGAAGGTATTAAAAACATTATTAAATACAGTGCTTGAGTAAAATTTCTACCATGTGAGTAAGGACGTGTGTATTGAGAAAGATCTGAGGCATTGCAATAAAGTAAATACACCACAGAGTGAACTGTAAAAAAAAAGAAAAGAAAAAATTAAAGCTATTTAAAATGTGTCTGTAAAGTTACTGCTACACTCAGTGAGTTATCGTGGTGTTGTGGTGGTAACTTACTGGGGGTCTGAACTGGTCCTTCAGCAGCACTGCGACATTAGCGTTAGTTTTAAGTTGATCCGGTCCACGGCCATGCTCTCGCTCCTGACATCATCCTGCAACTAGCTACAGTATTTCTGTCTCTTTCTTTCTTGACATATGGTTTCTCGGACAGGTTTAGTTTCGCTGCCATCATTAATAATGTAGCCTACCACGGCAGCGCTGAGCGTCTGGAGCCGGACGGACAGCTGTACAGGCAGGAGTCTGGTTGCTAGGTAACGGTGGTGAAACGTACGCCAAAAGACCACCGAAGAAGTCAGTAGGCGATATAAAGAAAATATAGTTTTGGATAACCTCCGTACATTACGTATTAAAAGTTAAAATGATGTGTTTATTGAGATCTTTAAGTAAGGGGTCTTTTGTGCTGACTTTGCAAGATAAAGGGTGTCAAAAGTTCATCCGCGATAAAGTCTGTTTGTCAGGTACTGACAGCTAATGATGGCATACGTCATCTTTTTCCTATTCAAATCTATTGGTCCAATGACTGTTAGTCGGGGCGTGGCTATCTTTGAATGTCGTCCTCTGATTGGCTACTTGGCGAAAACACATAGGCTTGTTGTACAGCCGCAAGGTTCTTCTCCTTTCTCAGCGGAGTTAAATCCAAGTTTTTATAAAAAGTTAAAGAGTAATGTAATGTAAGTCTGGGTATAGTACAGTCTGTCCCTAAATTACGGACGTCCGTTTTATGTTTTAAATCGGACCTAACTTTATATTTTTGTAAGAAAGTAAAAAGAAGAAGAGAAGTCACCATTGTTCGAGCTGGACCGACTAACGTAAGTTTTTAAGCTAACATGCTAACTGGCCAGTGTTAAGATAGTGTGGTACTGAGTAACCAGAGGCTGGTATGAAGCAGAAAGGGGTAAATTTCACTGCCCCAGGTTGTGGCTTCGAGCTGGTGTTAAACTTCTTACGGTAGTAAACATAGTGTGGCGTTTACAATCCCCTCTTTAAAGCTCCCTCAAGTAGCACTAAAATCTGTCTGAACGGTGTTCATTCTGATGGATGTGTTCAGTAGAGATTAATTAATGAATTAAGATTAATTACTGATCATTTGGAATTAGTATAATCATTGGTGTTGGTTGTGATATAACTTTAAGAATCACAAACAGCAGCATGTTGGGGCATTTTAAGCTTACGAAATGAATATATTTTAAAGTAGTACACATAATTAGAGTAATTGTTTAACTGTATTTGCCTTACATGATTATGGTCACTTTAATATATTTCATATACCTGCATTAAGATTGTTCATTTACATGGCAGTTTAGTAATACACAATTATACAGGCATACACACACTCTTATATCTATAAACTGACAGTATTAGTAGCAGTAGTAGTATATGGCATATTTACACTCATTGTTTATTTGGTTTACGTAAAATGAATGCAGCCTTGCAAGAAATACTAAAAATGTTTGTTGAAAGGTGTTTCAAAAGGGATTAAAATATATGGTAATTTAGGAAGCTGTAGTTTGAGTGTATTGTTTAAATGTATTGCATTATACTGGAAAGTGTTTCTATTATTTAGTGTTTTTTATTTATTAGGTGTACCTGGTTTATTTGTACACCTAGTTTTAGGTAGTTGTACGCAATAACATGGCAACTGAGTGTATATATCAAATGGAGTACAGAACCACCAAGTCTTTATTGTAAGTTTATTGTTCTATCAAATCTGTATCCTAATGTCTATTATTAAATACACAAACTCAAGTAACCAAGTTGTACAACAGTTCATTTAGATGTAATGTACACTTTTCCTTGCAGGCTTTCCAGATATCCTGTTCCTGTGAGGAAGAATTACCGGTCAGTATCCCACTGTGTACTTGTTTCTTTCTTTTGTTTTGGTGCGGTTTTTGCTGGCTCATGGTGTAATGCTGAGTGGTGTTTCCATATTTAGATTTTGCTCTCAGTGGCAGTACCATTTTAGTGCATCAATGGGCTGTAAGCACAAAGAAAATATCTGCTGTGTGTTTAAGGTGAAATCATGTCCTATTTGTGACTCAAACGAGTCAGTGATTACCTCCCGTGAAACTGTCATTAAAAAACAACCTCTTGTTTCCTTTGATGTGTGTTTAGTCATCAATCACTTCTTCCTCTTACACATTTGTTCATGCTCACTGTAGCTTTGTGAGCCGAGAATGTTTCTCTCAAACACACCCAGCTGGCATACAATGGTGGAAAAGGCTGCACGAACACTGGCACACATTAATCTGTGATTATAATATGCGCAGGAACACGTACTGCACAGATTACCAAAGCCCTGGGCTTTAGTTTGCGTTATAACCAACATTCCACGTAGCAGCAGGCACAATAAACTGGGCAAAGAGATTATTTAATTCTCTCTAAACTTTTCTTTTCAGACAGGTTGGTTAAAACACAAATACTCAAAGTATATGGACTATAAATGGCAAGGGGCTGTTTTAACTAATGGATTATGCAAAGATACAAACCTCTTCTTTAGAAATTGCTATAGCAAACCAGCCGCAAGGTTACCTGTATATTCAACAAGCTCCAATCTGTGTATTTTTCAGGAGGCCCTAAACTATAAAATGTTGCCCCAGTTCTAAGTTTATTATTAAGTTTCTACTGCACCTCATACTGCAGTGTTCACTGAGAGATTTAGTTAATCTTAGTTAGTTAGTTAATAGGGATGTGTTGTGCAAAAGAAGAAGGCAATGTAGCATATCATTGAGTGACCTTTGTGTAAAGTAGGGCTGAACATATTTAGATTACTGGAAAAAGAACACGGGTGATCATTTAAAATGCCTAATCAATAGATGTGAGACAGTTTATGTGCCAGTGCCATCTGTTTTAACTGTCTCTGAAAACTTTTCAGATAAACACACTGCTTGTTTGCCTTGTCTTTGTTGTCTCTGGCTGGCTGTTATTTAGCATAAAGAATGAACACAGTTTGCAAATAACGGGTCTGCCCCATTTCCCATTTTTGTGTCTGTGTGTGTGTGTGTGTGTGTGTGTGGGAGGAGGGGCTGGTAACTTGGGGGACAAATGGGTGTGGCTAGTTATGACCTCATGGAGAAATGAGGTAGTGGTTGGCCCCCGGTCTTTACTTGGTGCAGTCTATCATATCCATGTAGGTTGCTTATCTCTGTCCTTTCCTTTGGTGGAAGTTGCACACACACACAGCAGGTTCATCTGTTTTGCTACGTTTTCCAGAGCTTCAGTTTTAATTTAGTGACCTTTTTTATGCAACAAAATCATGCAACAGGTTGCTGGTCGCTCTTTCCTTTCAGTGGCTACCCCTGACTTGCATTCACACACTCTGGAAATGATATTTTTCCTGCTGTCTGTGCTTGTGCTCTGTGGGGTTCATTGCTTACTCACCTTGTAGCAACTTTAGCGCACACACGCACATCACCAAGCCTGGATGAACTGAGTCACCGTCTTTGATTGACAGCTCTCCCGTGTTGACCCCGTCCATTCATTCCCATCCTGCTCTCTCGCTCCCTGCCTGCCCCACTTGTGCACGCTGCTGTTTGGTTGGTGTTGCCATGGCACCGTGTGGCCAGAATGAGGCTTCACATACAGCATCTTGTGTTCTCTTCACAGAGGGCAGCTGACGAGATTGAGGTGCGGTGACGCAAAACACACAGTGTATGAAAGCAGCTGTGTGGACTGACACTCAGGACTCTGCAGCTCTGTCTAACACTCATGGGGTTACCTTCCCTTGTCAACATTCAGCAGAAGAACACACGAGCTGACCACGTTGGCTGACTTTTTGCTTGGTTTACCCTTCTCTCACCCAACTCCCTCTGACCAACGATTTGTTTTTTTCTTTCTCATTGGGTCTTGTTTTTGACCGCAACCATTTTTTTGGGAACGAGACTGGGATTTTCCCTCATATTATGCACATCGATGGATACCAGTGGCTCACTGGTTAGCACGCGGACTGAGGAGCAGTCCTTTCATGTCCGCTACAGGTAGGAATCTATACTCTCTCAACTAAGGTATGGTTGTAGAGTAGATTGCCTGGCTCTGTTTTTTCCTTCTTCTTTTTTTTTTTTTTACATTTTGCTTACCGTCATTAGTTTTGGAGGGGGCTGTAAATGAAATTATTGACTGTTGGTCAGGAGAATAAAAATCTCTTTTTATTTGTAATAATTTGAATGCTTATGACAAAAGAGATGTGTCAGGTAACAGATGAGGTATTTATTTATTTGGTGTTACGTTGATGTATTATGTGTAATATAGAATTGAAAATTGAGGCCAAAGTTAAAGTGTTGAGTGGGGGGCACTTTCCATAGTGCTTTCTGTGAGTTTGTTGACAAAAGGCAGGAGAGTTTCCCACAAAAGGCAGGAGAGTTTCCCTAAAAAGGCATCAGCCAGCTGTCCCTACATACGCTGCTAGAGAGCTCTGGCAGCAGGTGTCACCTGCCAAACACAGAAAGACCTGCTCCAGTTAACTTCAATATTTAACAAGCCCTGAAAAATTCATCACTGCTCGCTTTTGTCTTTCTCCACACGTGTGTCCAACTTATTTGGATAGAGTAGGCATCTTCTTTAGGATGTCTGTTTTTCCAATTTATTGTTGGGATGGTTGATTCCATTAGACAACGCTACAGAGCCTGCTTGTGTCTGAGAAGTCTAATAAAGCTACTTAGCATTCACCAGCTCTGTAATCTGCTGGGTGCATACGCTACAGCCGTAATCTCAGGTGACCAGGTCAGAAGAGAGAGCTTGGTAGAAAGAAAAGCAGATTATCTTAGAAAATGCTGAATGAGCAGTTTCTGTGCTGCCATGCATTGGAAGTTAATACTCTGACAACATCACACCGGTCTCCTTGAAAGTTTTTCCAATGCGTGATGCAGAAATATCTCTGACGTCAGAGGATTTTTTTTTATCTCACTGGAAAGGAATGCTATTTTTTTAACCTTTTTTAAAACTTAAATCAACAACAAACAAGACCTTGATCACCTTATTTTAGTACAATCAACTCATTTGGGTTGAGTTGCTCTCTCCATGCTTCAGACAAAGAGAAGTAGCCTTGAAGTTTTTCTAGTGGAAACCTTGGTAGATGCCTCTCAGATGTTCCATGTGCTGTTGTTGTCGTAAAACACGAAAAGCAAGCAGGTAGGCTAGTATTTGCCACATTTACGGTGTTAGAAAAGTATGTTGTTAACTTGGTAGTAAACAAAGAGTACGTTTTTCTAATTTAAGGCCGAAGACTGCGATTACATTGTCGACTATTCATAAAACCATGTTTGCTTTTGTTCACAAATTACAGCTTAGCCGAATGATGAAACAAGCTTCTTTGTTTGCTGTTTTTGTGTCAATTTAATAGCACACTATAGATTATGTAAACTGTTAATTCACACAAGAAATCCAGACTAGACTGCGTCTATATTAGTGTTTCTGGGTCAGTTTTTGATAGCTTTCAGACAAAACCATGAGAAGAAAGCTTCAGACAAACAAACTGAAAAGATTTGGTGTGAATCCGGTCTTTTCCCAACAATTCAGCTTCCTGAAAAACAAAAGTTGGCAGACTAACAATTTTTGCTTTGTGCAAATATGCTGCTTACTCTAAAGATAATCCATGTGCAGATAAGCCACCAGCCATTGTCTGACACTCTTTTCATCTGGCCTTGAATCGCCCGAGCCTAACCTCATTTGTACCTTCACAAGGCTTGGTTATTCAGTTGCCCTAAGAGGACCCACTTCAAATTGCATGTTAAAAATTATATCCTGCATTTTTATAATGATTGCCTATATTACAAGAAACTATTTTTTGCATCCTTTGCTGTCAGTATGCCTGGAAAAGAATCAACAATCAGTCATTTACATATTGCTTTCACAAGCTATATTCATTATATAAAATTCAGGATAATGTGAATTTGATTGTTTCGTTAAAAGTAACCAACTCTATTTAACCCTATTTTAAACCATTTCTAATTCAGAAATGAAGCTAATCAACAGGTGGGTGATGAACATTGATATACTTTTCTACTTTTGCTCTTTGCTTCATTTGACTGTAAAAGGAACCCACTTAACTTTCTTAGGGCATGTATAAAGGATGTGAAATCAACCATAACAAACCCAGTTTGAGCCATTGTTCTCTGTAGGTGGAAGGAAGTAGATAAACAACATTCCCTGTTTGCCTTTACTTAGAAAGAGGTTTTGTTCCTTGGGTGTGAGAGGAGTCTGCTCAGTTGGCTGTAGGTTTCAGCCAGAGAACATCTATTTTTCCACAACTTGTTTTTTTTTTTATTGAGCTTTAATTTCTGTCTTTGGATTCTAGATACCTTGGTGCTGCTCAGTAATAATTTTCTTTCTTGAAACTCAGCCAGGTCAAACAGCAGACCAGATTCTTGACCGACATACTGACTCTGATTCTTTCGGCTGTAGGATGGAGGTGTCCTGCCTAGAGCTGGCGTTGGAGGGTGAGCGGCTCTGTAAGGTGGGTGACTACAGAGCAGGCGTATCCTTCTTTGAAGCTGCCATCCAGGTGGGCACAGAGGACCTGCAGGTGCTCAGTGCCATCTACAGCCAGCTGGGCAATGCCTACTTCCACCTGCATGACTACGCTAAGGCCCTGGAGTTCCACCGGCATGACCTCACCTTGACCAGGTTGGACCTGCACAAGAACCACACAACCCTGCTGACCGATCATTACTATGTTTACTGTTACTAACATAATATGTGTTGCGTAGGACAATTTGTGACCTGCTTGGAGAGGCTAAAGCCAGTGGAAACCTTGGCAACACATTAAAGGTATTGGGGCGGTTTGACGAGGCTGTGGTGTGCTGTCAGAGGCACTTAGACATCGCAAGAGACATTAATGACAAGGTGAGGCTGCAAGGTATTCAAGTACTTTATTGATAATGTATGCAGTGAAATATTATGTGTTGTGTATGGGCGGATTCAGAAGACATCAACCTTCATCACTGACATGTTTTTCTTGGATTTGTGTTAGGTGGGTCAGGCGCGAGCTCTGTATAACTTTGGCAATGTGTACCATGCCAAAGGCAAAAGTATCTGTTGGAGTGGAGCTGAACCTGGAGATTTCCCAGAGGAGGTCATGATGGCACTGAGGAAGGCAGCTGAGTACTACGAGTGAGTAACTATGAGCTGTTTAATATGTGTGGGCAATTTTAATGATACAATGACTGTCTGCTCCTATCCAATCATAATGCATTTGAATATATTAATTTTCAGGGCAAACTTGGCAATAGTGATGGAGCTTGGGGACCGCGCTGCTCAGGGTCGAACCTACGGAAACCTCGGCAACACATACTACTTGTTGGGGAACTTTCACAAAGCTGTAGCTTCTCACCAACAGGTGTGGTGGAATGCTAAAACCCTTTTATTATTAAAGTATATTTGCAAAGTATATTGCATTATAAATGTGACTCAGTTACTTTTGTAATTAGTTATTCTAATAGAAACAATAAAATATGTTTCTGTGTCTCTTTCTTTGTGCAGCGCTTACTCATAGCTAGGGAATTTGGCGACCGCTCGGCAGAGAGACGGGCATACTGCAACCTGGGGAATGCATACATCTTTTTGGGGGAGTTTGAGGTGGCAGCTGAGCATTACAAGTAAGTTTAATAATCTTTTGTATAAAAAAGTATGACGGGTCATGCATACAGGTAAAATTGTATGGCACTGGCATTATCAAAGAACTGTTACACAGTACTATTTAGACATTGCTATGATAAAGTAAATTTTCTTTAAACAGTGGTGGCAGAATACATAAAAACAATGCTGTCCCTTTTTTATTGTTAAATGTATTTCTATGCTCCTTCTTGATTAACACTACAGAAGTCTTGCTACAACCAGCAGGGTAGAAAGGGGTTAACTGGGCAAATCACTTCTCTCTTTCTACATACTGCCGCCAAGATATAAATTTTGGGTGTGGTGTGACATGTCTCTGTTGAAAGACCACTTTTAAGAGTGTTGCGCCACCAAGCATAAATAAGCTTTAAACAAGCATGTTACAAACAGCTCTCTGGCTACTTATAAAAAATAATCTCATTGTTTACATTGTCTGACATTATACGCCCTTCCTAGACTGTGCTTCTTCTGAAAAAGTAAAGCATGTGGCACGTAGGAAGCAAGCCAGAGGCAACTCTTCAGTGTTTTGAACCAGCTTGTGTTCGTGTTTGTCAGGAGAACGCTGCAGCTGGCGAGGCAGTTGAAGGATCGAGCTGTGGAGGCCCAGGCCTGCTACAGTCTGGGCAACACGTACACACTCCTCCAGGATTATGAGAGAGCCATAGACTACCACCTCAAACACCTCATCATAGCCCAGGACCTCAATGACAGGTACACACGTATACATTCACTACAGGAATAAGAATTCATGCTGATATTTCCTTTATTTTAAGCATGCGCATATACATGTATTGAAATTTGTTTTTGATCCAGGATTGGCGAGGGACGTGCATGTTGGAGTCTTGGAAATGCCTACACTGCACTAGGGAACCATGACCAAGCCATGCACTTTGCTGAGAAACACCTGGAGATCTGCAAAGAGGTATGTAATGTAAATGACACATAAAGCAGTGGAAACCATATTCTTATATGTTTTACTTTGAAAACAGGCAAAGAAATCCTTCAATAGTAAATTGAACCACCCTTTGTGTTTGTTTTTGGTTTTTTTTCTAGACTGGAGACAGGAGCGGGGAGCTGACGGCTCGTATGAACGTTTCCGATCTCCAGACGGTTCTGGGTCTGAGTTATAGCACAAATAACTCCACCCTTTCCGAGAATAAAGAGATAGACTACAACCTGCATGGTACGCTGGTCAAGTTACAAGTCACATGTATTGTTTTTAACGGTGTGGTTGGTATAGCAAGTGTTTACATTGTTTATGTGTTTTAGGAGCGAGGCCCAGGATGAGCAGAAGACACAGCATGGAGAACCTGGAGTTGATGAAACTCACTCCAGACAAGATGAATGTAAGAACTTCTCTCCTGTCAAGTCCATAATGTTCTATCAAAGCTCCTTACACTTTGCTACTAAAACCAGATTTATTTTTTCAAGTTTGGACCACAGCAACTAATCCATTCCTGTGTATTGAAGGGTCAGAAGTGGAACAGTGACATCCTGACCAAACAATCCAAACCCTCCCTGGCTAAGAGCTCCTCCAAGCTCTTCTTCGTCAGCCGTCTGCGTGGGAAAAAGTACAAGGCTGGTGGTTCCAGTAAAGTCCTCCAGGACACCAGCAACACCCTGGACACCAGCCAGACACCCTTGCAGGGACCACAGAAGGTACCGGATGCTTCCAGCTGATATCACACATGCCTGAATGCCCTTTAATTTCCTATAGCTATCCTCAAACAAGGCCTGTTCTGCAGTTTTTTTTCATTTTTGTGTTTTTGTGCTTTATTAGCGACTCAGTCCTGACATGCTCGGTGACGAGGGCTTCTTCGACCTGCTGAGCCGTTTCCAGAGCAACCGTATGGATGACCAACGCTGTTCAATACAGGATAAGGGCAGCAGGTTATCATTAAGCAGTGGTCCAGAGTCGCCCCCCAGAGCGATCAGGAAATGTAAGTTTATGCATTCACACTCCAAAGTCCCACAATTTCCACAGTTTAGCTTCCTTTTCACACTGAAACCAAACTTCTCTCATTGATTCTTTCAAACTCTCTAGCTGTGTCAGAGTCTGTCAACGTCTCGGGTGGCCAAGGTCGGCGGTTAGAGGAGTCGTCAGCAGCAGGAGGAAGCCTGCCTGGTCTGAGGCTGAATCAAAACAGCAACCAGGCCGTGCTCAGCCACCTGATGGCCAACGCCGACAGTGCTGAGCCTGACGATGACTTCTTCGATATGCTTGTCAAGTGCCAGGTACTTGATATGACCAAATACACAGCGCTTGAAGAAATGAAACAGTTTCCTGCAAAATGATAAGCATACAATGCATTTATTAACAAGAAATTGTAATGTCCATAACCAGATCTCAAACTGATGTCCCTCTTCCTTCCTCTAATTCCGTCAGGGGTCCCGTTTGGATGACCAGCGCTGTGCCCCTCCCCCTCCTCCGGTCCGAGGGCCTACTGTACCAGATGAGGACTTCTTCAGCCTCATCATGCGCTCTCAGGCCAAACGAATGGACGAGCAACGCGTCACCCTGCCTTCTGCAGCAAACGCTGCAGCCAGGCCCAGCTCCAACTAAACTAAGCACTGAAGGGACATATTTTTTTTAATCTCATGAAGGTGTGGACAGTGTTGGGACTGACCAGGATGGTCACCCAGACGAAAGCCTTGTGTCTCTTTACATTTGTCCTTTTGGACACAACCAAGCACTGTCAGCATATAATGTAGTATACAGTAGGGAAAAAAATCTCAAATTAACAAGGACTTGTTTCACACAACTTGCACAACACTAAGAAACTCTCAGTAGTATCAGGGACAAAAGTGTTGTTTTTTTTTATTCTTGTTTGTCATGATTTTTTACTCCTACTAATTTCATTTCACCTTATGTGTATTTTTCAATACACAACAGCAGTTTTGTTTGTATTTATTGTGCTTTTTATGACTTATGATTCTGTTAACTACCGTCCCAACACACTAAAGTGGTTACACTCACAGTGGTGATTGAGTTGAAGCTACAGCACTCTTTCCATGTATTTTGTATATATGTGAGGGTCTTTTTGGTTTAAGAGTTTCCACTGTCAGTCAAAGGAAATGGTATTTTAAAATGATATAAGAATGAATTAAATCTCTGTACAGCCTTTCTACTCTTTTGTACTAAATGTTTCAGCGAGGTCAGAGGAATAAACCTCATTCATGTAGCCATCTTGTTTTGACTTTTTAAAATGTTCAATTTAAATTGTGTACATCAACAAAGCACAAAAGCTGCAGCTTGTGTAAAAGACACTTTAATGAACGTACCAGCAGTCAGACTTGAGTTAGCTTGAATTAATTTAAGTCACTTTTAAAAACAAGAATTAGAAAGGCTTATACAAGAGCCACTAGCATTTCAAAAACATTAACTGTACATACATGAACACAACTGAAATAAATACATCTATGTACGTATTAGTTTGGCCTTATTTGTTAAAATAAAATATACTATACATTAACATAAAACTTAAATATGAATCTTTGTAAGTAAATCAATAGTAGAAGACAATGTTAAAAGAAAGTGCGCATGTAAAATACAACAAAAGATTACAATGCATATGCCCCAAATACTGGTTCTAAATAAATATCAAAACACCCGTTGTCCATTCAGATTTCATTGTGCATATGGTTAGACCCTTAATGTTATGGGCAAAGACTGCCACCTACTGTTGTTATATAATTACAGCAGTAGACAAACCAAAGCTTTTGAACACTGAAAACTCCCAAACGGAACGCTCAACCACAAATTACACTTGGTATTTCCCTTTGATGCTGACATAATAACAATCTTCCATTGCAAGCAAGCCATCGCAAGACACTGGTAACAGCTTCAGCGCAAAAAAAAACTGATTTCAAATTTAAAACAAATACACAAGCTAATTTACACATTTTGAGTTGTAGTAATGCAGTGAGTACAGTAACATTACACATCAGTACATCCCACGGGGAAGCGGCAGCTGATCGACAGAGAGTATGACTTCCACAGATTCAGCCTCCTGATGGGAAAAGCTCACTACTGACACACTGGAAAATTACATTTTACGCCATAAAGTTTAGTTGTTTTCCCAAACAATAGCAGCATAACACCAGCTGTAAGAAAATGATATGCAAAAGAAAAAGGAATGTAGGATTTTCTCAAATGATTTAACAAAATTTGATCTTGAAAAATGACCATATTATCTTTACATTTTTGTTATGGAAACTGACAACTTAAGGAAGGCACCATCATGAACAAAGCACTCTGTCCCCTCTAACCTCAACGACTCCTCAGTGAAAAGGACATGCAGCAACTGACTGGTGTGCGGTGTGTAAGGAGTGAAGATGTAGAATGAGACCACATGAAGGGGTGATAGTGATAGTGAGGGTGATGAACGATCCTACAGTTTAAACCCCTCAAGATGTCAACAACCGGTCCGCCGAATGCAATGTGAGAGATGAAAAGAAAAAAAAGGGAGAACATGCAACAGGTGTGCTTTTGATGTGTCACAGGGTTGTATCCATTTGGTTTTCCTACAGACAGGAGTGAAAGGCTCATTCACCTGTGAGTGTGTCAATGTGTGTGGGTGTGTTTGTGTTTTCAGATTGTAAGTGTGTCGAAAGGGTGTGACAAGTGTTGATAGTGCAGGAAGAGGAGCAGTGTTGTTTTGGGGGAATGTGTGTCTTTTTAGATTATAGCGACTGGTTGTCTGTGCACGTGTGTGTGTCAGGGGTTGTGTGTCCAGAGTGTGACAGTGCGGTCAGCAGAGGACGAGAGGAAAGACAGGTCCTGTGTGTGCCATCGACACTGGATCACCTTGTCGCCGTGCTCTCCCACCACGGTCAGAGGCAACTGCTTGGTCAGGTCACCTAGAAACACACACACACAGGAAGCAGAGCTCAGACAGGAATATTTCAAATCATTACACACAATTATGCAAAATGTCTCACATTAGATTGAAAAGTGTCACAAAATTCAGAAGACGTGATGAAACTATGGGAATCTCTGTATTTCCACAAACTGCCACTGAATATACACTGTAGAGTTACCTTAATGTGATGAAATCTTTTACTGTAGCTGCCTGCTTATTCAGGTAAACGTTCAACATTTTGGGAGATACACTCATTTGCACCCCTGGAAACAATTACATGAGTCTCATGTCTGTACTGTAAATATGTAGCGACTGCTAGCAGCTTAGCTTAACATAAAGACTGGAAACAAGGGGAAACAGCTAGCCTAGCTCTGTCCTCATACCAGCACATCTAAAGCTCACTAATTAACACATTTTATCTCATTAGTTTAATCTGTACATAAAACACCTATAGTTTGACTACAAATAGTCAAAAATGCCTGTGACGGTTTCCCAAAGCTCAAGCTCATGTATTAAAATGTCTTGTTTAGTTCAAATCCAAATTATATTCAGTTTCCAATGAAGAAAAACAAAGAACTATTAAAACAACTCCTTTAAATTGAACTCAACAGCCACAGAGAGGCACCCTTGCATTACATGGATCATATGAATAACAAGTTTCATAAAGTACACGACTGTAAGCAAACATGCACGGCACTTACGAGCCATTTAAACACAATATATATTTGAGGTCAAAGCCAAACAGGGTATCCCACATAAAGAAATAAATGCTGGGTAAAAGCAGTCAACTGTGTACATGTTCTAATAAGAGATCTCTGATTGTCCAGAAATGAAAACCTGCACTGTTGTGTCATAAATATTTTAGCAGATACTGTACCTTGGAGGTTGGTGACCATGACCTTTGTGTCATAGGAGCCAGTGAGCAGGTAGTGTGCTCCGGGGGAGAACCTGACGGATCGCACATCACTAGAGTGCGGCCGGTACACCTGGACAATTCGTCCTCCTCTTATGTCATAGAGCATGCATGCACTGTCTTCCTGTCCTGTTGCTAAGAGACGGCCACTAGGATCCACTGCTACCGAGGCAACAGGACTGCCTGTGGAGTAAAAAGAAAAAGGGGTGTAGCTGTTAAAAAACTGCACATGATTACGAGTAAAATCATCCTGGACTGACTGAGAAGATCATTATTCTCATCAGCACCCATTGTGGATGCAGTGCAACCTCTGGTATCATACGTTGCTAAAAATGTTTATCGTTTGACCAAGATGGAGGTGAAACTCGTGACACACACGACACGAGCCATACCTGAGCCATGGAAAGCAGTTCCCACTACTCGGACACAGCTGGGCACCCTGAGGTCCCAGAAACGCACCGTCTTGTCTTGAGAGCCAGAGGCTATCATCCAACCTCCCCACGTATACAGAGACAGAATGTGACCTGAACAGCAACACAAAATAATGATGTATTATTCACTTTGTCAGCATTATCTCTTTGAGTCTCCACTTCATGTTTTTTGAGTTCAGTAGGACAGACGGACAGTCAGTGCACCTGTGTGTCCACTGAGGGCGTGTAGACCCTGTCCTCTCTGACAGTCGGTGGTGTAAATGTTACAATCTCCGGCTCCGGCGCTGATCAAGATGGCTCCTCCACTTTCTGGACCCTCCATGAAGGCCAGGTCTCTGATGGTGCCGTCATGCATGCTGAACTCCAGGTCTGGGCCTAGGGGACGGAAAGACACAAACAGAAATGCGTGTGAGATGCTGATAATAAATGCTCCCACTGTCTGTATGTGCTGACACCAACAAACAAGACTGCCATCATGCATTCATGTGAAGAGTAGGCTCACCTGTGGCGTTGCATGTCTCTGCACTAAAAGGTAGGACTTTGACATATTTGTCATTAGAGCCTGTAGCCAGCAGCTGCCCACAGTGGCTCCAGGCCACACAGTAGATAGACCCTTTGTGGTGTTTGTTCCTCTTGAAGCGGACGACCGGCTGCTTGATTGGACTTGAACCACTGAGGAGAGGGAAGACAAATATTAGGAGAGAAGATGAGTAAACTGGTAGACATTACAACAATGTGGTCCATTATAAATGAGAAAAAAAATGAAAAAGTCCTAACCAGTTTATAGAATAAACTCCCCCTCCACTCAAAAATATGTTTTTCTTCTTGTTCCTACAGTTGGATGTCTGAGCTGTACTGTGCAGAATGATGAATGTGCAGAGTTTGACACTAGAGGGATGTTTTCACATTCTCCTGCTGAAAATGAAGTTTCTCTGTGCTCACTGAAAAACCTGTGTGATGTAGAAACTTGAAGCCGCCAGTGCACAAACACTGAGAATGGACAGTGAAGAAGAAGACATCTTGTGTCCAGCAGGAAAACTTAAATAAATTTTTTTAATTTTAATATTCTGGAATTAGTAGAAGCAGAAGATGTCTTTTTAATGATCTTTTTAGGATTTGTAGAACTTTTTGTCAGACACACATTATTGTTTCAAGCAGACTATTTGTATATTAATACATGTCTGGAGGAGATCTTTAAATCTCAACATTTAAAAATGTTTACATCTGAAGTTCTACAATTCCATGACAACTTGGCAACTCCATCTGCTGAAAAATCATGTGATATAGTCAAAAGTTTAAAAGTTACTATCAGGTTAAAAAGCCCTTTATAAGTCAGTGTCAACTATGTTCTACTATGCTTTGAATCTAGTATGCCCTGGATCACAAAACTAGGAAACAGCCAGTGTCGTACTATTAATCATATCAATAATTCTGTAATAGAAGAATAACGGTTGGACAAGTGTTGTTAAAACTAAGTTCTTGAGTTGTCTACGGTACCTTGGGTCTAATGTTTCTGGATAAGCACAGACACGAAGAGTTTTGGAGTTAGATCCCACGGCGTAGAGCGCTCCAGACGGGTGAAAGGCAACAGCTCGAACAGCCTGAGTATCTTCCAGAGTATGCACCGGCACAAACAAGCTTTTTGTCTTGTCACCCTAAAAAAACCACAAAAAACACACCCACATATTAAAAACACATGAACACACAGATTACATCTAATTAGCAGTATAATCTACCTTGATCTTCTCTACCCTATGACATCCATACTGTCATGGTGCCAGCGTGACATCAATGCTGAAACTGTTATAATCTGCTTAGTTAAATTAGCATTACACTGTATCGCCTTACACTATGACGAAAACAGGAGGGAGTGTGCTAAACTTTAAAATAAGATCAGAGAGTGTGAGAGGACAACTGTTTCTACAGAACTAAAGCATGACAGTAATAACAGATAATGTGGCACAGAGTCACTTCAG